ACCACCCGGCAGGCGTCGCCGTCTGGCTTGCTTCCCGCCGTCGATCATCCCGTCCTCTAGTTGCAGCTGCTTGCTTTGGACCTGAGGCGCTGCTGCACTGCTGGCTGCAAGGGGGTGGGTTTGGTCGGTCGTCAGGAAGAGGGAGCCCGAGTGCTGAAAGTCCACTCGGGGCAGCGACACGCCGGCTTGGTTCTAGAGGACCATCGGACAGAGAGGGCCCGCAGAGCCATACCCGGCAGCGATATCAGATGCAGATGCTGTCTCCATGCAACTCTGTCCGTCTGATTATCTGCAATCTCTAGTCGTCTGCAATCTCATGTCTCTCTTAATGATCTGACCCGACAGCGCTCTCTTCCACCGCTGAGGTTACAGTCGCGCTATTCTCCAGCGGGAGGATGAACCCACTGATCGCCCCCGGGGCCGAGTGCCTCTCACCTGCACTATTAGCATTTTGGGCTGGCCAATAACTAACCACATTGGTGTCAGGAAACCGCCAGGCAAAACCAAGCAAGGCGGGGGGGCACCAGAAGCCAGGGGTGGGAGGCCAGGAAAGCTCCGACATCACCCCCAAACGACACCCTGACGCACGCGTGCAGACTGGAGATAATTAGAGAGAAGCAAAAGCGACAAGAGAGGGGGGTAACGGCGCAAACCTCGCTTGTGCTTCTTCTCGTTTCGTCTGCGGGCCAGAGAGTGCCGTCAGGCCCTTGTTGATCTGTTGCCCGAAGCAGAGAGGAGAAAGAAGTAAGCATAGGTAGTCGGGTACAGTCCAGCGGCCCTGGCGTACCTCGTTATCAGGCCCTCTGTTGTTCTACAGTGCTGAGCTGGGTACCTTCATCCCGTACCTTTCGACAGGCCTCTTGTTCCCGTCGGGATAATTTGCGGCCACTCCACAGCGGCATCAGAGATCGTCATTTGGCAGATGCGCCCCGGAAGCCCAAGCAGCCGACGCGATACCAACGAGCCTTTTTTTCCCTTCCCTCTCGCTCCAAGAAAGTACAGCCCGGAGGATACCTCACTGGGCTTGAGATCTCTGTAGATCTCCATCGGGCTCTCATCTCGGCCGCGGACGACACCAGCCCGTCCCAACGTTCTGCCAGCCCTGCTGTTGGTCATAGTACGCTCGACAAGCTTGCATAGCCTTTTCAGCCTCCACACAACGCAGCAAAGACAAGAGCCAACTACCCAAGAGATCCACAGACGCACGCGAGAGAGTCGGGTCTACTTGCGAGTACACCCACGCCTTTCCCTGGATCTCACGGTCCTGGAATCACTCGTAAGTCCTACCTTACCTGTTGCATCCCTTCGCGCGGATCTCCCGGTCTCCTCTTTTTCCTTACTTCGGACCTGGTTTCCCACCAGTTCCCGTGTCTATCCAGGCAGAATGCATCCTCATTCAGCTACTCTGTGGCATGGGCTCACTAGCCTCGCGTCTGATTTCACGGCCATGCCCTCACCCTCCCCCCTCCCTCTGTTCCCTCATATTCCCCCATCCTTGGATGGCACGAGCACCCAGGGCTGGTATTGGATGATGGGGCACGCAAGACTGGGGTATCCCTCCTGGACATTTGCACTTGTACATTGCTTGACAGGTCTTGTGCAAGGTTTTGGGGGGCGGACGGACGTATGCAAGGGTTCAGCCGGTCGGTAGTACCCAAGCCAGATCCAGTGACACTGGAGCGTGCTGCTTGTATCCCGATTGCACAGGCTACTGTCGCACCCCTCCATGCCGTTAGAGGGGCCCCGGTCCGTCCCAATCCTGGCCACATGCCACAGCCGGTCTATAGCCCATGCCTCTTGTTCATCCCATAGCTTCTGCTCATTGGGCTCGTTGCAGCTGCTCACAGGAGCTATGGCCAATCACGCTAACTCAAGGCTCACAGACGTCGACACCGACAGCTCCAAGCATTGTTGATCAAGCCACGCCCAAGGGCCGGCCCAGGAGACACAACCCCCCTTTCTCTCTCCAGTCTCTCACCTCTGCCCAACTCTACCCATCTGGCTATCCCTTCGCTCAAGCCCCAGCTCAAGCTCTCTTCGAGGTACCTTGGCCATTTCATTCGGATTGCCAAGCAACGACGAAGCCGACGACGAGCAAGGACCACCCGCCCTTGTCTTTCGCTCCCCACGTAGACCGACTTACACGGGAGTTATTTACACCAACAACACCTGTCTGTATCTCTCTGTGTGTGCACCCAAGTAACTGTGTGCATGTAGTATCCGCAGTATCTCTGTACGTCCGCACATCATATGTACGTACTTGGCAGTACCCCGGCACTGCTTCTTCTGCGCTTGCTGCTCATCGCGGACGATCTTGACGAGTAAGGATCCTCCATAATTCCTTTTTCATCTCTCAATCCCGCCCTTTCTTACCCTCTCTGCCCTCCACGGACCCATACCACTTTTCCCTCGACTTCACCTACTCCTGGTCATTTGTCATTCCCCTTCTTCCTGCAACAGCCGCTTCTTTCTTTCCCTATTCCGAACGGTCTGTCGTCCTTCTTCGGTCTCCTTGCATGAGAGAGACTCCTCCTTTGCTTCTCTTGTTTTTTGACACCGCAGCCCCGTGTCTTGCCTCTGGAGGGGAGAGAATCGCCAAGCTCTTTCGCGGTGTCCGAGTAGCATACCAGAGCAGCACATGAACACGGCGGGCAGCCCTATTCCATGCCCCTTGCCACCCCCAGCTTCTCTCTTGCAAGTGTCCATCGACCGCATACCACCTCTGCCAGCTGAAGCAGTTGTTCCCGCACATCATCATTGCCCACAACCACAGCCACTCAGACACGCGCAATGCCCTTCCCAATGGACGACTGACTCCCGCTCCCCACCCTTTCTCTTCAGATCAACAGAACCTTGCAGCTCATAAGACAGCTGGAATCTCGCATCCCAACGGCGGCCCTATCCCTGCCCGTCCCTGTGAGTCCTTCTACGCAAATATCTTTGAGTTCTGATTGCTCCGCTACCCATTCACCACCCCCTCCTCTCAACCCCACAAATGTCACCCAGCCTTGGATCGCTCCTTGGCCGCTTCTTCCTCCACCAAAAGGTTACCCGTGGGCCAGACTACCTGCACTGACCAGGGAAGGAAAAGAAACGACGAGGGGTGCTACTGTAAGGGAGGGTTGTCAGGATCCCCCAGTACAGAGCTATTGGTGCGTGAGCTTGCTGTTAGTGCGGCAAGCAGAGGAAAAGCAATATCCATCTTCGCAAGGTCCCTGTTCCCTCCGTGTGGATCTATCTACCCGGCCGGAACCTATGTGTCGCCACAGACTCGTCGTCTTCCCTTCACACTAATAACACGTACTTGGGGCCTGCAAGGAGACCGACTGATTGCCTTGCCATCTGTCCATCAAACCTCTGCGAGAAATGCAACACCACTTCCCCGTACCTCGTCAACATTCCTCATCTACCTCCTTCACCCCCGCAACAAAATCAGCGACAGAGTCTGACTTTTCTGAATCCACGTCTCTCCTTCTCCCTCTCCATCTCCATCTCCATTTACAGTCCATCCATTACTGAGCTCGCGTACCCTGTTTACCATCTCTCGACATCTGGCGGCTTTGCCCGGCCTCCGCATATCTGCTTCCTTTCGGCCAGAGGAAACGCACAAGTGCTGCGAAACCTTGGTCCTTGATTCCTTTGGGGCCTGTTTCTAATTCGCCCTTGTCCTCGCGCGAACAGGTTCGCCATCGGTCTGCAGGACGAACAAACAAACGAAGCTTGGTCCAGCTCCACACATTCGGCATTGCGAACCGCATCAGTCCGTTTGTCGACGACTCCGAGCCGTCATTGGACACAGCTCTTGCGAGCACCCTGGTCTCAACGGTTGAGTACGTGATCCCTCCCCTTCCTCTGCTTGCAGCTGGTTGCAGGACCACGAACTCCAGCAGGAAGCCGATGATGGTTCGCGCTGCGGCTTGCCGTCCAGTCAGCAGTTCTTACCAAGTAGCAACGACGCTTAACTGCGAGAGAACCCCGGCTGACCTCCATTCCACTCAATAGACCTGGAACGAAGCCTTTCAGTTGGTAACCACCGCGTTGGAATTCTTGGGTCCTCCGGGAACTTGATCTCACATTTCGGTTTGCCAGCACCCTAGCGACCAATGACAGGTGCATCAATCTGAACCTTCTTGCGGAAAACCTGCCCTCAAAGCCTTGGGTCTTGGTTTAAGATCGCCAGCTCTGGGTATTCTCTCAGCCTTCCCAGGTCTTCCATCTTTCTCATTCCGACATCGCTCATCTTGACCTGACAACGCCAACCGGCCCGAAGTTTCCAGCTTTTTCTTCTCTTCGATTCCAGTCGCGTCAGCCCCTTTGCAACGCAGGGCAGCCGATCATCTCAAATTCGCAGCGCCACCAGCCAGCCCGGAAGCGCCATCCACATATCTGAGTACGGTGTCTCATACCAATCCTACCGGGAGAATCCTCTGAGACTGACGCTCCTCTACTAGGGATTCTCTCCTACTCTTCCTTGGCCCGCTCGATAACACTGGACCGGGTCTCTAACCACAGCAATCTCAAGACATATCTCTCCCTTTCTCCCTTTGTCCCTCGACGGTCCCACAAGGCCATAGTCTTTCCTCCTGTCGTTGCAACGCCGCTCCCGAAACAGTGGTTTGCATTTTCCCGACACCACACCAGACATCCTTTCCCAAGTGCACCCTTTTCTACAGCTTGAATGTCTGCTGCGAAGTTTGAGTGTGCTTCCTACAAGCATTTCGAGGTGAGTCAAACCCTCATCACAGCGTGGAACCGGGCCACTCCCGAGACGCTGTTGGAAAGCATCACTGGAGTGTCCCGCCTGTGCTGGTTTGAAGAGTCTTGCAAGGCTGACGAGCTATGCTTCACCGGAAACAGCCCGACTTCCACCCTCAGAGGCCAATCATCATCGGCGAGGAAGGCCTCGACTCGCCAGAGACTGTGACTCTCAAGTACGAAGAGGCAGTTGCAAGGGCAAACGGAGACCTTCGGGGCGACTCCCCCCAGGCGGTCTCCTCCCCATGTCCCACTACGGGAAACAACAGCCTGGCCCAATCCACGGTAGGTCTTGCTGGTTCCCGGCGTGCTTGGAAACCTTCCTGATCACTCTACCCATGAGACGGGACATTTGGAGGCATTCGGGATCACTTTACTGACACGCCGTGCTTGTCACAGGGTATGATGCGACCCGTGGGTATCAGGATGCCGCGTACCAGCAGTATGGCCCGCAAAGCTATCCCGCCCAGCATGGCAGTGCGGCTCAGCTCACCGCAGCCCAAATGAACCAGGATGCATTTGCCGCCAACAGCGCAGTTGGATCATACATGCCTGTCGGCGTAGGTCCCTCGGTAGTGTCATGTCAACCAAGCTCCGGCATGGCTGGCACAAAGGTGATGGTCAAGGTTTCGTCCCCTTACGATCTCCTCAGCGTGGCGCCGTACTTCTCTCTTATTTTCGGCGTGCAGAAGGTGGCGGGACATACCATCAAGGACCCTCAAGACAGCAATGGCTACATGCTGACCATCTCGGCCGAGGCACCACCTTTCGGGGTCACCAGCTGCAACAATGAGAACGTGCCAATTACGCTGCTGATTGAAACCGAGAGCGGCGAAGAAGTCTCGAGGACGGCGGCGGGCCAGTTTGTATATCACGAAGCAGGCCCAGGTGCTAGCTCGGACGACATCACGAGGAAGGTGTCCAAGTCACCTGAGCAACAGCATCACTCCCCCAGGTCAGCAAGCACTCAGCTCGGTAATGAGGCCAGTACAAATACGTACGACTTTGCGACGGCTCCGCAGCAACCAGCGCCATCTCCCTATGGAAACAGTTTCTCGCAAGACAACAATAACGGTAACAACATGCTCAGCGCTTATCGAACAAACTCCTTCGCGGAGCAACACTATTCGCGTGCGGTGCCGCCGCCGCTCCGACCACCAATGGCTGGGTGGCAGGCATACGGGAGAACGCCTGGTCCTCCCATTACGCATACGCAGATATCCCGCCCGAGCTTGACGCCGCTGCCCATGCCGTCCGCAACAACCCCTCAACTTGTTCGGACCAGCTCCATCCCTAGCTCACCTGGTGGGGGACAACAGTCGGGGTACAACCACTGGGGCTCGTACTCCAACAAGGCGGTCCTAAAGATTGTGGGGAAGCTCGACAGCATGGCGTCTGACTGGTCTCCGGAGGAGTGGTCGAACCGCCGACGCATCGTCATGTTCAACAAAAAGCAGACGGGATCTACACTGACGACAACATTCCGACCCGTCAACGTCAATGAGCGACCGCCCAACAGCATCTGTATCAGCTGTATCTGGTGGGCCGAGAAGAACGAATGCTACGTCACATCTGTGGACACAATCTATCTACTGGAGCAGCTTGTCGTCGCTCCGGCCAGGTTTACGGTCGAGGAGAAGAACCGCATTCGTCGCAACCTCGAGGGTTTCCGCCCGCTGACAGTCAGTAAGGCCAAGGCGGACTCGGAGGAATTCTTCAAGATCATCATGGCGTTCCCGAACCCCAAGCCGAGAAACATCGAGAAGGATGTCAAGGTTTTCCCGTGGAAGATCCTCGAGTCGGCACTGAAGAAGATCATTGGCAAATACAGCGCCAGTCCCTCCTCGACCCTGCCGGCCTCGCATCTTCTGACGCCCACACCCGTCAGCGCCTATCCCCCGCCACTTCCGACGCCGCCGGCGCCGACTGTCGCATCGGACCATGTCAGCGCGTACGGTGTTCCGTCGCAGGTTCATCAAGAAGGGTTGACCTCTCCGAGGTCGATCAGTGGTAGCACACACAGCTGGCCAGCGTACTCGACAGGACCACCGCGCAACCTCTCACCAGCCCTCACGGCAGTGTCTCCCCGACAATCTGGGCTTCGCCTCGCCGCACCTTTACCCGCAGTGACAGGCTATGACAGTCGTTCGATGCCGACGCATTCGTACGGCAGCGGCCTGCACACACCACTTGGGAATCATCACACCCCGCCCATGGCCCCTGGACGATGGGATCCTACGATACCGGCCATGCACGCCCCTACAACATATGCCGAGCAATACCAATCCATGACCGCGCACCATGCCCCCAGCCACCAAGTCTACGGCGGTGACGGATACGGGGACGGGGCGCAACGCGCATGAAGCCGCGAGGCCCGCAGGCGGGAGTGAGGGAAGGGTGGTATGGCTGTGGGCCAGGTGAGCGACGACTCGGAAGCGATGGGTGACGTGCTTCGCGTCTTGTGAGGCGCAAGCGTGATAACCCTGACGGGAAGTCCTGTTAAGAATGACGAGAATGAGTCACTACTCATGCCAGGGGTACAGGGGGGCCAGGGAGACACTGGTCAATCGCGTGAAAGAGGCCATGAGACCAAGAGGAGGGCCCGTATGGGAAGCAAACGACAAGCAGAGGGAGGCATCAAGAGACGTCGCACGTCGTTGACTTGATTGGGGATGGGCAGGCTGCCACTTTGGACTGGGATGCTGGAGTTGAGTGCGAAGGAGGGTGTAGGGGTCGGGGGGTTTTCCCCCCTGTCACACACACACACCCTCTCTCTCTCTCTCTTTCAATCTCTCTCCCGGTCAGTCTTGTCTGGTCAGTCCCGGTGTGGATGGGTGGGGTCACCGGAGGGGCTGTCAGCTGCTGTGGCGCAGACCAATAGGCGCTTCCGAGGTCGAATCCACTTTTCCCGATTTAGATGGAGTCGGCGAATCACTGAGGCCCCGCTTTCACCCGCCGCACCGCCTGCTCCACTTTCCGGCATCGAAATGGAAAGACGAGCCACTTTCCCCGACGCATCGCGCCTCTTCTTTGGAGGCGGGGAAACTCGAATCCTTCCCCGTCCATGTTTCGCCAACCTCAGTTTGGATGAACCCTTTCAGCATCATTCACCGCATCGTCGTAGCAGACAAGAAGCAGGGGGTTCGGAGTTGTTTCTCCTGGCCACCCAGCCCTTATCTGTGACGACGAGTCGACTTGGCTTATCGCGACTGCACCTCGTTCATCTGCACTCTGATAGCGGATCCGAGCCCCGAGCCTCTATGCCGCCTCTCATTGGCTGCACTCTTTGTGCATGATGGGTTGGGGGTGTATCTGGTGATCGTCTTTTGGAGGGGCCGCCTGCACCCGTCCGGCGTGCATGACGTACATCATCTGCGTCAGGGAGCTATCGAACGACACGGCGCCTTATCCGCCTGCTCCAATAGTACCAGATGGCACTTTAGCATCTCCAGCGCCTTCTACCGCTCGACTCTGTTTCTGACCACTCGCTTGCCTTCCCGCCTGGCTTCTTCGGTCGTGCATTGGCGTTCCCGTGTTCCACACATGGGTCCGAAGGGCTCACCCGAACAATTCACATGGCATCCCACTTTATCACGGCGTCCTCTTTCAACCCAAAGAAGACACGGGCTGTCTGCCACGAAAAAGAGAAGGAAGAACCGGCCTGGCCAGGAGGTCGACTTCCTGGGCCAAGACCACAACAGCCCCTCACCCCCAACTGTCGAAGCCTTCCTTGGCAACCGTGTTGCCTTACGAACGCGGGTGGCGCGGCTGACCTTATTTTCACGCAGCCGTTCCGACCCTCCATTTTACATGCTGGGCCAGGCGCTCTCGACCCCGAGATCGGCAAAGAGGGGCGCGGGCTGATGCACCTCCGACAGCGACGCTGCTTCGACTGGCTCGTCGTCTTGGCCGTCCATCTCCCACACCATTTTCCATGCTCGTTTCAGAACTCGCTGCAGTTTGGGTCGCCTACTGCCAGATAGAGGTGGATATACCGACGTTTCTGTTCAGGCTATTTGGCGATAGACTTGGTTGCATTTTTGCGCATCATCCCCCCCCCCCCAAACACGATCGCTCGCTACTACCCTATGAAAGGCTCGGCCACTCTGAATACGACCGCCCGACACTGTCGACCCCTCGGCGTACCGCTAATGGACATTTCATGGCATTTGTGGTGCCCATCATCGCTTATCGACACTGCACCTCGCCAATCTCACAGACACTATAACCATCATTACTTACACTGGCACTGCACCGAGTCACACACTCCTTACCCTCATCCCCCCATAGATCACAACACACTGCAAACACAACTTACACCGCGATCCCATCTCTCTCTCTTTCCTCTTTGTTTCTCTTTCTCTCTGATACATCTCATACAACTGCATTTATCTTCACAGGCGCGGCAAGGGCGGACGGAACAGGATAGAACGGGGGAACCCGGAATAGGAGTCTGGTGACGGCGGGGACTCGAACACGGTTACGGGGGGAGGGGGCTTGGATGGATGGATACATGGAGCTACTTTACAGGATACGGGGGCACAGTGGGGACCAGGACTGGTCGGGGATTGGGTACACGGGGAATACAATAACATGGTGGGCTGCACATAGCATTATACCCTTCGTTTTGCTTTTTTTGGACTGGCTTCGGGATCAATTGGGTTTTCGGTATGTTACATATGGGATAGTCTCCTGATAATGATAATTTTTTCGACATCTTTAATCCGCCGGCTCTCGGTTGCTTTTGGTGATGCCGTTGTGAGCGCTGACGGGCATGGGGACCAATCCAGGAGGGGGTTCCCACATGCCGCGACATGATGTGGCGACGTGATGTATGCTTTGACGACGGAACGAGGTTGCTCTTGACGGATGAGAAGGAATCACAACCAAGGTGTCGAGCTGCGTAAACTGGAACAGAAGCCCCGAGTCGGCAAGTCACCATCAATCCAGCACCCGACTGTTGACCCTCGGTACTCTGGCGAGGACACGTTGGGTCTTTTCCAGCGAGTATAATGCTCTTTACGTCAAGACAGTACATTAAGTCTAGTTGGTATACAATTAACTCGACTGCTATTCAAGAGATTGTGTACAAGACGAGTTTTGCAGTGCAGCGCTCATCGCCCCGGCATCCAGAAACGGGCCTGCTCCATACTCACCGTTGGCTTTCAAGTTGGCCATCAAAGTTCCAAGTCAGCTCTCAAGACTCACGTCTTCCGTTGGCAGTCTCTACACGGACTGGTTGTACAAGAAGCCCCGTCCAACCCCCGAAAGGGGGCAGGCTCTAAAAGGTGACGAGAACGACGGGTAACAGACTGGAAGTTTTGGATGGAGGCGTTCCCTAACATACAACTTTGCAGTGTCTCCGGTTTGCAACCTGATGCACGGAGGGTGGAGGCAGATACTCGGCTTCAACCGTATACCCGGACCCTCTCGGTCCACGCAATTGTGTAGCTCGAGCCTCCTTTCTTGAGCACGTCGAAGCCGAGGGCCACGGTGAGGCTTTTGGCATCGTTCCAGTGGAAGGTGCCTTGGCCGTGCCCGCACAGCATCCGCATGGTCTTGACCTGCGACCGGTCCAGCTTAGTGTTGCTGGACTCCCTGTTGTTCTGTGTCATCTCTCCGATGACGCGCTCAAAGTTCCCAAACGTTTGATGGCTCGCCATGCTCAACGTACTCATCTTGATGTCGTCCAGCACAACCCCATTGTCTATCCCTGAATCACTGGCGGCAGATGGATACATGACGGCTGGCTCCTTGTAGCGTCCGGGCTGCATAGTGGTGATGTTGCCGCAGGTCATTTCGATCTTGAACTTGTGGTGAGGCATGTGTACGTGACCAGCAGTCAGGTCCTTAAAGTGTCGCCGATATGCGGGCGGTCGGCAGTCTGCCGTCGTCCGCCTCTTGGTGACTTTGTTCAGTTTGGCAGCCTTGACGTTCTTGACACTCTTACGCTTCGATCTCGGTTTCTTGTCACCAGTCTCTTCGATGTCGGTCATCTCAAACTCAAACTCAAACCCTTGTGGCGGTTGGAGCCAGACCGAGATCTGCGTCCAAAAAAGACTCGAGCCATTGCTGAGCAAGCTTCGCATCCCGGCTCTGCTGCTGCTGCGCGACCAGACTGTAAATCCCACCGAGAAGCCATTGCAGTGACCTCAGAGTCTCTCCGTCGACGTGGTCCTAGAAGCTGAACGTGTCGAACGCAGCGCAAAACCCGCGGACCGGGCTCGCGTTGCTGAGGGCATCAAATGTTGCTGGGTCTGCGAGGTCCTCTCCGAATGGGTGCAAGGATTCCAACTTTTGGCTTACCAAGCTGGCTAGGAAGATGCCATTGAAGTCGTCCGTGTTCATTCGTTGGATCCTGTGCGATGCGTGGTGGCTCTGCTGATCGATGTGAATCTGCTGAGCCAGTTTCGGCAGCCCGATGCAGTACACCGTGTCGTAATTCACCAAGGCCTTGCCAGTCTGGGCCAGCAGCCAGGAGGTCTCCCCTATCTGGAAACCAGGCAAATACGTAGGATCAACATCGCACTGTCGATACTTTACCGTGTCGCTCAAGCGCTTCTTTGGCAAGGCCCGCCCGTCTTGGATCCGAGAGCTTGACTCGGGACTGCGGCGGAATCCTGACCTTAGTCCTTTAGACGCGACGTGGACGCCATAATTCGCAACATGCTGGATGTGGCGCTCCATAAACCATCGTGCGTGGAAGCCCAGATCGGTCCAAGCAGCCCGTACCTGACCTGTCAGTCGTAGTCCATCGTCTCGCGGATCAAGCGAAGCCCCATCGTCTTGCGCGGCCTTGCGTAATGTAAGCAGCTTTTCGAGTATAAACAACCATCTTTCGACCTAGACCACTGTACACCGCACAAACTCATGAATAAGATCATTGATCAGGTTCTTTTTTACGTCTATAACAGGCTTTCTGATGTGAAGGAGGGGATACTCTTTGACTCTTCGTCTCTTTAGCGTATGTGCCCATACTGCTGGCGGTATTGACCTTATATGTAATCTCGAAAGTAAAATGAATCATGCCATAAACCTTTCAGATGGTCTTTTGCCACGTGTATCTTATGTTGAAAATTTGTACAAAATTGGTCGACCCAATCTGTCCAAAATGGGAAGAGTTGTCCATGTCCAACGAGCCCAGTTGTTTCCATGTCAAACAACATAAGTGGCTCGTGAGATGTCTCCCAGGTGGTGGTGGAGTCTGTGGCATGCTTATTAGAGAGTCCCCAAGATATCTGCTGACGCATCTGGTTTGCTATCTTCTCTGTGACAATCTCCACAAAGTGTAGAGTGATTGTCTGAACGGCAAGTATACTGACGCCATCCGTCCAGCCACACAACAGACCGCTCTGCAGTAATCGAACAAACAATGAGCTTTGCGTATCGTCGTCAGTCGAGTTCATGAATAAGAACGTGTAGTTGTCGAGAAATTCACAGGTTTCGGGGTTACCGGATGAGCAAAGCTTTTGCTTTAAGGTAGGGAACCCCATGAACCATCCATCGCAAAAGAATTGGTAATCGAGCTTGCTGGCTCGGCCGACCTGCAGGCTTTCCCAATCGGCTCGCGCAAAGGTCCGGGGATGATTTCTGATCCGGTTGAGGATGAGGCATCCCAGTAACTGTGTATCGAGAAGGTCTTGTTCGTTGAGGAAAGGCAGTAAGTATTTGGGCTTAAGAACCGGTCGCTCCCTACGTTCGGCCTGCCGATGTTCTCCCTTGAGTGCAAGCGACAGGAAATACTCGCATTTGTCGGCATTGCGAGAAGGAGCTATAGAGCATCGTTCTGTGCCGGTATCCCATTCAAATACCCCAGGCTCATCTTGCTGGATTTCTAACCATGCCTCATAGATGATTGCTTTCAGACCTGCGTCGGCTGGTCTCGTTCGCGTCTGGAGAAAATCGACAAGGGTCTCACGTCGACTGGTTTTTCCAGCTTCGCTATTTTTGTCCAAGCGAGATGTAATTGATTGGCAGCAAACTTCGTTGCCAACTCTGCGCTTTCTCGACTCCCGACGACCTCCGCATCAAAACCAAGGACCTTCAGCACCTCTTTCACATCATTATGTTGATAAGGATGAGATGGGTCGGCAGCGTATCTTCCTATGGCCGGCAGCCAGGACGGCGAGAAGTTGGACCGCTCCATGTAGGTAGGCTCCAAAAGTTCAAGCCATTCAGGGGGTAAATTGGGATGCAAGGATGACTTGTCAGGTTGACGAGACATACGAGACATGATGAAAGAGTTCGCAGTGAAGCAAGAGTGACTCAGGTGTGGCCCCCAGAGGAATTGGCGACGACATGAAGGCCAAAGACGATTGTCAGATCGTAAACATGTATTATGGACGATAGTTGTGTCAGAAACGGTGGTTCGGCATTGAGAAAATGGGGGTGTGAACGAGGTCTGAGGGGGCAACAGGAAACGCGATGCAAGAGCTTCTTGAACCATCAGGACAATCCCCGTTGTGTTCGGGCATTTCTCAGACAAGATGAGGGCTTGGATGATAATGGGCGAAAGAGGGTATTCGGAATGAGATTGTCCATAGTATGGCGATGAAGGAAGCAGAGCCTGTCAAAGGAGGACAATCATAAACGTTAAAAAAAAACTCATGATTTGAGAGAGGAGAGCGTCCGAGGTTGACGTAGTTGTTTCTGACCACTTGGCCAGGTTGGAGAGTGGATGGGATGAGCCTATTGAGTCAAGGACAAGGCAGCTATGACGAAACGGCTGGCAGGTTCGTCAAGCGCTCGGCGATGATTCGAGACGCAGTTCACGACCAAAATCCGTCGCGAGGACTGTATATGAACAAGACCCAGAGCTGACGGCCACCATACGAGAGTGGTCGTCCAGGTGCTAGAAAGAGTTGGATGGAGGCCAGTCGATGGTTGGACCGTTGTTGAAGAAGTCAAAGTCACGAAACGACATTGCGGTCAGGCCATGCCAGAGGAGAGGTGACGTGCATTGTCTGGGATGGCGTGTTGGAACGGAATGCGGCTGTCACGGAGCCAGGGCCGATTGTTCGGACGGACCTTTCATCCCGAAATGGAGGGTATCGTCGCACGTTCCTGGCGCAGCCGCAAAGCCCGTTGTCAATAGTGTGCCCCTCGTGTTTGATGGGCAGGAACAGGACGCGGAGGGCAATGACGAGACGAGAGGGACCACTCACCAAGAGACCACAGGGAAGCAGGTGTGAAGCCGACGGGACCGGATCCGGGAGGCAAGGGAAGACCATGCTTGGTTGCGTTAAAGCTGCGGGTCGTGGATCCACATAGCGCACCAATCGAACGTGGTGGGTGTTTCGTTTGATGAGTGGCGCTGTCCGGTACCCACGTCGTATCCCACGAGGCAAGGACGCTCGTTGATCGGCAGGGCACTTCCGCGTCGTTCTTTCTACACTACCCTCTCTTATTTTTATCGTCTTTGCTGCTGAGGCTTTGTTTCCCTTGGCTTGGTCTTGCGTCCCTCTTACCACTGTGGCTGTTATCCACATTGGCGACGGCAACAATGACGATCAGACTGCGATATGTCTCGCTAGGCACGTACATATACTGTACGCCTAGGGGCACCGAGTAACCTTGATAAGGGTAAGTCGAGCATAAGTATGCGTCCAGGGGTAAAATCGCTCTTTGCTGGAGCCAAGCCGCCCTCATTGGCCAAGGAGAGAGCGAGGCTCGGCTTCGCTGCCAAGATCAACGGACAAAGGCATCATCGCCATCAGGCAGTGGGAAAGCTGAGTCCGGGCGCACTGCGACCCCGTCTTGGCGCGTAAGTGGGTGATGGTAATATTGGCATTGTCTGCACAAATACACCTCGAATGGGCCAGGATGCGACGAAAGGGGACAAGCCGAGCTGAAGACCTGCCGTCCAGACCTGCGACCGGCCTTATCGCAGAGACCGTCCAAGGCGCGCTACTGATGCACAGAGAAGCACCAGTGCCTGCGCCAGTCCCAACGCCAGACGCCAACACTAGGTGTTGCCATTCATCAATGCCTGCACCGACAGCATGGGACATGGGACGGGATGGAATGAGCCCCTCTCCTCCCGCCTACACACTAGGTATCGTGCCTGCTTTACCACCACCGTGGCTCCCATTGCTTGGGGCTTGAGACTTGGGACTTTGGTTCCTAGCTGCAAGCCGTTGAAACAAGGACAACCATACATCCATCCTGGTTTTCTCTCCCGCTCCCCCTCCTCCTCTTTGCTTTCTATTTGACCTGTCTACTTGCCATTTGCATCCCCCATGCTTGCCCTGTTCCTTTGAGGATTCCTATCCTTCGTCACTCGTTTCTTTGCTCGTGGCCGCCCTGTTTCGACAGCAAAACACCCCTACCTTGGACTGCCCTTCCATACTGGTTCAATTGACAAATCGTGTGAGCGAGCTTGCAACCCCCAGCGCCGATATCCCACGGACGCGACCACGGTTGCCCTCATTGTCCAACAACGCGAATCACGCCGAGTCCCCTCGAGTCTCGCGTCGCCGTTACAGCGGCGGACCAGCGACGAACTGCCGGTGACCTCCGCCGTTCCATTCGATCCGATCCGACCGAACGACTGAACGACCCCAGCTTCCGAACCGGGTCTCACCCACTTCAACCGCCCATTATGCTCTCCACATTCCTGCTGGCCCTTGTGCCCCTCGTGGCAGCGACGTCGTCCTCGAAACGCGGCCTCGTCTTCACGCCCAACGCCAAATGGCCCCAGGACAACCAAATCTGGGTGCAGTCGGGCTCCGACCTGACATGGTACTACAACTACCAGGAGATTCCCAGCCCGGCCTTTGCTTCAAAGTCCCAGGAGGAGTTCGAGTTCGTGCCCATGATGTGGGGCGTCTCATCCAATCCCGAAGACACGGCATTCCTCAACAGCGTCAAGAGCTTGATCAAGGACAAGGGCGTCAACATCACCCACGTTCTTGGCTTCAACGAACCCGACGGTCCCGCGCAGTACGGCGGCAGCAATATAGCCCCCGACATCGCCGCCAAAGCCTGGGTTGCCAACTTCATCCCGTTGCAGGAGCTTGGCGTCAAGGTCGGCCTGCCTGCGTGCACCGGCGCCCCTGCTGGACTGCCCTGGCTGAAGCAGTTTTTGGGTAACTGCTCGGAGATTATCAGCGATGGAGGAGAGAAGAAGAACTGCACCTACGACTTCCTCCCTGTGCATTGGTACGACAACTTTGCGGGTCTTGCCAGCCATATTGGTGAGCGTGTTGCCAAGTATGTCTCCCTGTGTTTTGACCACCCCATGTTATTATCTCCTGTCGTGCTGACAAAAGCCTAGTTTCCCCGACACCAAGATCTGGGTCACCGAGTATGCCTATGCCAACCAGGATCTCGCCGCCACCCAGGAGTTCTATAACATGAGCGCCGAATACTTTGATCGCATCGACTACATTGAGCGGTATACGTACTTTGGTGCGTTCCGTTCCAAGACGAGCAACGTCGGCCCCAACGCCTCTTTCCTCAACAACGACGGCAAGCTCACCGACATTGGCTCATGGTACATGGGGATGAGCTCTACCGGAGTCAATCCTCAGTCTGGCGACAAGAGTGCCGCTGTGCGTGGAGGCGTGCCGGTGCTTGCTGCGCTGGCAGCGACCGTACTTGGGGTTGCACTTACCCTCACTTCGTGATTGAAGTGGGCAATATACATAATGAGCATCTGGGGAAAAATTGACGTCCTTCTATTACGAGATAGATGGGAAACAGTACCGGCATCAACTAGATATCCACCACATAGACGGACATAGGGACGTTTTCCCAGCACGATTCACATATCTATAATGTCTTTTAATCTTGGACCGGAGCATAGAATGGGGAAAACAGGGTGGAACTCGGCGATGGGCTCTTGTAGCCTTGAGTTGGGGCCGGGTCATGAGAAAGAGGATAACTTAGGAGTTCCTGGATTATATGAATATAAACGAACGCATCTGATGTACCAATCTGTGCCAATCTTGGCGATGCTCTCTACGCGCTGTTCTTATCCTCGGGCGAAAGTCGGCATATTGGCCAAGAGCCTTGGCTTTTTGACTTTGAACGCACACAAGTCAGGATCGCAAACTCAGAACTACCCTTGTGCCATCCGGTACATATCATGTTGGTCAGCAAGTCAATGATGGGACCGACTAAGCCGGTAGGGTCGGAAAACGATACAATAGACATGCCCGCTACAGAGTTATGTTGAGAGGGGGAAGGCCTAGAGGGAAGTGTCGATACTGATTACTGATTGTTAGTATTGAAGGTGCGAGTCAGGCCATATCTCTAACAGATATCATCAGACGCGCTACTGCACCCCAGAGTCTGCGACGCCCCCGGTGCTCAGGACGCTGAAATGCTACTGGCCGACTCTGTGGCCGAGATGCCTCGGTCCAATTGTCTACCCCCACAGCCACTGGCCTGGGCTGGGACACGCCTGGGGAAACACCCGAGACCGACATGATTGCCGGCAGCTAAGCCGTCATGAACCATGTCTACTTCAGAGCCCCCCGCCCGCCTTCCTTCATGACTGGCGACGAAACCTTCGAGCTTATTTCTCTGTTGTCCTTCCCCTATTATTCTTTTTCTCTCCGACTACCGTATACCCCCATTTTGTCCCGTCCGTCGTCTTCGTTGCCTCCAAATACAAGTCAGGCATCATGGCTCTTGAGAGAATCGGCTCCATTGTGAAGCACCTGGCCCCAGGTAGCGCCATCAACCAAATGTACGTCCGTCCGCGCATGTGATTGTCGCCCGAAACGACGCTCCTGGCCTCTCTTGGTGAACCACCCGCAACTGACATTTTGCCTCTGCACAGCCAAGCCAAGAACCCCGATGACATCGTCATCACATTAGCCATCCGCACGCCTCTGACCAAGGCCAAGAAGGGCGGCTTCAAGGACACGACACTCGAGTACATGATCTACGCCCTTCTCAAGGAGGTCCGCGAGCGATCCAAGATCGACCCCGCCTTGGTTGAGGATATCTGCATGGGCAATGTGCGTACCGGCGTGCCACGCGCGGCCTTCCCCCCCTCCAAGATGCACACTGTGACAGTTGATCTGACTTGCACAACCGCCAGGTCTCGGATGGCAAGGCCGCCTACAAGCTCCGCGCCTCGGCCCTCGCCGCGGGCTTCCCCAACACGGCCGGCGCCTCCTCGGTGAACCGCTTCTGCTCCTCAGGCCTCAAGGCCACGGCCGACATCGCGCACGCCATCAGCAACGGCTCCATCGAGGTCGGCATCGCGCTCGGCGCCGAGCAGATGACTGTCGGCGGCGACGCCCTCGACAAGCCCTTTGACGAGACCGTCACGGCGCAGAGCCAGGAGGCTGCCGACTGCATGCAGCCCATGGGCTGGACCTCGGAGAACGTCTCGCGCGACTTCAACCTTAGCCGCGAGGAGCTTGACAAGTACGCGGCGGAGAGCTTCCAGAGGGCCGAGAGGGCGCAGAACGCCGGCTGGTTCGACGACGAGATCGTCCCGATCAAGACCAAGCTCGTCGGCCCGGACGGCGAGGTCAAGGAGGTCACGCTCACCCGGGACGAGGGCATCCGGCCGGGGACCACGCCCGAGAGCCTGGCCAAGATCCGCGCCGCGTTCCCGCAGTGGGGTCCCACCACCACGGGAGGCAACGCCAGTCAGGTCACTGACGGAGGTGAGTTTCCAGCCCAGTAGACTTTTTTGGTTTCCTTGACTTGCGTGTGCTAACAACGCGAAAGCCGCCGCCATCCTCCTCATGAAGCGCTCGACAGCCATCAAGATCGGCCAGCCGATCCTGGCCAAGTACGTCGGCTCCACCGTCGCCGGCCTGGCCCCGCGCATCATGGGCATCGGCCCGTCCATCGCCATCCCCAAGCTGCTCGCCCAGTACAACCTCTCGCTCGCCGACATCGACGTTGTCGAGCTCAACGAGGCCTTCTCCAGCATGGCCGTCTACTGCCGCGACAAGCTCGCCCTCGACTGGGCCAAGATGAACCCCCGCGGCGGTGCGGTCGCCCTTGGCCACCCACTCGGCGCCACCGGCGCGCGGCAAATTGTCACGGGCCTGAGCGAGCTGCGCCGCACCAAGAAGAAGGTTCTGCTCACGAGCATGTGCATTGGTACGGGGCAGGGCATGGCCGGCTTGTTCGTCAACGAGGTTCTGTAAGCAGGGGGGAGGGTTTGGTTGTTGAAATTAGTCGAATGAGAAAACATGGACCAGAGAATGAAAAACGAGTGTATGATCACCGTGTCGTTGCCAGAGTCTATTCGTTTTCACCTCGTCGAGGACATGCTAAGACTATTCCCCTACGATACCATGAAGCATACGCCACTCCGCGGTAACAGCAGATTATGCAGACCAATAGCCAATGAGCTGACAACGCGTTTGCCCATCGTGAGAGAACCAAAACGCACCGCTTTTTATATACTGTCTAATGCACGTATCCGTAAAGTTCGTGGCAAACCATCAAATGTACATATCTTTCAGGAAGTCGAAACAGAAAAACCGTTAGAAGTGAAAGAAGTGAAAGCAGTGAAAGTCGGAACGCCTGCTCTCGCTTCGAATGCTGGTTCCCAAACGCCCATTCTATGCAGCCACTCCGACATGTTATACCATGATGCAGACTCCCCTGCCATTCAAGCATTCGCTACTTCGCTGACACTGTTCTCGTACTCGGTCAACTTCAACGCCTCTTGAACGTCCGAGACGAAGTGCGACTCTCCACCGACCAGGTCGATGATGCCCGCCTGTCTCATGAGTCTCCAGATGTGATGGCGCGGGTTGGTGGGGCCGCGGCTGAAGAACACTCTGACGCCGCGCTCCCTATATCCGCTCACAATCTCCAGCAGCACCTGCGTGCCGGATCCGTCCAGGGAAGTGACACCGTGGATGTCGAAGATGACATTCTTGTTATGATGGTCACCCCGCAATCTTGGCAGCGCGGGATGGGCCATGCTCGTGCCGTAAAGCTCCAGTCGCCGAAGACGCGCCTTCAGCTCGCCGGTGTTGGCAAAGGTCAAGGGCTCTGGGATCTTGACAATGAGGCAGCCCTCTACAAACTCCAGCCTGTCAGGGTTCAGCTCAGCGTTCTCGAAGCGGTGCGTGCCGGGGATGCGGCCCAGAATCTGGATGCGGGGACGAGTCGAGTGCTTGATAACTTGTAGTAGAGACAGACCGACGCCAATGGCCATGCCGAGGGTTAGTGAGTAGAAGATGGTCGAGACAAAGATAATGACCATCAGGCCAAGTTCGGTCCAGCCTCGGATTTTGAAGAAGAATGCAATGTCATGAGGAGCCTCCTCGAGCAACGACCAGGCTACAACCGTGATCATCGATGACAGAACCGGTTTCTGGTAGGATGCGGTTAGTGAATGAGCACAAAACTAAGACGAGTTGACTTACCGGAAGGTAGAAAAAGTATGGCAGCAAGAAAAACACAGCGAACAGCGTAATCAGACTGAGAAAGATGGAGCTCATTGGTGTCTTGCCACCGGTCTGCTTGTTCAACTTGCTTCTTCCATAACCGCCAAAGGCAGGTAAACTCATGAAGCAGGCGCCAACAATGTTGGCAGCGCCCAGTGCCACGAGCTCCCTGTTGGGGCTGAGCTGGATCCCTTGCACACTATCAGAGCTGCTCAGGCTCTTGGCTGCGACAGACGATTCAAAGAAGCCGAGAAGCGCAATCAAGAAGGACGTGCCCATGGCCTCGCGAATATGCGGCATGTGAGAGGTCTGGAACGGCCAGCGGAAAGTGAACAGATGTCCTGAAGCCGCTTTGACTGGACCGAGGATCTCAACACCCTTGCTTTCCCAGTCGAATTGCCAAGATAGGATCGCGGCAATGACAACGACAAAGAAGCGATCGGGAATGTAAGCAACTCCTGGATACTTGGGTTGCAGGTGTTTCTTGAGTTCTCTCATTGTCATCATGATTACAAAGCTGACCCCGGCAACAATGAAAGTGAGCTTGTGAACATGGTCGAAGGAGCTGAAGATGAACTCCAGCTTGTCCATACTGCTCCCGTGGCCCACGCCCATTTCCGCCGCGTACTTGGCAAGGCCGAGCTCGGGGATTGACTGGTCGACAGCGATAACAAAACCAATGGCAGAGATAAAGCCTCGCAAGAAAGGTTTGCTGAGAACGCTATCGAGAAAGCCCAATCGAGCCAGGCCAGCGATGAAGACCGTAGCACCGGCCATGCCTGCTACGACTCCGCAGATTTTGGCCTGCACCTCGGCATTGTACTCGTCGTCCATGTCATGATCGATGCTGCCTCTGACCACAGACCCGACCAACAGAGACCCGGCAGCTTCTGGACCGACAACCATCTGCGGCGCGCTGCCGAAAATGGCATAAATGAACGGGTTGAAGACGAAGGCATACAGCCCGTTGATCGGAGGAACGTGCGCCAGGTTGTCGGCAAGCGAAAGGGCCATTGGCAGGTAGAGGGATGCAAGAGTCAGAGCTGCGACAAGGTCTCCCTTCAGGTAAGACCATTTGTATTGGGGCAGCCAGGTCAAGAGGGGAATGTAGTAGGAGAGGTACCTGCGGAACGATTGTTTGTTAGCAAGCGAAGCTGTGTTTGCCCAGAACATGCAAACTTACATCCAAAGGTTGTCCTTGAAGCCGGCCTGCTCTGCCAGGGTGCTCGAGGTGTGCATCTTCTTGCTCTTGATGCCCCTGATAAACCGCTTCCTCCAATGGTCGTCGCCGGTGAGCGCAGTCAACATGGGGTCGAGGATGGGGATCTCGGACGCTGAAGACGAGGCGCGGTCATAATCCGGGTTCTCGCTCCCAACGGGGCTCGCAGGTCGTGGGGAAAAGGTGCCATGAGGATAGCTGCTGGTAGGCGGGTTGTCGATGAGAACATTCTGCAGGAGACTCGTCGACTCGCTTGGCGGGAAGGTTTGCGGTCGGGCGAGGCTAGGTCCGGCGCGAGGAGGGTCGCGAGATTCGTTCTCGTTGGGAAGCGGGGTGGCTAACGGAGTGGCATCCTCGCGAGTGCTTAGGTATTCAGACTCGCCACCGACAGAGCTAGGAGATTGAATGGGAGAGCCCATTGTGTAGCTCTGGCGCAACGCGCTGGGGTTCGCCGGACGATGTGTTGTTTGCGAAGAAGGGCTGCGGCTCGGCTGAGGTCGGCTTCCTGACATTTTTGTGCCGTTACCCCCAAACAACAAGACGTTACAGGCTAACCGAGAAAACCATGCGAGGGGTTGCGGACCGAGACCCCAGGTCGACTTTGGCGGGGCTAAGCGAAGTTGAATCTTGAAAACGCAGATCAACTCTCGAAGGTTGTATTAAACTCGGCTATAAACGACCTTGTATGTTTTTCTTTTTGGGGAGGTTCTTGGTGTTCCTGGGAAGATGCAATCGTTTCGAGTTCATGTGGCAGAAGTTGGCGACGGGTAGAGGCGGAGACGGAGGCGATGTCGGGACGGGAAAAGAGCGGTGATGGGATAGTAATGCCGGTATCAGTTTGCTGCAAAAGTCCCGGGCAGAACCATGATAAAAAGATTTGTCACACCAAGGCTGACTCGTTACTCAAACGATTGCGAAGGAGTTGGGATATATTATGCCATTCGCAGAGGCGACTGGGTATAGATAGATAGGGTAGGCCGTACGCAATGGGAGCTTGACCCAGGCCAGGCCGTTCCAGGCAGTTTGGCAGTTTGGCAGAGCAAAGCGGTTGGCGAAATGTTTTTCTGCAAGGATTGTCATTCCGCAGTCGCTCAGGGATCGGAGTGACATCAATGCGTGCTGGGCCCAAAGGTTATGTGTCAGCAGAACTCGATTCGACGATACGACGTGGGTGCTTTGTCTGGCGTTACGTACTGATTGCCATGCCCATTCCTGGTTAGGAACGAAGAGGATGCGGCGGGGCTACCGGCAAACCCGTCCCGCGGCGAACTCGAGCGCTAGCCCCGATCAGGTACACCGCCTGGAGGATTTCACGTGAACCACTCTTTTCCCACCGTGTTACCCCGCCCGCCCAATCCCGAGCGCGCCCCTCCTCCTCCTCCTGCCCGTTTCGCTTCGCACCTAGGTACTTACACCGTGGTAGCGCATCTTGTCTTCAGTGTCGGTCCTTCCCGCAAATGAGCGGCCTGCAGCCGATCGGCAAAAGTCACGATACATGGCACGTGATGTAGCATTTACCTTCCCTTCTTCTCTTCTGATTATCAGACTGTCCTCCGCAGGACCATGGATTTGAGAATGTGTCATTTGATTGGCCCACTCGAGCGTCGTCATGTCGAATGAGACGCGACCTGGTTGATTTGACCCATCACCCTATTGGGCTACTTATATCTCGTGATGAATCCACGATGGCTTACCCGTCCTTCATTCTTCGGAATGTGTGCAGACTTTGAGGTACCTAGCCTCAACTCAAGTTGGGCCGTTTGTTTCACCACGCCCACTGCGTAAGACGTTCTTCATCATAAACTGCATTAAGTCGAAATGTTGTCACCAGTACTGCGTGGCGTTCACCAACTGACAAAGACGACGCATATCTTTGCTCGACATACCATCCCGCTGGAGTGTGATGTCTATGCGGCGGAAGACTACCCGATCACCTCCCCCGTCTTCCTGTACTTTCACTCAGGTGGTCTCGTGACGGGTTCCAAGGCTTGTGTTCCGCCATGGCTTGCACAGGTGAGTCCACCAAATCCTTGCGTCTCATCGTGCTCGCCGATGTCTGTGGTCTGTAATTACTTAACAAAACATAACAGGTTTGCTTCAAGAACAAATGGCCGCTTATCAGCGCCAGCTACCGCATGCTTCCTCAAGCCAAGGCCTCGGGCCTGCTCGAGGACGCTCGGGCGGCTTACACGTTTGCGAGACGCTGGCAACTGTCCGAAAGAGCTTCCGTTGAACGCAAGGTGATTGTTGGTGGTGGAAGTGCGGGTGAGTAGTCATCGTGTCCTCGTTCTGCATTGAGTAGACGCTGAAGCATGCCTCCAGGCTTTTTCATGGCGTCCCTAACGGCTCATCATCTTACGCCACCTCCCATTGCACTGCTGTCAGTCACTGGCATCACCACCTTCCAGCATCCCTTCTTCAAATCTTCCGTCTTACTCACCCCCGAGCCCATCACGGAAGCCCAAATGTCCCATCATCTATCCGAGCCGGTATCCGCAGGATCAACGTCGGCCAATGACCCTCAAGTCTTTCATCTTGACAAGATCCTTCCCACTGGCTCCAAGAACACCGCATTCAGCATCCATCCGGTGCCCCTCACCAATGATGGGAATGTCGATAAATTCCCTCGTGGATGTCTTTACGACTATTACCTTTACAAAAATGAGTTTCCGGTCCTCGTTGCCGACATTGATCCAGGCTATGAGTGGGCCAAGTTGGAATCGGAAACCGCCAGAGCTGCAGCCTGGCCGCCCACAACCATCATACAAGGCGATGCAGACGATGATGTTGACCTCTCAGTGAGCAACCACATGGTCGATTGCCTCAAGGAGAGCAGGGTCAAGCTCTTTCTTGCGAAGGGCCTGCCGCATCGTTACGAGGCAACAAGGTTTCTTGAAGATGATGTTGAAGGAATGGATACCGTCAGGCAGGCCGTCTCCAACTTGGAGGCTGACGTTGCTCGAGTTGCTTGAACGACCAAAACTGGCTCGTTTGAGCCGGACAAAGCCGTCCCGCACCAACGCACCGCCAAGGCGCGGTCTTTCTGATTGGGAGGTTCGGGTAGGCGCATAGCCGTGGACACCAAAACCAACGTCTGACTACCTAATCGTGCGATACCGTCTCGATATGGGCCTCAACAGGAACCTTAGTGAACCTTCTCTGTGCTTCCATTCCTAGGCAAGTTCTGCGGCCCGCATCTACAAATGTGAACGTTTTGCATGCAGCCTTGGCGACACGCATTGTGAAGATCTGAAGCGCGGCAGTTTCCACCCATTCACCCTACGGCAAACACAAACACACATTTGACAGGAAAGCCCGCATCTTTGACAAACATGATTGAATGTCTTGGCCTTTTGCGGTAACGTGTTGCCCCAGCTGCGGGCAATCATGCGGCCTTTCAGCCGGGGGTCCTCGAGATCTGACAACCCCTCCTGGCCCCCAAACTCCTTACGCCACCAGCAATCAACCTTGAATTCAGGGGTATCCTCGGCCATCAAGGCCAGCACAATCACAAAAACCTCATGCACAATTTTGTTATTCGTCAACACAGCTGTGGACGCTTGCAATTCCTAGACTAAACCAACAGTCGATATAACGTTGTGATTGGCTGTTACGCACCAATGCACATGTGCCGCATGGATGTCACCTCCGTGCTGGGCGCTTCCGTTGCCAATCCCCGCTCTTTCGGGGGCCGCTTCCCGTCACAATCACATCCAGGCCATGACTTAGACTTTCAACCCAACATACATCGTGAGCGTAGCCCCCGGCTGACTTCACAAAGGACTGCCGTGCGGAGAGATTCATTAAACATTGGGGGGGCATGGCGTCCATTTGGCGAATCACTTGCATCCCACTTAAATCTTGTGTTTGTGACGAAGTCGGGCACCTTGTCAGCCCATGCGAAGGATTGCACACTGCACGTCCAATAGCACATACCAACTGCACGACGTCAAGCATAGTGGTTCGCGCGACATTCCTTGCTTTCCCTGTGCTTGGTGTGATGACAATTGTTGGCGGGTCGTGATGAATATAAGGAAGCTGTCTGCGCGTGCCTTTCCCTCAATTCTTACCACAACAGCATCATCTCCTACTTATTAACAAAGCACCAACAATTACTCAATAAGTTGGTTTTTAAGCTTAATACAACCAAGACATAGTTTTTTCTCATTACGTTTTTGTCATCGAAATAGTCAGCAATTATCCCAAGATGCATGTCCTTATCAACAAATTGCTTTGGGCCACCATCATAAGCCTTGCCACAATCGCGGTCGCTTCCGAAAATGGGCTAGAGATCATGGTTCCTCGAACGTTTATCGATGCTGACGGCACTGCCTCAATCATTCATGTAAACCGCAGACTCCAATTCACCAAAGGATCCGAGGGCACACGGCCAGTGCGGCTCTCCAAGCGCTCTGCCTTCTCGTCCGGAAGAGACGAGTGGTGCGGTGAACTGGCCGAGGATCCTGCGGCAGACTATTCGGCTTCAGCCCCTTCGGCCGCGGATTGCCAAGCGCTCGCCAGATCTCTGAGCAACCAGAACGGATTTTGGACATTGCAGCCCAGCGACTTCTCCTCAGATGGTTGGGCTCGCATTGTAAGCTCGGGATCTTGCAGTTTCGCGGCCAGACACGCCGACTCCGGCAATTCTGACAGCCCAATGAGCATCGGTACGAACGACATTCGCTTCTACACGACGAGATATGGCGTTTTGGCACAAGACGGGAAACTAGGGTTGCAAGGGACCGTTCAGTGTAACAATGCTCAGAAGATGCTTATTGTGACTTGGGGTTTGCTCCACAGCTGATATTTGAAACAATGAGTACAATGAGTTCAGTAAGGGCGATGTCACTGTTAATTAAAGGTTTGGCGGCAAGTTGTGTTGTTTGACAGTTCCCACGATGGTTGAGCACGGCGAGCTTGATCTGTATTTAATCGCGATCGTTAGTTGGCAAAGTAGCACTGTACACAGGCTGCTTTGCATTCTAAGCTACAAAAGTAAAACATCGACAAAGCTTACAAACTCCTAGTCGCCGTCTAAAACTTACTTCGCTCAAGTGTGTTGAGAGACCTGCTCATCCATGATTTACTCGGAGAAATGGGGTATACGGCATGACTGTGCTTTCCCAGACGCACCATCACTCTTCAGGCAGTCCAGACAGTTGAAGATCCGCCTCTGTTGGATAATCTTCTTTGCTTCCTTCTCGACTTCGTGTGACAAGTTGCGACTGATATACTTGTTTGAACGACAGCCGCAGACCCCTATCTCTCGTATGCAAGGAAACTCCAGCATGGTGATCTTGGGAAGGTCGACCGCTGTTTCTAAAAGGTTGCAGAATTTGTGTGTCGCAAAGTCGATATCATTGGGCAGGATATTGGACTTGCGGAGAGTTTCCATATAAGCCCCAAGTGCTTTTGCCGACCTTACGCATGGGTTTTGCGAGATATCCCAGGTCCAAGTTAGAGGGTTAATGAGGCCTTTGTAGAATGCATTGCAGCACCCGTGGCGTTTTTCTTCGAGGCAACCTAAGCTAATCAGCCTCGCCTCAGGTATTGTGGCTTTAAAGTAGGCTTACGGATGATATCGTGCCGTAGCAGAGGATGATCTGCGAATATCTTGACTTGGTCTGAAGTCGATAAAAAAGGGCCTTTATGATAGAGGAAGATTCTCCAGGATATCTCTGAAAACTCGAGAGGGAGGTCTACCACATACGAGAACACCAACAGATGACAAAAATCAGTCATTGGCGGCACGTTCTCGTCGAAATCCTGCAGCCAGTCTCTGATCCAGACCATTCCACAATACTTTAGCGCTTGGGTACATTCGTATTTGTCGCCGATGAATGCCAATCGAGATAGGTCTATCGGCTCTGGTCTTTCAACCACATAAACGTTGTGAAGAATCTGGCACAGGGTGGTCATTGCCTCGACATCGTCATCGGGGAGATCGATACTGCAAGGGTCGGAGAAGCCCGTAGACTTTGCAAGTTCAGTGGCCTCCTTAAACTTCCCGCCAAGCATGGCTTTGAATACCGGCGAGTTCAACATGAGAACCTTGGAGGAGACCCTCAGCTCATCGTTCGTGACTTGTTCATAGTTCGCGAGCTTCTCATCGGCATACTCGCCGCTCTCTCTGCCCTCGGCAACCTCAGCATCGTCAACATCCATGCGACTCAGCTGGAGGATGATATCTCCATCTTTGTCAATCTCATGACGATTAGACATTTCCGGCTATGGTGAGAAGAAGGCTTTGGAACACGTAGTTGAGATGGCGGTTCGGCTAAGGTGATCACCTCAAACCTGTCGTTAGATGTTTCTATAGGCAGAGTCAAACTCAAAGAGAGAATCTAGTAGCAGCTTCCGCATTGATGCGTCAGCATCTCTACCCCGCGTCTTGATTGACTGCGGACTGTGAACGGGCCTCCCAAGCAAACGCAGCCCTACGCGTCTCGTCAAAGTTTGGGCAACTCGGCTGACGTTGGGCTCATCACCATGATCATCCTAACCATTTCCCTCTAGGCCCTAGAATCAGGAATATTCGCTCCCGAGAGGCAAGAAACTGTGCAACGTTACTGATAACATTTTTATTTCCATATGAGATCACTCGACGTGGCTGAGTACGTCTGTAGACCGTCGCAGTCCGTTTCCAGGATTTAAAAAGCTTGAGGAAATCCCATGACTAAAGCTGTCAGACGGACGCTTCGAACCACTCTATGTAGGTAACAGGCGTTAACATGTCTATATGACTGTTTGCCTGTTTGGAAAATAGTCCCATGATACTTGCTAGGTATGGGTCAGACATCTCCTTAAACAGAAATTGTTCATGAAATGCCGTCACTTGTCGAATGTCAACTCGTTAGCGACTATGTCGATTGGGTATCTTAAATCTGTATTGCAGCCATCACACCGTTGTGCCACGTTGTAAGTTGACTGGACGCTAGGACGTTTGTGCTAATGAAAATTGAACGAAGCCAAACCAGCTGATTCTCCATCCCGCCGTTGCGAGCCGTGTTGCATATTATATAGTTCCTCTAGCATCAAGTCTTACTCCTCACTCCTTCTCTTCTGAATATTGGCCAAGAGGGCCAACCGTTCATGCACCACTGTTCCTCCTAATTGCTTCCGCCGGGGGTTCTTCGGGGGTGTCGTCTAAAGATTTCCTTCTGAACATGTCTCGCACACCGTGGATGAGGCTGGTGCCCTTAGGTGTTGACTCGGCCGAGCTTGCGCTCCATACACTGCTCCTCCGCCGTCTTCCAGGGGACGGTGCGTCTTCGACGATCCGAGCATCGGCGTAATGACCTAAAAATACGCGTGTTAGCTTCACATGGCGAAAACAGCCGGCGGTTTCCAGAAAAAACCCACGAATGTTGCCGGCTCCGCCTCTTCCAAAGGACACACGGCGACCGCTTTTGATATTTAATTCATTCATCGTAGTGGTAATAATATGGTACAACTGTGGGTGATGGCATTCAAGATCTCAATTGCGTGATTCGACTGGGCAGTGAGAAGCACATCCATACTTATGCCCCAGGGCCCAGCAGATCGTCCTCGTTGACAGGCAATCTGGCAAACTGTCACGATAAGTCGTAGACCCTCAATTGGTCTTCCGCCTTCCACCTTCCCCCGGCGACTGACGCCCCCAGAGCCGTAGAGCTCGATGCCTTGTGCTCTATGATGCAGGTGATGTGGGATCTCCGCAAAGCTTGGTCCCGATTAGCGTCATGATCTGCGCGTCCAAGATAGCGAATGGCGACGTGACTGGCGAAGGGGTGCGGGTACAACCATCCCCGAAAGCTCGGAAAGCAAATCACTTTTCCTTTGATGTGATGTCATCAACAGCCGAGTTCAGAAACGGTTCCGTACTGGCTTGTCGTTCGGCGTCGCGCTTTGAAGTTTGTTTCGAGGCTTGGTTCTAGGTTGGATGGGTCCCTGAGACCGACCCTTTAAGGAACCGTACGGGCGGGGTTCTTCCAATCTCATACGTTGTATGGAGGGCTGTATTTTTAGAGGCGCCTCCATCTCTCTTCCTCAGAGGGTAGACGAGGCGAGGCAGACACCATTCAGGCTAGGTCCCCATAGGGAATGTGAGGCTTGGGGGGTGGTGGGTGGATGTGTGCGAGGTGGATATCAGGACGGCCCCCTGTCGGCACCCCACACCCCACGACGTAACCCCGGATCCGGCACCACCCCGCTCTGTTGGCTCATTGACCGGTGAGAAGGGTACGGCATACATCAAAGGACCGACTTCTCGGTACGTGATAGCGTTCCAGAACCCAAAGGCCCGGGCCATTCCACCGAATCATCTGCTGCTGTGAGCTTGTTGCTCATGTTTCGTTTCTGGGTTGCACATAAACACTTTGACAAATGGGTGAGTCGAAAGGGAGGTTCCGGCCAAGAATGATCATTGGGGAAGAGTGGCCACTAGTTTGAGCTGAGCCTATGAGAGGCTAGAGGGACTGAGAGCGAAACGCTAGCCTGGACGGGAAAGCATGTGCCGTTAGCATTCAGGAAGTGATAGGGGCTTGGGACGGCTTCCTCGCTTGTACCTGTTTCGACGGACCATGTCACCAAGGTCCCCTTTCAAGCGCTGTGCATGACAGGCGGGCGCCTTTTGGTTTTCTTTCTTACTTTCTTTCTTTTTTGGACGCAGGCCTTTCCAGATGTCAAGGAGAAGAGCCGAGGAATGATTGGTGTGCTCTCATAAACATGCAGGATTGGTATTGTTGTGCTGAAAGTAGCCAAAAATCCGCTAGCCGTCCACTAACATATTACAAAGTAGATCAACACCATGAACGGCAAACATGCCAGTTCTAAACGAAAGTCGTTTGTACAGTGAAACACCCGTCAGGACAAGCCCCTTCACGACGCCGTAACGTCGTAGTAACATGAGAAGACGGGCCTCAAGTCCCGCTTGCCCACGCTCTCGCTCGCCGCTCTAGAATGATGTGAAGTGGGACTGTGACCGCTGTCGACCCGTTGAGAAGACGAGGTCAACGTCATGCTCTCCACATAGCCCTTCAGCTGTTCGGCCATCAAACTTGCCCGTGCCTTGCGCTCGAAGCTGGAGACGTCATCAAACTCATCCGACTCCTCTTCGTCAAGCTCCCCGGCGCCTCGGCGGTGGGTCGCAAACCGCAGCGGTGTCTTGACAGCCTTGATCTTGCGAACAAAGTCTCGGCGGCGGAGGTGGTATCGTTGCGACCTCGCACTCCAGAAGTCCTTGGACATCTCTCCCAGCTCCTCGGCACGCGCGCGGGCCAGACCGGCCGGCGTGACGTCGACGTTGCTCTTCCAGGCTCCCGCTAGCTTCTTTTCAGAGGAGAGCATCGACTTGACGAGGTTGCGCATGCGAGTGTCGAGAAGGGCGCCGGAGCCCGGAATCGTATGGTCGACCAAGCCCATCGTGCGAGCATCGGCCGTCGAAAGGGGTGCCATGCCACGCAAGAGCTTGGTGGCTCCAGCCGGGCCACATCTTCCGGTGTATGACAGGGAGTGGTATTCGGAGCCGTGCAGACCAATGGCACGGTAAGCCGGGTTGAGGACCACTTCAGATCCAGCGAGAACAACGTCGCATGCGGCGGCCATGGCGACGCCTCCCGCTGCGCAGTTGCCTCTGATGCCGGCAACGGTAAGGATGTTGCGTGAGGGGAACTCATGCAACAGGTAGTGTACCACATCATCAATGCGGTTGATGTTCAACCAAGACTCGAGGGCCGGGTCAGCAGCAGCCTCGATAACGTTCAATGCAATGCCGTTGCTGAAGTACCCTTCACCCCCATGAGCACAACAGCGCTAAGGGGCCGTTCCACGACATGGGTGGATGTGATGAAGTCAAGGGCGCCAATCATGCGGGCGCACTGCTCCGTGCTCATGGCGCCGTTGTAGAAGTCGAAGTAGAGGAACGCAACCCGCCTGGCACCAGGAAAGGTCTGAAAGTCGACCCAAACATCCTGCTGAGTGCTGTGCGGGGCTCGTGACCAGTCAATGGTGGCCCTCGAGATGCGGTTCTCTGCGACGGCGTCGGTGGTGATGATGCCCAGCTCCCGCAGGCCGGAGATGGCTGGAACCTTGGGCCACAACATGGCGTCCGTCTTCTTCTTGACGCGGCGGATGTGAGTGATCCAAACGGCCTTCTCGTCGCACGTCGCAACGCAAACAGCATCGTCTCGGTAGGCAATGATTTGTCCGGGGCGTGCCGGGCCGGTGAGGTCGTCACCCTCCTCGATAGTACCGCCGTAGACGTACAGGGCTGGGCCAAAAAGTTTGGTCAGACAGCCCGGCTGGGAGTCCGAAGATCGGATCCTTCGCGATATTTCCCGAGCCGTGTGTGACTGGATGTCAAAATCGCGTTGAGCGGCTTTGAGAAGGGGACGGTGACGTGTTACTCCGCCAAGGAAGGCTTTCTGCAGTGTCACTGAGGCGTCGCGGTATGCGGGTTTTGCTTGGATGAGCGGGGTGACAAGGTGCGGGGCGAACTTCTCATTGCCCGGCGAAGGGGGAGGGGTGTAGGGTGAAGCTGCTTGAACAGAGGCGGTTTGAATCCTCTCAATGGCTGCGAGGGTGGCTGTGAGAGCGGCCCGCGTGACGGGACCACGATAAATGCTCGACTTTGTGATGTCGGGTGAGTCGATTTGCAAGGGGAACTGCTCAAAAGCCCACACTGGTCCGGCGTCGAATTCCTCAACGGCTTGAAGGACTGTGACACCCCAGTACGATCGACCGAACTCGCTCCATGTGCCGTCCCGGATAAGGGCCTCGGGGTCTGCCTCGGTTCCGTCGTCGCCCATCAGCACCCAGTCCAAGGCGCTAGGTCCAGCGTCACCAGGAGGGCCGGGGTGGATGATGAGGGTAAGGTAATTTTCGTAGACTTCGCGAGGGACCCGAGTGGTGAGGAATGGGCAGATAATGAGATTGGGCTTGGCCAACCTGGACGCCTCAATCATGGCTTCGTCTGAGAGGGCATATTCGATGGTGATGGTGTGAGACTTAGAAAGGGCCAAGTACAGACGCTGCGACAACGAGTTGTGCGCCGTGCAAAGGAAGAGAATGTTCATGATGGCGGCGTTTGATGGGATAAGCAGCAAACGAACGGAGTGAAGAGTTGATAAGGAAAGAAGAACGTTCCGCCGGAATCTGGTCGCAAGGACGTGCGGTGAACTGGCACCATATATGCCATCCGTGATGGGATGGGATGGGGGGAGGGCGGCGGGCTGAGGGGGGTGTGTGTGTTCGTTCCGTCGGAGGCTTCAGCTCGGAGTATGCACAAAGTGGCTCCCACCCCTCCGTTCCTGAACGGCCTTGTGCGACTTGGTAGGTTTAACGGCCAAGTTCTAGCGCTTGCCATAAGCATCATGCCATTATCAATGCACCTCACTTGTCTTTGGTGGCCTTTGACCCCGCCTTGAGTCGAGTCGAGTCGAGTCGCGTCAAGCAAGAATCGACGTGGTGATGTCGTCCTGGCCTTGACTTGGGCGAAGCCCTTCGCAGACCACACCGGACGAACCGGCCTCGGACCTGAAAGGCCCAGGCCTAATCAGTGTTGGCATTTTGGGACGGACAACCGAAAGTGGCTGCTTTGTGGGATGAGAGGCAGCTCTTTGACTCAGGGGCGCGTGCTGCATTGGGCGACCACTGAAGGACGCTAAGCAATGGAGCAAAGACCTTGCCTGACTAGCGCCGTCAATTGCTATCTCTAGTCGGCACTTTCCATGGACGGACATAGCTAGACAGCGCGTTTCGAGGCCTTTGAACAACTCGAGATCAGCAGAGTCGAACGAAGCCATCGCTTAGTACATCGGGTCAGAGCGACTTTGCAAACTTGCCCATCCAGTCGATACGGGGGGCGAGATCTTCTCGTCGTCCCCGAGCACGGCCCCAGTAAGAGCAGCGTGAGCTTCTTGGGCCAATGGTCACTCGGCCGAGTGCCCACCCTTCAGAAAAATTCCATATCGATTCCACGGCGATTCCAATTGCGAATGACGGTCTTGAAACTATCCGGCAAAGAAGGATGCGAGGGCGCGGCACACCGCCCAGCCCATGGCAGCCACCGTGGTCTCGCCCCGAGAGAGAGTTCTGCCTGTGCGTCACAACCCGAATCAGTGGCTTCGGTCCTTGTCTAATGCTTTCAGTGTTCAGCGTTGCATGATGTTTGCACTATTTCAATGTGACGAACAATGTGATGACACGAACCAGAGTATCTCTTGACAGCCTCACACCCACACGAATGCTTGCTTTGGTACCGAGGCGTCCCTGGCATATCCGCATCCGTCATTCTGACAAGTCCATGGTACTGGTGCCAGACCACTACCGCCCCTGCCGTACAAACACTCTGGATGTCGTGGAGACCTGACTTGGTGGACGGTCACCGTCCAGTAGTGTGTCACGTAAGTAGATACTGCCAAGCTTGGGGGTGGAAGGGAGGTGTCGCTAGCAGGTCATACTCCGAATGACACTGCAATACTATCGCCTTCGTCTGGAGTGACGGCAAGCTCCAGCAACTCATGGGCCCGATCCACCGTATCCGCATCGATGGCCGCTTCGTAAACCAAGTCCTCCTCGGCAAAGTTGAGCCTCGAAAGAGACAGAATATACCGCTGAGAACCTCCATGAGACACTGAGAGCTTGGGAAGTATATTGGCAATATTGGCCGTGGTCGGATCCGTCACCATGGTGTGGAGTAGCAAAATGATCTGCGATATCAGGAGAGACGGATCATTACGGCCATCATCCGAGTCGTCGACACTATTGCGGGGGTCGTCCGGGGTAGCACTCACGGGCCCGTCCCTGCGCGAGTCGGAAGAAGCGCCACTAACGGTCTTCACTACAGGGTCAGAAACGTCGTACAGAATATCAACCAGCTCACTCAGCGCTGTAACCAGACGTGGTATGACACTGACGTGGCCCGCGATCTGTCGTGCTCCATAAGGGGTACAAGCAAAAGCCATTAGGGTTCGTAGAACTGCAAATCTCACAGCGTGCTTCTGGCTCGTTGAGGAAGCGGCTCGAGGCAAGTCAACGAGGTTGAGGGAAACCTTGTCAATGACCATTCTGGCGACCAAGTCGGGCTCTTTTCCTGGTATGATGGGTCCGATGGAGCTAGGCAGTGCGGAAGTGCAAAGCATGTCGAGCATGCCGATGATGTCGTCTAAGCGTTGCTTGGGCGTGAGCAAGATGAGAACCAAGTCGAGAGTGATTCGTTGCCAAAAATCAGCTTGCCTTGTTTGCGCGCCGCCGTCCGTTTCCGCCAGGATGGTGGCGCAGGCTGCAGCAGAGGCGTAGAGAAGGGACAAGATGTAAGTGGTGTCAACCTGCTGCTGCATGGCGTCCGTGCTAGGATCGGATGAAATATTGCCATCTATGCTTTTGAACCGTGCTTCGGCAACCATGTAGATGGACTGCTGCAGGACTGGGATCAATTCCTTGATGATCTGCGGCACAACGGATATAGTCTGCAGCTGGAGAGTGAATGAGAGCAGTGAGGCCAAGTCCCAGATCGGTCGAAGGAAGCCCTCGTCCAAACATTGGCTCCACATGCGGATTACGTGGTGGGCGAAGTCTATTAGTAGCTGAACTGGATTCAATGGGTTGCCCATCAGAGGTAGTTCACGAAAGATGAGAGAGGCGAAAGATGTTGTAGGATCGGATGGGTAAGAGTAGCGTGACAAGATGTCAAACGTAGGCGGCTCTCCATGCAAGGACCCATGATCCAAGATGACTTGGAGGAACTAGCATTGGCTGTTAGCGACGAGACCTAGTGTCCTAGTGTCAATGAGGGCGATGATACATACCTCGAAAGGGAGCGCAGTTGGACCAGGGCCCGAATAGCGAACTGCGGAGTTTGCAGTCGCCGTTTCGTCAACCATGACGATGTCCTCGGCGTGAGTTTCCAGAGCCATGACCGGACTGTCAACCGTTGGTCTTTTCCGTTTGCCTTTGGTAGGTGTCCTCTCGGACAGAGGCACGGCAACGGGACCAGCATCTCGAGATTTCCCCCTAGTCTTGCTCGGGCTCGGGGCAATGTCCATGTCGTCGAAGCCGTCCGCCATGCCCCAGGTCTTGGCCGTCTTCTTAGGCGTGGTCGTACCCGGCGCCGTAGGTATTGGAGCGGTTTCCCGCGGACGAGGACGGCGCGACGCCTCTTTCATATCTCGCTGCAAGAATTGCAGCTCGGTGGTGGCCTGTCTCTCGGCAGCGACGGCGGCCTCGACAGCCCTCTCCTGCTTGGCAACTTGTTCGGCATTTTGCCTCTTGAGGCGGGCCACCTCAGCGACATGGTCTTGCTCGGCTTTTGATGAATTTGTCCGTATGATGGAGACTTCGCCACGGGTTGAGTTGAGCTCAGCCTCGAGTGCCTTGACTCGTTGTTGAAGGGCAGCAACGACATCGTTGCTGACCACCCCGGGAACTTGTGACTGGGCGGCGTCCTGGGGGTCGAAGCGTGAGGAGGCGGGTGGAGGGGGAGGCCTGACGTATGGACTTGGGAGGGGCCGATAGGGAGCGCCGACAGGGCCGTTTTGAAAGCGTTGCGAAGCGTCCGGAGGAACGTAGGACGGTACTGGTGGAGGGTATCGAGGCCGCGAAGACAGGACAGGTGGATTGGCGGGGGCTGGTGCAGGGTTCCATCGCTGCTGTGGTGGAAGAGAAGGATGTCTTGGTGGTTGGGGCTGATGCTGGGCAATGGTCTTGTCTGCGACCGGACGAGCAACGGGAGGCAAAAGCTCGTTGGTTACCTCTGTGTCATCTAGGTCGTCGTCTTCGAACTCGAGGTCATCGTAATTTTGGACTTGGGAACGGTCATAAGTTTGAGATTCGGGCTTGCGCTGTACCTGGGTGAACTGGATGGCGTTGTTCTCGAGCTCTTGGAGGGTGACGTCGTTCAGGTCGTCAAAATCGTCGTCGGAGAAGTCATCCATGATGGTTGTGGAGCGTCAAGCCACGGATCAATGACCCATTGGCGACTGACGGTGTTTGTATTCGGCGTGTTGACATATCTGTTGTGAATAGTGGCAGGTGCGGCGTACAGGTTGCGCCAGGCAAGCAACCATGACTTTTCTTATCTTATCGGGCAGCACTAAGAACACAGACGCGAGACGAGACGCGGTGAGAGCCAACGCGTCGTCAAGAGGGTAGAGAGCTTTTGCACAGCCACACAGTCTCGAGCCACAATCCTGCAAGCCACGGCCCACATGCCGCAAGTTCCTACCCAAGGTATCAATTTACATAGGTACATGCGTACCTAATGTCAGTCATCGGGAGCCGGGAACCGCACAGGCCGGCCGGCATGTGGTGGAGGGCTAGAAGGCGGCAAAGCTCGGAGCAACTGTCAAAGACACGGACAAAGCCAACAAAGGAGAGCGCAGACGAATGCAGCAGCCTGCCTTCATAGGTACCAACTTGCAGCTGCATCTCGGTTTTAGCTCAGCGGCTTGCAGGCAAAGGCAGGCAAATAGGAGAACTCGCGCCTCAGCCGATGGAGAGACGTGTCACAGCCCAGCCAAAGCCAGCTTTCACCCGTACCGGTGCTCATACCTACCGGTAGTAGTGGACATCCGCATGTAGTACATTATGGAGGAGGGCATGTGATGATGTCAACAGGCGTCGACAGCATTGTTTCGGCTTGGCCGGAGGCAGGATTCTGCCCAATCTCGAGCAAATCGCGGGCCACGGGACTGACCCATTCGGAGGCTACCCGATAGTGTCTTCAGGGCATTTACAAGTCGTGCGCTGGGCTGGGGCGCCTGTCCCCAGCATGTCGGGACTCGGACCTGAATGTTGGTCCCTGAGATGGGATTGTCGAGGCTGACCAGCTCAACACTTTTGGTGGGCACACAGGGGATGGGTGCTGCTAGGTATTGCGCAGGCTCTTCGTCCCTACCTAGGGAAACCAGGGGTGGAAGGGTGGGTAAATTGGAGGCCCTGTAATACGTGTAAAATAAAAACCAAAATGAGTTGAAAGCACGGGGCCTCATCTCAGGGCAACTCTTTGCTCATGCACTTGGAGGACGTGTACATAGTGCTGCGTTCCCTCCACCAGACCGGGTGGTAAGCTGCCAAGGATTCTGGTTCGCAACACTTCCGAGTCTGTTGTCGCTGGTGCTGATTGAACGGGAAAGAGAAAAAAAAGGAGCCCAGCCAGCTGGCGGAGTTGGCGAAGGATCCGGAGCCCGAACCGGAGGCCGCACTACCTATGTAATAGTACTGTGATTACCTACCCAGCGGGTACCGCAACTCCAATCATGTACCAGGCTTACCTAATCTCCGCCTGCGACGCCAAGGTGGCACAGGCGGGCGATATGGTGGTGCGCGTCCGGCGCGGGCATGCGAGTTGGAGTTGGAACTGGAGAGTCCGCCCACTCCAGTGTGTCCAGCCCAGCCCCGGGTCCTCCCCGCCTAGAAGCCACAGGGCCTGACGTAGCTCCTGCTTCTCTGCGCTAAGTAATTGTAGCGTCATCACCCGCCCAGACCAGCTGCCTGGGTGCCGCTGCAAGCTTCTGCATTTCATGGGCCTGGAGGCACTCGAAGGATCAAGGATGGAGGAGGACGAGGAGAAGGGAGACGACGTCTTTCGCTGCTTCCCGCTGGTTGCCTGCCAAAACACACACACACACACACACACACTCAGCCACAGCACGCTGGCTATAGCTTTGGCATACCCTGGACCACCGCAGTAATAGTAAGGGACGTAACAGACAGAAAGAGAAGCACCAAGAAAGAGACCCGAGGAGAGGAGGCCCAGTGCTTTGGGTGCCAAAGAAAACCCACCCGGTCTAGCTTGGGGAAGGAGGAAAATGAGGAAATAAAACAAAATAAAAACACTTTCGAGGGTACACGACATCCGTCCGCAGCCGCAATACGCAGTACTACGCAGGACCCCCAAAGTACCCACTCGTATTTTGCGCCAGCTGGTGCCTTTCCCGCCTTTCCGCCCCCCGTCGACTTTCGCGCGCCTCTCTGTCTTCGGTTCAACACACAAACATCCACCGAAGAATCGTCAACCCCTTCCCACGGCCCTTTGACCTTTCAGCCCTTCAACCTGCCACCAACACGATCCCTCCCCGAACCCACGCCCCCGTTCCCTTGACGCCTTCGATCGGAATCTCGCAAAATCGCTCGCCAACTGGTCCAGCCCCAACAGCAAGCGCCCCATCCTACCGTCCGCCCCAGCGCTCCGACGGCCCAATTTGCGCCGGTCTTCCGCTCCCAATCTTTGCCGCATCCGAAGCACCCGCTCTACCGCGATTCTGAACGAGCGACCGGCCTCGACGAAGCTCTCGTCGCGTCAAGCGAATTCACTGCCTCATCAGTAGTCGCAGCCGACTGCCTCTCCTCCCTCCCAAGAGATCGCGAACCCGCGCACAGAGACATGATGGCACGTACACGGAGGGGGGTCAAGTTCCCTCACAAAACCAACGGTCACGGCGAAGGGCGCCGCTCAAGCTTCAGCGACGTCAGCGAAGATGGTTCGCCCTCCAAGCTCAAGACTGGCGCTGCCCTGGATAACATCGCGGAAGTAAGCGAACCCCTTTGCTATGCCACGTCACGATATCAAATCGAGCAGGAACCGCCCCCTATCAAGCTCACTGCTAACATGCCCTGTCTTCAACAGCAGCCGCCCAAGTCCCCCGAGGAAGAGAAGCGCGAGGCCTACGAGAAGAAGAAGGCAAACTTTCTGACCCGTACCTTCTGGACCTTCGTCATGTTCGCAGGCTTCTTCGCTGCTCTTGTCATGGGCCACATCTACATCATATGCATCATGACGGCCATCCAGATCATCTCCTTCAAAGAGGTAATTGCCATCGCCAGCGTACCGAGTCGCGCCCGCCAACTGCGCTCCGCCAAGAGCCTCAACTGGTATTGGCTGGCCACCACCATGTACTTCCTATACGGCGAGAGCGTCATCTACTACTTTAAGCACATTGTTCTGGTCGACAAGGTGTTGCTGCCTCTGGCAACCCACCACCGCTTCATCAGCTTCATCCTGTACATCTTTGGTACGTCATGCCTAGCGCCGCCTGTTTCCCGCTCAGCCAAGGACCGTCGGGACGTTTACTAACCCATTGGATACTTACAGGCTTCGTCTTCTTTGTCACCTCGCTTCAGGCTGGCCACTACAAGTTCCAGTTCACGCAGTTCGCCTGGACGCACATGGCCCTGTACCTCATCGTCGTGCAAGCCCACTTCATCATGAACAACGTCTTCGAGGGCATGATCTGGTTCTTCCTTCCGGCCGCCATGGTTATTACGAACGATATCTGGGCTTACCTTTGTGGAATCACGTTTGGTCGCACCCAGTTGATCGCCCTGTCTCCCAAGAAGACCGTCGAGGGTTTTGTCGGCGCCTGGGTTTTCACAATCATTTTCGGCATGCTCTTGACCAACGTCTTGATGCGCTCTGACTTCTTCCTTTGCCCCGTTAACGTGAGTATACTCCTGTCCTTCGCCGAGGTCTATCGGCTTGCTAACCTGTTCAGGATCTGGGCGCAAACATTTTCACCGGCCTCGAATGCACGCGCAACCCTGTCTTCAACCCCAAGACGTACAGCTTGCCGCCTCTCTTCTTCCTCCCTCCCAATATGCACAAGACCTTCTCCTTCACCGTGGCTCCGATGCAACTCCACACTCTGGTTCTCGCAACCTTTGCTTCTTTGATTGCTCCCTTCGGCGGCTTCTTCGCCTCAGGCCTCAAGCGCACCTTCAAGATCAAGGACTTTGGCGACTCTATTCCCGGTCACGGTGGCATGACGGACCGAATGGACTGCCAGTTCATCATGGGCTTCTTCACCTACATGTACTACCACTCCTTCATCGCCCTCCACAAGGTCAACCTTGGCGACGTTATGGAGATGGCCGTCACTGGTTTGACCGTGGAAGAGCAGCTCGAGCTAGTGAGGGGCATGGGCCGTTATCTCAGCAACCAAGGTGTTTGGGGAGACGAGGTTTGTGGTCCCGAACTTTTGCCCGACTCAGGTATATACTGACCAACTTCCCAGATTATCCAGTGTTTGGACAAGGCTCTGCAGGCCAAGAGGTGAAGGACGCCCAATGGGCGATACCGGGCCAGCGGAGCGCGGGGGCAGAATACTGCTTTTTAATGACGAAGTAATGCGAAATCCGGTACATGTGCAGATTCGAGTCATGAGGCACCTTCGATTCCCGATTGCTCAGGAAAGCGGAAGAGCTGTTTTTGATGCTAGGCTGTTGGGGGGGACTCTGTGCAGCACCACGGGTAAACAAAAGCATTTGCGTAATGACGGCGACGGTCGCTGTACAAGAGAAATTCTTGGTTTATGAACGGGCAGGTGGAATTTGCATGGGCTTGCAGCTGTAACATACCCTCGCGACATTTTTCTTTCAACATACCACGTCCCACTCTCCATGTCGGACTGTTACGTACTGGTTGTAGTATGGCCACCCGTGACCCAAAGACGTGCCGTCGCCTGTACTTGTCATTAAAAGTTCACTGATTGATCGGCCGAGGTAGGTCTTTCGCAGAGCCGGGTATAACTCCCATGAAAACTGATATCCGGCCTACCGAAATTTGGACCGGGCCGGTTTCCGGTTTCCGGTCGTCGTTGTTTGGAGAAGCAATCCCGGTCGTACCTTATCTTAGCCCGCCACCCCGCTCCGGCCAGGGCAGACACAGGTTACCAAGTTCCGAATGACATCTGCGCCCTTCCCAAGTGGCGCGTTATCAACAGACCATCTCCATCCCTTCTCCAAATAACGCTATTCAATTCATCTTGTTGCAATTGAAAAACTCCAATACCAACTTTGCCCGACCCACTCGTTCCGTACACTCGGTCAAAGCTTGACAGAGCCACGGTTGAGCAGAAACCCTTCTCCGCGCCGAGCCCATCGTCCCCAGATCCCGTACATCGGCGGCCGTCACCGATCCTAAAACCCCACCATGGCTCCGTCCGCCGTGATTAACGACACCGAGTCTGCGCCGGCAGAGGCCCGCGGCGCCTCCATCGTGCCCAAGGAAGTACCTCACGTCAAGCACGGCCACGAGCTCGCCAACAAGACACCCCTGCAGGCCATGTCCCACGGCGACGTCGTGCTCGCCGGCATCCCCGAGTTCCCCGACTTCGCCTCAAAGCGCCAGTGGCAACTCGAGCACATGGCCGCGGCCTTCCGCCACTGGGCCCGCGAGGACTACATCGAGGGCATGAGCGGCCACATCTCCGTCAGGGACCCCGAGTACCACGATGCATTTTGGACGAACCCTCTCGGCCGGCACTTTGGGCTGCTCAAGGCTAGCGACATGATCCTCGTCAACCTCGACGGCGCGGTCATTGGCGGCAACCGCTCGAAACCGCCCAACACGGCTGGTTTCCTGATCCACGCCGCCGTTCACAAGGCCCGTCCCGACGTTCACGCCGTCTGCCACAGCCACAGCATCCACGGCAAGGCCTGGTCCGTATTTGGCCGCCGGCTGGAGATGCTCACCCAGGACGCCTGCAAGTTCCGCGGAGACGCCCACAGTGTGTACAACAGCTACGGCGGAGTCGTCCTAGGACCTGAGGAGGGCGAGGCCATCGCCAAGGCACTCGGTCCCAGGGGCAAGGGCTGCATCTTGCGGAATCACGGCCTGTTGACCGTCGGACAGACCGTCGACGAGGCTGCGTTTCTCTACACCTCCATGGAGCGCAGCTGTCGCGTGCAGCTCCTGGCCGAGGCCGCGGCCGCCAACGGGCTGGAAAAGATCTTGGTCACGGACGAGGAGGCCCAATTCAACTTTGACGTCGAGAGTGACCCGGAGATCTGCTACTGCGAGTTCCAGGTCTACTACGACTTGGAGGATGAGTTGACGAATGGTGCTTTCAAGAACTAGATCGACGATGTCAAGTACCGCTACACGAAGGATGAATGACAAATACCGACATCATATTTGATAGATTTTCTCAATGCAAAAGCGTTATGACTTCTTGATGAGTTCTTTAACTTTGTTCCCCATCCCTGAGACATTTCCCCGGTCGGGTTACTACGATAAGGCTCGGGAAAGTGGACCCCGATGACCGGAGCATCTTTAGATGTGCCCTAATTAGTCAAGGAAAACGCCCAGAGAAGAGGCCGTTACTAGCACTGGCGTTTCTGTAATATACAAACAGGGCTACATTCGCAGAAGGTTGAAACTAACTGTGGTAACTCAACATAGACAACCCTATGTAGTGTGTCGAATCGTTAAACGGCTCGTAAAATTGTAGGCAATACAATATTGCCCTTGGACGTAAACTCGCCAACACTGATCAAATCGAAGCTCGAAGCAATTGAAATTACACTACTATTATTGTATCTCTGTGTGTAACTGATATCTCTCCCGGTCGTTGCCAGGGTAATTTTGCATCTATTCACTGCCACCCTTCTTCTTCATCATGATCTTTTTGAACGGGTTCTTGCCCTTGAACCTCAGCCAGGTTCCAAGATAAACAACGAAGTAGTTGAAAACAATGAACGCGCAGAAAATGCCGAAATCACGCCAGATGTTACTATAGTAGACACTGAATCCCGCACCGAACTCGTCGCCGGTCGCATATTGGCAGAACTCGCACATGCCACCGTCTCCGGTCTGGACGTACCCACCAGCTTGCTGGATGTACGGCTGAGTGTAATCCTCGCAAGACTGGTTCGGAGGCGGCTGGTACCTGGCAAACTCCCCAGCTTCACACTGAACGGGCTGGTTGTGGATGGCAACGCCAAGGAATGCCTCGAGTAGGTAATGGAAGGGTGTGAGCCAGTACATCCAATCTCGCCAGAACGTCGGAAGCTGCATGGGCGGTACAACTACACCACAAAAACTGACGACGAAGAGGAAGAAGATGGGTACCAGTAAGGAAGCAAGAAGCTCGTTGGGGGCAAATGCCGCAATTCCTTGGCCGAAACTGACGTAGTACAGCTCGAAAAGAATGACGAGGAGGAACGCGAAGCCGGAGTTGAAGCTGGGAAGGCGCCATCCGAAAACACCCCACCACCAGCAGTTGAAGTAAACGGCTCCGGCAATGATGGCGTATGGAATCTCAACAAGCACAGCTGCCGTAGTCCAGGCGAACCAGCTGTATATTTTGGCGTTGTTCTCGCGCGATTGGAAGATCTGCCGTGAGTGTAGAAACACGGGCTGGAGTTGCTGAATGAGGGGGGGGCTGATGGTGAGAGTCATAAAGATGGAAAATAGCCGGTTCTGATAGTCGATGGACGCATAGCCGATCTTGTAGAAAGTAAAACAGTTAAACAAGCCAGTGAGGATATGCAACATGAACTTTCCGACAACGTAGTTGGGCGTACGCCAGTAGGCGATGAATGATCGCTTGACAACTGCCATGGTCTGAGTGGTCAATGGCATGGCGTATTCGCGATCGTCCTTGAGGCTCTTTGATGGCTCGACATCCCGTCTGGCGGACAACATTTTGTCGATTTCTCGGGACCGAGCTTTCTTGTGCTCGGATTGTGCCCAAACATCGCCCCAATCCTTGCCCTTGTAGTTAGGGTCGCCTGCTCCAATAGCTTCAAGCATGTATTCAGCAGGGTTGCCGTTTGGAGGGCACTTGTGGGCGCCATTTGATTCGAAGTATTGGATAAGCTCCTGGCTGTCGTGCCCCAGGGGGCCGTGGTACGCAACTCGTCCGCCTGCCTTGAGAAGCAAAAGCTCGTCAAAATCCTCGAACAAGACCGCAGAAGGCTGATGGATGGTGCAAAGCACGGCTTGACCGGCGTCTGCCAGCTTGCGGAGGAAACGAACAATATTGAAAGCGGCGCCGGAATCGAGACCCGACGTCGGCTCATCCAAGAACATTAGGAGCTCAGGCTTCGATGCCAACTCCACTCCAATGGTCAGTCTCTTGCGCTGCTCTGCGTTTAGGCCTTCGCCCACCTTGCCGATCGTGGCTCCGGCAATGTCACGCATCTCAAGGAGGTCAATGATGGTCTCGCAATAGTCGAACTTTTCTTTCTTTGACACCTCACGAGGTTGGCGAAGGAGAGCCGAGAATTGGAGGGCCTCTCGGACTGTTGCTGTGGGCTCGTGGATGTCCATCTGCTCAGCGAAGCCCGTTGCTCTCTGGAAAGACTTGGGGAGGGGTCGGCCATCAACAAGGAATTCACCTGTTATGATTCCAAAATTGAGACGTTGAGCCAGGGCGTTAAGCAAGGTAGTCTTTCCGGCACCTACGCTGGAATTAGCACTCTTCAATCGGTAGATTCTTTAGTTTACATACCAGAGGCACCCATAAGGGCAGTTAGCTTGCCTGGTCGAACATATCCTTGAACATCATTTAACAAAGTGCGTTCGCCCTTCTCGTATGGGATGACGTAATTGACATTTCGAAATGTGAAGACGGTTTCGTTTCGAGCGACTTGCTTCATCGTGTCCTGGTCGTTCTTCTCGTTGACTGGACTATTAGCTGTCACAGTCTCGGCACCGTTGTTAAGTGCGCCAGACTCCTCGTCGCTCTTCTTCTCTCGGCCACCAGCAGCAATGCTGTTTTCCACCTTCTTGGGGACCTGTCCGCGCTTGAAGACTGTGATGGCACCACCTCCGGTGTTTGGTTTCATGTGATCCATACCCAAAGCGGTCAGAATGACGAAGAAAATGAGGAAAGCCCAGAGGAAGCCAAAATTACGCCAGAGGTGAGAGCGAGTGTACGTGAACGAGGCCTCGATATAGCTCGAACCAGGCACAATCGTCTGACCCGGAGGACTTCCGGCAAGGGCGCAACCTTGGTATTCTGGTGAAGCATTAGGCCCTTGAGGAACCAAGTAAGGCGGACCACATTCGAGTTGACGGTCGTAGAACTCATTGGACATGAGACACTCGAAACCGTACTGAATCCAGTTGATCCACCGCAGCCATCCAAACCAGGGCCGCATTGAACTAGGTGGAATCAGATATCCAGTATAAACAATCAAAATCTGTACAGACACTCCAGTGAATCTTGTCGCATCATCTAAGGTCTTGCACCAAGCTGAAATAGCGCGGAAGAACGCGTAAGTCACCATGGTAACCAACCAGAGAATCAGTGTAGCGATGAAGAACTGAGACGCGGTCCTTGCTAGGTTGGACATCCAGTATATAATGACGTTGAAGAGGACGACCTGTATAAAGACCAGGGGCACGTCCACTGCCGTCTGGGCGATGGCGAAAGCGGCGGGCCGATAAAAAGAAAAGGACTTGTGCTTGAGCAGAATGGGTTTCGACTCGAACGCCGCAGTCTGTTCCGCAAGAGCCAGCAGGGCGTTGAAAAGAAGGAGGAAGAACAGGGTTCCGCCACGAGGAAATGCGCCAGCGGCAGTGTTTGGTAGATTGTAAAACAAACTGCCAACGATGAGACCCTGGAAGACCAAGCCACCCCATTTTCCAAAAAGAGATGCTCGATCGCCCGCCATGACCATGAACTGGCGCTTGGTGCAGTAAACAACCTGCTTGTGGAAGGGAATCTCGTAGTTTTTCGTCTCCGTTTTCTTGGATTCGTGCTGGCGGCGCTGCTCCATCTGCTGAGCAAGATGAGACTCAAAGTCTTCAACATCGCGAAGGTTCCTCTGATAAGCTTCGCTGTTTCTGTAAGCCGTATCAAACTCCTCGGGAGTACGTGGTATACGGTTCTCCCACCCCTCACGTATGTGGCGCTCATGCTCATCCGTAACCGAAGTAAGGAAATCAGCTGTTGTCCAACGATCCGGACACTTGAAACCAAGATCGATGAAATACTGCTTGGCTGCCTCGGAAGGGCCGTAGTAAAGACATTTTCCAGAGTCGATCAACAACACCTTGTCAACTAGGTCGTAAAGGGATTCGCCGGCTTGGTACAGTGATACGGCTGTCGACGTCTCCGCCATATTGGTCATGGCTCGAATAGATCGGACGTACTCCACGGCAGTGCTGGCATCGAGACCCTTGCTGGAGTTGTCCCATCCCTGAACAGAGGCGCGAGTGATCATGGCCTCAGCAATGCTGACACGTTTTCTTTCACCACCAGACACACCTCGAACATACTCGTTGCCAACTTTCGTACCAAGTGTATGCTCAATCCAGAACAGCTTCGTAGCCACCCGCATAAATTCCTGGATGTAGTCTTTTCTGCTTTCTCCGTCGAGTCTCGACTCCTTGCCGGGAGTCCGTGTCTGAAGCGCGAAGTTGAGAGTCCTCTTGACGGTAAGAGTTGGGTAATGTAGGTCGTCCTCTGGGTTGTAGATGATTTCTCCTCGGAACTTCTTGCTCATCTCATCAGAAGTGGCACCTCCGTAAGTAACTTCTCCCTCAATGGCCTCGAATCCCGCTCGCTGGTTGCAAAAAGTCTTTAAAAACGTACTGCAACCTGACCCTGGGCGGCCCAAAACAAGGAGAAGTTCTCCAGGTCGGACACAGCCATCGAAGTGACTGATGAGCTCACGGACCGGGGGCTTCGCGAATGCAGCCTTGGGCCCGCGGGTAAGGAGCATCTTGAGCTTGCGCGGCAAACCGAGAAAAATGTCTCCAACCGTGGGTTGAAGACTGGCTCCCAAGCCAATACCTTTAACTGTAAGATCACGGAAGACAACACCGCTGTGCCTCGTCTTTTCCTCCTCACTCTGTTCTTGCCGTGCCCGACCAAAAATCCGGGACATGAGACGCTCGACCTCTTGCTGCTCCTCTCCCTGCTCAGGGTCAGACTGGTTTGTTGCGTTCGTGCGGCGCCGCGACAGGGCCCTGAAAAGATCTTCTTCCGTAAGATTGCTGCCTTGTCTGTGTGCATTCGGTCTTTTGGTGTTGCTCGCATTGGTCTTCAAAGGCGCAAATTGAGTGCTGTCGGTAGGGGACAAGGCGTTTGAAGAAGGTGAGGAGGGTATCGATTCATCTTCAAGAGGGGCTTGCTTCTCCGAGAAGTCGTCTGCCCCCCGGGAAGCTTTACGGCTGCCCAATGCCGCGGCGCCATTGCCAGAAAGGGTGACGGTGGAGGACGAAGTATCGTCACGAACGGTGGAGGTTGTTGTGAAGTAGGTCGTCTGAACATGAGATTGGGATCTCTGACCCGACTCCAAGTTATGTGCTGGGGCGTTGGAGACGTTTCGGTGGTCATCAGCGAAAAATCCCATGGGCGTGGGACTGCCACTGGTCGGAGCGAGACTGGGTGTCTCGGGAAAGCCGCCAGGGATATCACTATCCCTAGGGGTAGATTTTTCGTCCATGGCTATTGAGTTGGGCTTCACAGAGCGAGTTGTCCAAACTTTGTTGCAAGACGCAACCACACGGTCAAATGCAACAACAGGCTCAACATAAAACCGTTGCTATTGGGTGTTTCGGCACAGCGAAGGTCAGAAAGTATGGTCGTCTATGTCAATAGGACGTGACCGATCAATATCACTTGCGGAGAGGGAGGTGTTAGACCCATGGTATTTGTTTTCACAGGAACTGCATGCCTGGTAGGGCGAATCCAGTCCACTAGGTCGTGTCGTCGCGGGTGACGCGAACAAACGTGAGCCCAGTGCAATTTGCAGCAAACAAACGGCGTCGGTCTACTGATTCCGCCGGCCAGCGGCCGAGTCAGGATCTATGACGACGTGCAGCTTGCTACTAGCAAACCACGTCGGTCGCGTCAGAGCAACGCTGGCGTTGGGTATTGGAGCCATGTGGGGGCGTAGGACTTTTCTTTTCAGAATCAAGGAGCCTCCTCATCTGGATGGGTAAAGATGTTCTTTCGTCATAGATCCACGGGGCCACGCGATGGCGCTGACGGACCATGCGGCGATCTGCACACAGAATCGCCGATTGGGCTTGTTCGCTACCGCCGATTCCATCCCGTCTGTTTTGTCATGGGATTTGACGGACATTCTGCGTGTCCGAAAAGTGCGAGACGCTCCATCTACTCCATCTTGTCTTACATTGGTAATGATTTATGGGTGAAATCATCAAGACATGCTCATTCTTGGCATCTTACCATTGAGCTAGGACGCTCGAGCCAGACCGAGCGGAATAGCAGCTTTTGTTACTGCATTCGGTGAAACTCGTGGTTACTGATTGGCTGCGTGAGTGCTAGCACTCGCCGACTCGATCGTAGCCGGTGGGATTTGACGGCCAATTGAAGAATGTCATGGTTTCACCGGCAAAGATTCGCGTATAGCGTCACGACGACTCTTGCTGACTATGCGATACAAGTGAATCCAATTTGCTTCCTCTTAAGAAGGACGATGCCAAACGGTAAGACCAAAAGACATGTCATGCTCTTCAGCCTTAATAATTGGCCACAAGGGGAAACCTGAAAAAACCAATCCATTATTTAACCCAATCGTCTCCATGTCCTTGTCATTCAGCAAAGATAATTATTTGAATCTCATCGAAGCACCAAAAACCAATGCATTGCCCAAACTTGGATTCATATTGGACGCCGTTCTTCTCAGTATTGCCATTAATTCTTGGCTGATTGCCCTATCCTTACGAGCTTGACTTCCTCAACGCATGCAAATCGTAATCATCTTTTTCCAAAGCAGCCGAAGTCTTCTCCTGGTAGACACTATTGATACTCGTTTGGATTCGAAATTCAATATTTCCAGGAAGCCAAGACTGGCAGGCGAGGTGAGTAGGATGTAGGAAACAATTTTGCTCATGAATACATGGAAGTAAACAGTTCACTGATTCGGGCCCCCAGTTTATTCAGTGAGTTTCTCTCACAAACATCTAATTCAAAATGACTGTGCCACCAAAATGGTCTCGTCGGGCTTTGGACTCGCTAGCAGAACAACCAAAGCAGGCTCACCCCTATCCTAGACATGAATCTAAAAATGACGTAAGAGTTTAAGTAAAGTTGCCTTTGTTTTGATTGTTAAGAGTGCGGGATGACCACAGTTGGCCACGTCACGGCTAATGCACACCTTCGTCCCCTAGCAGTCGCTGAAGTATATAGGTCACAAACCCGTCAATGTGAAGAAAATTAGACTTAGCGTAAGCTTTACAATACAACATCGAATTAGTGCAGCCATCAAGACCAGGGTTAAGGTATCAACGACTTGGATAGTCTTCTATATCTCATGATCTCTCTTTCCTCTTGAAGAGGTATAAACCTAGCAGCTATGCTCTAAACAATATGAAGACTCTTATTCAATCTCTCCACTTCACTAACATGATAAAATGTCTACTTAGAGTTGGATTCCAGGTTGGCTATGGCCCACTCCCTCTGAGCGTCGATGTACTCCTGGCTGAAAGTGTAATCATTATAGCCGATTTCGGAACCTTTGATGTAAAAAGAAAACCGATGATACTTCGAAAGAGGCACACCGTGCTTGATACGCCAAACGAGATCGGGATTCGCGAGAAAACTCCTGCCAAAAGCAACAATAACGTCCCACTTTTGGTAGTGTTCCTCCAATGCCCGAGCAGCAGTCTCAGGACTATAGTTTCCAGCCACGATGACAGGTGACAAGTTGTCCCAGATGTCGAGAATGAAGTCGAGTGTTTGTTGAGCAGTCTCTGAGTCCTGGTCAGGAGTGAGGAGCTTTGCCGGGTCGCCACGGGCCTCAACTAGAGACAGGTACGCAAAGGGAGCGTTCATCTTCTTCAGCTCCTTGATAACATATGTGTACTGTCCCTGGATGTCTGACGACTCCGCGCCTTGGAACGAAGCATACGGTGACAGCCTAAGCGCTACCTTCTTAGCGCCAATGGCCGCAACTACTGCCTTGACGACCTCAAGAAGAAGCCGTGATCGATTTTCGATTGAACCTCCCCACTTGTCGGTTCGTTGGTTGACAGAGTCCGAGAGGAACTGATCGATTAGGTAACCGTGGGCACCATGGATTTCAACTCCATCGCCGCCGGCAGCGACAACTCTTTTGGCCGTGTCTACAAAGTCCTGGATCACTCCCAGAATCTCATCTTCGGTCATTGCTTGAGGTACAGCAGCACTAGGTTCAATGGGGACAGCGCTGGAGGACCGGTACTTGAAGCCACGCTCCTTCTGGTATTCGGGATCGGCAGCTCGCCCCTGTGCCCAGATTTGCTGGAACCACACCGATTTCTTTTCATGAACCGCAGTGATAACCTTTCGCCAAGCGGCGACTTGTTCGTCGGTAACGAAAGCAGGGCCTTGGCGCACGCCGGTTTCCTGCATTGATGTGCCAGTTGCCTCAGAAATTATAAGCGTGCCTGGAGTGGAAGCTCGCTCGCCATAGTATCTAGGGACGAAGGGCTTGGCAACGTGGTTCGTGTCGTTGCGGTATCGCGTCAACGGCGCCATTGCTATGCGGTGGTTGAGTTGAGCATTTCCAAGCTTGAGCGGCTTGAATAGTCTGCTCTCCGAGATATTGGCGGCAGCCATGGTAAGTTTACAGAATGTTTATGGTCGAGTAAAAGGATCAGAGTTGGTGCAGAGTTGTCTATGGTGTTTTCGGACGGTCGAGCTGCTGAGTTTTGGCAAAGAAGAGGGTTATTGCTTAATACGATACGCTTCAAAGTTTAATGGAGTAGTGGTGAATGTGTGACTTGAGGATGCTGTAAAGAAACTTTATTCAGGTTGTGAGTAGTCTTTCGTCATTATATACTCCTGTACTAGAGTCATTCCTTGTTTTTGTGATGTTCTGCTGTAGCTAAACGAGTCAGCAACGGAGTACTGAGTCGCGATGTTGTGGGCAACTCCGCAATTCCGGCTTGGCGTCTTATCAAGCAAGGACACATTCCGCGATTCCGTCACTGATCGGAGTTTAGCAAAACCCATGTACAACACCGACGTCGCTGAAACCTACAGCAAGATTCTATTGATTTGTAAGACATAACAGAGATTATTCTGTCTTTCCTGCCCACTCAACTGTGCTCATCGAGGACATTTCTAAGTTCAACTACATCCTCTCAAGAAGAGAAAAATAAAATTAAAAAACGAAAAGAAAAGGTGTGTGCTCTTACATGTTGTTTGTTTCCAAACCACGCACACTGCAGACGCCTAAACAACCGCTACTCCGAAACTCTTTCGATTGAAAGACCCAAATCGCCGAATCCAAACATGCCTATGTCAGCCCAAGCATCTACGCCGACAGCCATTTCCAGAAAATCAGAGTTCTGTCCTTCAGAGCCAAGGAAGCTAGGTATCGACTCATCAAGAGTCTCCATGGAGAACCCATCATTTGCCAAAGAGCCTCTTGAACCAAAGCCGCTGGATCCACCTATAGCGCTCCGGATAGCATTCGGGCGGAACATGGATACCGTATTGTCAATTTTGTCACACAACATACGGACGACACTTGCGGCATTTGCTGCGGTCCCGAAGCTCGCTCCAAAAGTGTCAAAGACGGATAAGGTAAGTTCGAGGGCACTCCTAGCTGCTGGAGCAGAAGGATGATGGGGGGAGGCCAGTATGTACCCGGCTAGCGTGATGGCAGCGTTCCACTGCCATTGAAAAGCTTCATGCCATCCGTCCAAAATAGCTGTGGATGAAAGTGCCTGCATAGTGATCTTCGACAGAGCAATAGCATGATTGACGCTTCTAGTAGCCATGGCTTCAGCCAAGCTCCCTATGAATGGCTCCGAGTTGAATGAAATGAAGGGGCGATAGAGATTTGAACACATGTGGTGATACTCCATTTCCAGGAGCAGCCGTTGCCTCTGAAGCCAAAGAGGTGCGTATTGCTCAAAGATAAGAGGCGTACCGTCGACTGAGAGTGAGCAACCCTCCTTTTCCCGCTTGGTTTTGAGCGCATCGGGTAAATTTTGTACCCACTTATCGAGTGTGAGCGTATGAGATGATAGTCGGCTTGCCACCTTTTCCAGGGATGGTAGATCATCCCATATTGTCTTGCCGCCCTGAAAGCCGAAGTCCTGACCATACAACGCTGTATGTGCCTCCCGCACTGCTCTAAAAAGCTTCAGTTGGTGAAGACTGAAGCTCAACCAGGTCGCGCTGTTCGCAATAGGAGCAAAGGTCGAGCCTGATAGAACGGCAGCTCCTAACTGGTCATCTGGAAGCTGCGGCATGGCGTGTAAACCATGGAGCAGGAACGGCCGACCCAATTTCATTCCTATCTTGCTGTCTAAAGCGTAGACAGCCCACCACAGGCGCCTCCTGGATTGACGTTCGCCTTCAGGTAGATTTGGTGTAGGGTCTATGTGAAGACCGAGCATGTAGGCTGTGCGCACCGCAAGAGCGCAAATACTGTCTGCCATGTTGTGGAACGACGCGCCGCAAGCATAGATAGCCGATAGCAGGTGGCATTGTAATGTAGATATTGTTGGGCTTTCCATTTCGCCAGCCAGTAAAGCCTGCGCACGTCGGTAGTGCCATCGGCCAGCAATAGTAGAATCATTGTCTTCCACAAGATTACCCTGGCGACCAGAAGGCATCGTCGAGGCACCATATTGCATACACATGGCAACAACGATATCGACCAGTGCGGATGGCTTACGGATATATCCTAGTGGCACTTCGACATACAGTGCTTGGTATTCCTTTTTAAACTTGGCTTCGTCAATGATAGCGAAGAGCGAGGTATGATAAGTCTGCCAAAACAGGTTGATGAAAAACTCCTCCTGCACAGGACTCAAATAGACACCTTGGCTGGCTTGGCCCGCAAGGGGTTTCAGCAAGCGCGAAGCGTCTCCAACAACCGCAGTTGAGCGGTCAATCAGATCGGCGCTACGTCCTGAGCGCAGGAGCATATGGTCGGGCTGAGCGTGTTCAACGTCGGTACTAAGAAATAGCCCAAGACGATGAATGAAGAAATAGAGCGATGAAGGTCCGAACCAGGTACTGTGGGGCGAACGTGCAGGCCGTAGTAGGGCACCTTTCCAAGAGTTATTGTTGGCCTTTCCATAATCGCCCTCGGAACCTGGAATTGGGGTTGACAATGAATCTGGTGTCTGCGGTAGGGGGTCTTGACGTTGGGTAAGTGGAATTGCCAGCTTGTTGCGATGATCTTTGAGTTCATTCTCCAATTCCATGACCCTCTGCCTCAGTCGATCTATCTCCTCGTGGGCCTGGGATAGGGTAGATGTCCGGGTTGCGCTGGTATTGCTACATCTCTGAGCCCGACTTCTGCAATTGGAACACGGGGAGCGGTCATCGCACTTGATGCGTCTTAAACGACATGCATCGCAAGCTCTGCCAACTTGCTTCCGCTTCCGCCTGACGAGGCTTGTAGCCGGCGAAGGCTCCGAGGAATGAGGGGAGATGACAGAGTCTGCCATTACGTCAAGTTAAAAAAGTTGTCGGTTCTGAGTATAGAATTCTGAAAAGGAGGATTCTTTGATACTCGTCTAAATGAAGATTCGATCCCTTGCTACTGCGAGTTGAGTGAAACGATCGCAATTAGTGTACAAGACTTCGTCACTTGATTACAATAGCAAGGATGGAGGTCGGCGGGGATTATCTGTGTGCACGTGTCCAGCCTGACCAGCGTTGACAGTTACCACTTGGAAGCACCTGGGTGCAGCTGCCCGTGAAAATTGCAATTGTTCGGAGAGGCGGAGTTGATTCGATTGGTTGAATCTCAGTCGAGACCAGGTGCATATGAACCCGGCCTTGTCAATAATGTACATGCACAAGCAGGAGGAGGAGAAAGGAAAAGGTTTGCGAAAAAAGGAGAAAAATAAGACGAAAAAGGAGAAAAACAAGACGAAAAAGGGACAAAAAAAAGGGGTTTCATAGAAGCCACTAGGCCAAGCTCATTTGTGGTTAGTTGACATCCTGCGACTGGACACATCAGTTCTATCCTACGCCCCAAATTCCGTTCGGCACAATCTATGGGCGAGACGAATAAGGCCCTAATCCTCTCAGCACGTTGAGAAACGCTACTCATAGAGCTTGTCTCAAAATATTATTCCTACTAAGGTTGGTGAGTAGCCAACCGAACTATTCCCCATCAAAAACAAGGGGCTTTGATCAAATGCGCTACATTGAAAACTCACTATCGACGCTGACGAGATGTATAATTATTCCTGATCCCAGCCCAACATTCTTTTTTCTCACTTGTATGGCGCCACCAAACGTCTTGTAACAGATCGTGACGTTGCGTTCATACTTGATGGCTTCGGCAATAAGGTGCACAGTCGTTGAAGCACGAGGAAGAAGATGCCGACAGCAGTAAGGTTCAGAGACAAGTCCCTGCATACTTTAATTGCGTATCCACCTCACGACCTTCCTATTTCGAAACCGAATGCAAGGCCAACCCTGGTCTTTTTCAAGGCGTCGGAATACGAGGTTTCGCCGGCTCGATGGCATGATGTCTATCGGACAGCTTGCAAAGACTTTGTGACCCCAGCTGTGCTTCAAGTAGCAGGCTCGTTTAAGCTTACTAGCCGCAAGACTGGAGATTGCCGGACGATCGGATGCCGAAAACACCTACCTAATGCTACCTAGGCGAGTGACTACATGTAACCTCAGATTGATGACTGGGACTTCTGAGAGTGATTTTATATACGTTTAAATTGTACCGCAGTCCTTATCGCGAAGCACGTATTCGATGTCTGTTTTGTCGTGCGCCTTGTGATTAGTATTTTCCCCGAATGACCTTACCAGATCGTAGGTTTGCAATCACAAATATCGCGACGCAAGTACGTAGGTTTCTTTATTTCTTTGGAGCAAACCTTTCAGGCGCTCTGGACTCTTGCCTGTCTGTTCTGCCCTTACACTCATTTTATTCGCATTCACTTGATCATGAAGCTCAACCCTTGCGCCTTGACGGTTGCGGCAGCATTGGCCACGCCAGTTCTTGCCGCGATGCGCCATCCCACCGTTCTCAAAGCCAGTCTGACGCCCAGTGTCGGGTTCATTATTGAGCTGAAATACAATGAGTTTATCAATAGTCGCAGTGTTGACGAAGACACACACTCAATCTTTCATCGCCGAGCCGAAGACCTTTTGGACTATTCTGTACGCCACGAGTTCAAAAACCCCGAGTACTTTTACGGCTTGTCAATCGATGCGAACAACGACACAGATGTCAACATTCTGCTAGCCCTGCCTCAGGTGAAGAAAGTATGGCCAAATAGGTACTATGACCGTCCTATGCCTGTTGGTTCCGGCCGAGCCTCAAAATCGCCCAGCCTTCCTGACCCACTTGGAGTCGAGCCGATACAGCTAATAGAGGCAGCGCAAGTCGTCACCATCAATGGTACTAGTGATGTGCATTCTAGCCTGAAAATGACCGGCGCCGATCAGGTTCACGCCTTGGGCTTGACCGGAAAGGGCGTCAAAATCGGCTTCCTGGACACTGGCGTCGACTGGCGCCATCCCGCCCTTGGTGGTGGGTTCGGAGAAGGCTTCAAAGTTGCAGGGGGCTACGATCTGGTTGGCGACGCCTTCGAAGGCTGGAATGACCCAGTTCCAGATAATGATCCGCTTACAACCTGTCTCGAAGGTGGTCATGGGACTCATGTTGCAGGTATGTTGATCCGTCCCAACCGTTTGCATTACTAACGTGGCCTTTATACTATAGGCATTCTCGCCGCGCGAGACCCTGCGGGTGTTGGCTTTGGCATCGTGGGAATTGCCCCCGACGCTTCGCTGTACGCCTATCGAGTACTCGGATGTACTGGAGGTGTAACTGATGACATCCTCATGCAAGGGCTTGAGAGAGCTGCCAGTGATGGTGTTGACCTCATCAGCATGTCTATCGGCGAGACAGCTATTTGGGAAACAGGGTCACCATACACCCCAATCCTTGCTAAAATTCAGTCGCAAGGGATTGCTACCATAATTGCTGCTGGAAATGAGGGCGATTCAGGGCTTTACGTATCTTCGGCGCCAGCACAAGATTCGAGTGCCATCTCTGTTGGCTCTGTCAGTAATTCACACTTCCCTACAGTTTACAATGCCGCTGGGTCTGATGGCTCAATTATCGAGTACGGCCGTGTGGTCCCCCTAAGCTCTTTAACACACCTCAATGTTTTCATCGCAGACGATGATAACGGTGAATGTGTGGACCAGGCCTGGGCCGACGCTATCACCAGCTTTCCTAAAAAGGAAAACGTAGTCGCCTTGGTCACCGGAAGCAGCGATTGTTTTTACAGTATTATGGACGAACGGAGTGTTTCCTTCGGCTTCAAGAATGTATGGTCATGGTTTCCCGACACCGGCGACATGGAAATTGATGAGCCAGGTTACTATGGGGACATTGACACCGTCAAGTTGAAGAAGTCTGAGGCGGACAAGATCCTGGCAGGGATTGCCGAGCAAGGCAAAAACTTCACCCTAAGCTTCGAGGACCAAACCGTACACCAGATTGATCAGCCCACTGGCAGTACTACCTCATGGTTCTCGACCTTTGGCCCGACTATGGAGATGTCTCTGAAGCCTCAGGTATCAGCACCTGGAGGCACAATCCTCAGTACATGGGTTACTTCCAATGGATGGGGATATGCTGTCATTTCTGGCACATCCATGGCCACTCCCCAGTAAGTCACAGCTTCTAGTGTGAAGTAGTCAAGAACAACTCTAACCACTTGAAGCCTTGCTGGATGCTACGCCCTTCTGAAGCAAAAGTTCCCCAATCTTGGCCCCCAAGAAATTGCAAGACGATTACAGTCGTCGGCAAAGCCTTTGAAACAGTACGAAGGCGGCGACATACTTACAACAACGGCGCAACAAGGTTCTGGTATGGTCAACGTCTCGAGGGCAGTCACATCCGACACCCTTTTCTCTGCAACTGAATTCAACCTCCGAGACGCTGCTATACCTGTTGAACAGAACTTTAGCATTGAGAACCAGTCGTCTTCGCCCAAAACTTACACGCTGGGACATCAACCAGCTGCAGAAGTTGATGCGCTGCCTCAAGTCAAGAGTCGAGATGTCAACGAAATGTTCTACTGGTCATTAAATTACAATGCCATTTATGCCAACGTGTCGTTTTCCGCGGAGTCAATCACCGTACCCGCTGGCGGCAAAGCGACGGTTACTTTCTCTGTTGCCCCTCCTTTTGTTGACCCTGCTCTCTTGCCCACCTACAGCGGCTTCATCACAGTTACCGATGGCGACGACAAGTTTTCCATCCCTTATCTTGGAATTCCATACTCCCGTAGCGAGTACTCCAACATCTATGTAGGGGACGTCAGTAACCTCGATACCGCGCTGCAGCCTCCATCAGGCATACCGACAATGCCATTTATCAGTTCTTCTGATACTGGCGTCCGCGACAACGATAGAGCTGTATTCACCTTCCCAGCCAAAAGGGCTGCGGCAAATCAGACACAAATCTCGGACAACGACCCAGTCATTACCATTTTCATAGACCAACCATCACAATATGTTCGTCTTGATGCAGTGCCTGTCGATCTCGCCTCCAACGCTGATTATAATTTTACGCCCTCATCATTTGGGTACCTTTCAGGGATCCAATCAAATGCGACTAGCTACTATAACACAACGATCATCCGTCCATCTTTGGACCTTGACTCGCTAGACCATTTTGCAGGTGTCAAAAGCTACGGTCTCGTTGGCTCGTTCTACGGTGGCGACATGCCTCAGGGAGTCACTTCGATCAACTTCCGAGGTTACAGTGTTTACAGCACAGAGTGGACGTGGGGCGTCGTGGAATTGACCAACGGCACGATCTATCAGCTGCCAAATGCTGATTATCGTGTGTTGGTTCGTGCGCTCAGATGGGGAGGAGATTTAAACAAAGCAGATGACTACGACAGCTGGCTTAGCCCAATCATTGGTGTCAACATCACGGATCCCGGCTATCCTAACCCGTGGTTTTCTTCGTAAGAGATTGATACTACTTCTGTCTAAGCAAATTCTACTTGGGTCTCTGATTACAAATCATTAAGAATCTGGAACAAGCATCTTGATTCGTTAGGATGGACGTCTTCATTCGTTCCACAGACAAGTTGTACCATTGAAAACCCCGAATTGTACCGACTGGCATACATTCTAAAGAGGAAAGAGGGGACATGAATTAATGTGAGGGTCTTCAGTTACAGTAAACTCTCATAAAAATCTAGCCTCCTATGCTCCCATTACATTGCAACATAAACTCTTCAGACTCTCTCTCTATTGCCGTGGCTAAGAACCGTTTTCGCAGGGGATCCGAAAGACGCATTTTATGTCTCCTCTTACTACGTTCTTTCCTTCCGACATACTTTTTATTGTGCTGATCCGATCCCTAGACATATAGTAACTAGTACCAGCCTGGTCCAACCCTATCGTTTCTCTCTAGTATCAAAGCACCAATGCATATGAGTGATCAGTTGACTAAATTATCCTTGTTGCTGTCTACTTTATAGCATCACGACTTATAATCTTGCGCCATGATGGTTCAGATGTACTTTGATTGTGGCCTACTCGATTGGTCAGATTTATTCTTGCTAAAAGTACGGCTGACAATGAAGGCGGCTGCACGCGTTCCAGCCAACATGCGGGTTCATGTTACCTACACTGTGATAAAACCCGTATTTGAGAGAAATGGTGTCTTCAGGCGAGGTTTGACCGAATCATCTTTCTTTGAAACGTACCAACAGTCCACTCTGTTTAGAAAACCAATATGTGTGGATGTCCCACTCCGGTTCAGCGGACGCCCACTCCAACTCGAACTTTCGGAATACCTGGGGGATAAACTTGCCCATTTCCATTAGAGAAATGTTCTTACCGATGCAAGTTCTCACCCCTGCTCCAAACTGTTCCAGATTAGCTCCGTTTATCGTATAGGTCAGATCACTGCTTGAAGTCCAAGTACGTACACACCTAGCGTGGAATAGGGTGAAGTGACAGGCGAACGCGAGGGCCAGGAGACATAGTATTATGAAATGACAATGTACGCCAGTATGAAAAGAGTAAAGCAATGGTTAGGGCGGACTCACAGTAAGCAGATGGCGATCCATGCTTTTGACCTTTTCTTCTTCGTCCAACCACCGCTCTGGTCGGAACTCATCCGCGTCTACGCCAAATATCTCGCGATCCCGGTGGATCACGGCTGGGTTTATCCCCACGACGGTACCTTCGGACAAAAAGTGCCCTGCTAGCCGCGTTTCTCCGGCAGGCACCAGTCTCTCGAGTGGCAATGCTACTCCTGGATGCATTCGCATGGCCTCTTTCATACAGACTTGACTTAATGCAGTCCGAGAATTTAGCAATCGGCACTTACTGTTCATGGGGGCTTTGGGTCTAGCAATCTTACAGATACTCCATTTGAAGGCTTTCACCATAGCTGATCACTGGAGAGAGCTTTCCTGCAACCTCAAGTCCATCAATCTCAGACTGCAGCTTGCGATAAACTCGTTTATCTCGAATCACATAATAAAAAATAGCGCGCAATGAGATTGCAGTTGTATCACTTCCCGCAAGGCTACATATTTGATGTTAGCAACACTTTCAGGGACAGAGAGAAGCTCAGTCAGTAACACACAGATTGTTTATTAAATGATTCATCAACTCTTTCTGCGGCATCGGTTCGCCAGTTGACTTCTGCTGCTGTCGAAAGTAAGCTAAGAAATCGCGCCTGTCGTTGGAATTAGCGCCGGCGTCGTATTTCTGTATAGCTTCCTGCACCATCTATGCCCTTTTGTTAATTTTGCGCCTCATAGACAACGTTAAACTCTCGGGAAAAGCCACACTGAATGAGAACCCACTCTGTTTGCAATGTGCATGGGGTCCTTAAGAGACAGCCTGCCTACGATTTTTCGAAGAGTCTTATTCCCAATGAAGAATCGGTGAATCCAGGGAATCTGTCCGGTGACGGATGCTAACATCAGGCCATGCTCTAACCCTGCTATCATGTTCTCGACATCTTTGCGTTGTTCCATGAAACCAAAGCGTTGTCCGAAAGTCATGGCACCGATTGCGTCAAACGCATACCACTGTGCCCAGACCCCAAGGTCCACTACCTGGCCTTGCAAGTCCTTCATAGATTCTGTGAATATTTCACTGCAGGGGTCCACAAGGTATTCAAAGGTCCGGATCGATGTCATACTGAACTTTTGCGCTACCGGGCGTTTCAGCGCCTTATGCTCTTCGGGAGATCGACACGTGAACATGCTGGACATAAATTCGCCTTCATAAATCATGTCAAATGGGCGATAGAAAAGGGACTAGAAATGAGAAGAAGTAATCTGTTAGTCCATATCTCAAGGTTGCAAATCGCGACTTTCATACGTCACCTTTAGAAATTTGCTATTGATGCCATATATGATGGATATGGCAGATGGGTCTGATATATCCACGACATTGGGAGCAGTCCGCACAATTGGGCCATATTTCTGGTGCAGTTTTCGATATCGATCATGCGCTTTTCCCTTGAGCACAAGCGATATCCGCCAGAATGAGGTGAGCCTAGCTAGCCAGGGCCTGGTATGTCTCGCAAACTCGGGCGGCAGGCAACATATATAACTTGGATTATCCAGCCGAGACATAATACGAAGCTGCCAAAGAGAGTAATCTGGAAAGACGTGATTTTAAGGTCAAACATACTGAGAATAACGGGAAAAATAGAACGTCGGTGATTCCAGGGAATTATGTGTGCTAAGTAGACCAACTGCGCGTCAAAGGTTTTATACTCTCGAAGTGCATTGAAGTGAATGGCGCTCCTTGACGCTGGTGATCTGGCCTACAGTACGAAAGGGAATCTGGACTACGGTATGATGGGACGTAGCAGAACATCCGAATCCTAGCGGAATCTAGCAAGACATGTGATGTGGATTACCGGGAAAGTAAACGTCTAAGATGCTCCGAGAAAAAGGGGGAGGATTCTCCGCGGGTCGGTACATCTGTCGGCTAATTATTTATAGGCGAAGGGACCACCCTGTGCCACTACCGCATTTATCATGTTAGCCGTTTGAAACTTAAAGTTCGAGCTGCACCTTATTTCTTAAGAGAGCATCATGTGAAAAAAGATTGTTCCGAGTTGTTTGACTGAGGCCGAATTGTAACCGATGGAGCGCCCCAGCGGCATATGGACAACGGTACCTAATCAAACAGGGGCGGCCACGACGCCGCGTACTTGCTTCGAGAGATGGACAAAGAAAATTAAAGGGCTATCTAAACGCATATTTCGTGACTTTGAGGGGATGATTGAGCGGCGAAGTGTTCAGGGACCCAAAACCATGTTATAATCAGGTTGAGGCTGACACCCAGCAGTTGGGCCAAATAACAACAACCGGACATGTGCCGTCTTCTGTCATCCAACCAGTCTACAATTTCTCACTTCGACTCTTGTACTTTAGTCAACTCGAGCTCTGCATTTCGTGTCAGCGTCGCCAGCTTGGAGAAGGTGGATTAATGTTTCTCAAGCGAAAGAGATGAAGCAGTCCGCTAGGCGCTCACAGAGTGCTGACCCCTGGTCAAACCCCGTTCGTCAAATGTAAATCAGGGCAAGTTCCATGCTGCGAGTATGCCACGTCCGCTTTGCAGTCTAATTCTAACAGAAAGGTCAATAGTAGGACGCGATTGTGTCCTTGAACCCCAATATGTACATGTTTCACTATATTCTCTTGAACAAGCCCTTCAACCAAGTTTGACACGCAGTAAGCGCAGTTAGACTATCAAAGAAATTATACTGGGAACTGAGCACCGATCTTCATCCTCATGTAATCTTTACCATTTAGCAGTCGAAAGTAGTACATAATCCAAGAAACTGACCCGATTTTGTTCATACGCTGTTAGCAGCAGCTTGAAGACCTAGCAGTGGGCCTCCATAAATGCCTCTAGCCGCCTAGGCCAAGTCCAATACCATGTTCTGCTACTTTCATGGGACCTCTTACCCAGACATGAAAGCACTGCTTGCCCACTGGCCCACATCAGGATCGTTCTCTTGGCTTCGATTGTTCGAAAAATCCGCTTTTATTGATGACGCCAAACTTTCTGCGACTGGAGTTTCGCCCCGATGCTTTCGTTTGCGGGTAAGCCACAATGTGGAAGTTGTCCTTCTAGACATTCATTGACAAGAAGGTCAAAAGCGTTTGAATATGATTGACACAATGGAGGCATGGACCTGACCTCCCTCAAAACGCCTGCAGTGCATTGAGTGATCTATTAGTTTGGAAACGACAGAAAGCGAACTCAAAGTAATTGCGCACCTGCCAATTGATTCGCTGTTACTCTAGGTCAGCTGGGGATTACAATGTTGACGAGAAGTACACGAGACTCACAAACTGGCCAATAGCGGCCGACCTGCCTAAGAAATAACAGTAATAGGTCGATGTGTTCGGATGGATGCGAATCACAAGATCTTACGGTCGACCGCAAGCCTTGATCTAGGGTGTACACCAACCCGGCGAAGAGAACCAAGTACGAGCTGCGGGTATCTACGACCTGAAAGTATTCTGGTTTCCACTTCTGAACAACCCGAACAACTTCGTAAGCTTTGGCGACGGTAGCCTGCCATTGACTTTGCAATTCTAGTTGCTCTTCAGGCGCGTCGTGACTATCCAGTTGCCCAGCTAAAGCGGCCAGAAGTAAGCAAGCACTAATCATTGATCAATGAACACATATGTCAGCGAATCGTTATATCTCGTCAATGAGACGGTCCGTGAGACGAATACTGCCTACCCCTGCCAGACAATCAATGTTTCCAGTCTATCTCGATGCTCCGAGTCGGTCTCATTGGCTTCGGGATATTGGGCTGGATTAAAAACCCAAGCGGGCAAAGAAAACGTGGCCGCGGCGCAGTCACTCTCCAGCTCTCGTAGGCGCGCTCGCCTTGCTTGTCCACAATCTTCCTTAGACAAGGACCTAAGATCAGTGACCGATCTCATTAAAGTGCAAGCGCCGAGGTACAGATTCCTGCTGCGGCATGGAGACCTAGAAAAGACCAAACTCATAGCTTCCCAGTGTTTGGAGGCTGGCGACAGCATGAGTTGCGCATCATTGTTTATGTCAGGCTCTCTTGAGTCTGAGCATACATGATTTGTGAACTCCTTCACAGACATTGAAGGCAGCAACATGGTCCCCTGAGCTCGGTCTGTGACAGCATGAGACACCATGCTAGGCCTAACGGTTAAAAGACTTGCCTAAAGCATGACTCTGAAAAGTGACAGGACTCACGATAATGCGCTGAAGAAGGTATCTAGGGAGTAAATGCACCACCATACGCTTCTCCAGTCCTCTGAGTCGCATGTGGATATTGTAGCCGATCCATGCCGGCTCGACCCCCCATTGATATTCGTTGATTGGGATATCACGAGACGATGGTAGTGGTCAGCCATGCGGGTGATTCGAGCAATCTCAGCTACGGCGTCCCAGTTAACATTTGAGGAAATGCTGTGTAGACACAGTAGGATAGAGGCCTTGATCTCATCCATCTTTAAGCGAGATGGCTTTTCCAAATGGGCAGCCCGTTGGGCGAACTCCTCAGGGGATAATGGTAAGCTGGGTAAGCTTGGAGAGACGAAACGAGATGCAATCGCGTAGATAGCCATCCTAAGACGGGGCTGCATCTCTGACAGACCATACTTATTACTTGAGGATTTCGAGCAGCGTAAGAAAGGGTAAATTGGTTGTACGTGCTGGATATAAAGCTCTAATCTGGACGTAGCGGATGAGAGATTGGAAAACCCTCGAGAAGCAATAGTAGGTGTTCCATCCACTTACAAGAGATTTTCGACTTCAAGCCCAAGATCTGGAAAAAGACTTGATGCTGCGACAGCAGGAGAGAAGATATGGGGAGGGAGACCCCACGGCGGCGTATACATGAAAAGGGTCGGCAGAGTATCGTCAATTCCTTCAAGCCTTAAGGAAGTGTCATTCCAAGATGGAATAGGAGAAATCGAGAGCTCGGTTGACACCCCCGCTTCTGTTAAGTCCATGAAGGGGCTTGGGCTGCTTGTTGAACACTGTTAGAGTCTCTTGTAGCGTTGGCTGAATTGGAAGGATTTGTGTGCAAAGGTGTCGAAACGCGGCGTCGCTTCGGTGGACCTAGACGGAACGTATAACGCATATTAGATAGATTTTACGTGACAGTAACAGTTAAAGATATACCTGGCTTCTGTCTATACATGCTGTAGGTGCACAATATGTGACGCAAATTGCAGGCCGAGCAAGGCGAGCCCATATCGCCTATATTAACAGAGACTATCGTCAGCAAGCGATACATATGGAAAAGAAATCTCCCCACATTTGGTCTTCTTTCTATGAAATAACTACTGTTAGCACAACCTGTACTATAGCGAACACGTAAAATATGCTGCATATATACTTACACTCGACAGTTGTCGCATACGCGAAGCTTTAAAGGCACTCTCCTGTCTGAGGGCGACGGAGATGTACGCAAACCCGAAGGACGCGGGTCGCTGAGACTGGGAACTGACGGCATGGCAACGTTGTTAGAATTTGGGGCGCATAGAAGGACGACTAAGAAACCCATATATCGATGGCGAAGTCGAGTTCCAGGTGTTTTCGTGTGCAGAGGCACAGAGAGAAGGAGGTAGAAGTGGGTGGTGCGGGATACGGGTTCCCGGGTGTTGCAGATCCACGTCCCTCACAACCTAAAGCCATGCAGAAGTGTGACAGGGCATGATGCGGGGGCGATGCAGGGGCGATGCGGAGACAACGCATGTGGGGCACAGAACGAATCCCATGTGTGTGGTCCAGATTTTGAATCTTAGTGACGTAGGCATGAAGATAACGTACGTGCATAACGAGCGTCGCACTTTTGACTTTATGAACTAATATTCTAGATCTTGCCAGCACGCCATATGAAGCCAATTTGAGCTGTTACTTGAACTCATCAGGCTGCCCTATCTCATGGCCGACGTGGAAATATTGCTTCAAATCCACCGAGTAACAAAGAACACTACGACCCATTGCAAACATATAATCACACGCGTACGGAAAGAGATTCTTTCAAGTGGTTCATTGATCAGTACTAGTGAGCGTGAGAGATAATCCCTTCAAAAACTAGCACTTACTTGAACTTCAATTGATTTCTCAAAGTACCAACCTTCTGCATTTCAACCTCAATTACGTCGCCATTCTGCAAAAAGCTCTTTGGTTTGCGAAACGCTCCCACGCCGGCTGGCGTACCCGTCATAACAGCTGTGCCAGCGGGAATTGTAGTGCCTAGAGATTGGAGACAGAAGTTAACGACTACTGCCTCCCGTACTTACTACCCAAAGAAGGTACAGGTCACCTGTTTAGCTGCCTACCTTGGCTCATATGGCTCAATATCTGCTCCGGTGTGAATATCAGGTCCTTCGTGAACTCAGCGGCTTGTCTAATTTCGCCATTCACTCTAGTCACAATGTTGAAAGAGGAACCATTTCCGAAGAGAGCCGGGCTGATTAGTGTGGGCCGATTGGTGCAAATTTGTCAAATGCCTTCGCAAAAAAGAATTGGCCAGCCGAGTAGCGCGGAAGTTGATACATGCGGCAGGACAGGTCATTGCCAATGGTATATCCCAAGATGTAATCTTTGGCCTCCGATACAGAAAGGTTTTTGGCGTCCTTCGAAGTGACGAAGACTAGTTCACCCTGTGGGAGAAGTGACGAGAAGACAAGTCAGTGGATGGGTCTCCCATATGCAAACTACCTAGCTGTGCTTAGGTAGACAAAGGGTGTTATTCCTCTACCTCGTAATCTAGGAGGCTCTTGGCACAGAAGTCGTTGATCGGAATTTCCTCCCCCGGGCACGCGAGAGAAGCAGCCGGCTTCATCCAGAGTGGTGGACACGCCGGGATGTCAAGCTAACCGCATGAGAAGATTGTTAGCAAGAAGCTGCTTGGGATTCCAATGTTCCCACAGACTCACACGGGCCTCATTGGCATGGCTGCGATAGTTGAGACCGACGCAATATATTGGGAGTCCATCAACAGTAAGAGGTGGTAGCAGCTACTTCTGTGTATCAGCAACCAAGCCTTTCATGATTTTTTGGATATCGAGTTTCAAAGTATAAAGAGAGCCGAAGTATAACATTGGGCAATAAGGCGAAGGGATCACTAGGAGAAAAACATTTTAAGCTTACATTGTGCAAGGTAACCATCTTTTGGTCGGATTTTTTATCAAGTCCTTCTATGGTTTTGGCGCCTGTGACTTTTGTACCCAAGGGCGGCGGCCCATCAGCATTGGGGCCCAAGTCAGCAAAGTAGGCAGTGCCGTCTTCTGTGCTTTCAAAGCGGACAAGATGAGAGAAAAGCGGCATTATTCAGGTACAAGAAGAATGAAAACGCGATAATTGGTTGGGGGCTAGACGCGTTGTAGGAGATGAAGGACTATTTTCTTTCTTTTCTAGTCAACTGTTATCCCATCGACTGTGGAATCGTCCCATTGCTGCCGAGGCCCGAAACACCCGCTCTGATCCCCACCTTTGCTAATTAATAGAAGAAGTCTTGGGCTTGATTAATGAGATACCAGCTACGGTTCCTTTCTGGCACAAGCATTGTTCGGTCAGACTTGTGTTGAACAGTCAAGCTCTGGATACTTACTTCAGTCAACCATCGGAGGATCTTCTTAGGAGTTCTCCCGGACCAGTCTGCCAAGCTATTGCAGGGCTATTCCTTGAGGCGAAAGTTGACTATTCATATCACCCAATCAATCACTATCACCATTCTTGTTTTCACTCCTAGATGCGCCGATGTCTCAGTCAACCCCAGACTATACGTACGATCATACAAGCTTATTCGACCTGGTATTCAATGCCTATTGGTCTTTGCGGTGTGTTTTTCCGACGGGGCATGCCCCTCAATCCCCGATGCCGACGGGGGTTAAAGGGAATTGCCGGTTTCTCCGGCCTGCTTTGCAGCTTTGACCAATTGCCAAGCCAGACCAGGTCGGCACATCGCTTCAATAGTCACTCTAGTCTCACAAGCTTGATAAGCCTGATGCCGCAGTAACTTCAGGTCATTCAGAGTCATGCCATATTTTCTTGTCACCCGAAATGGGCCGAGGCAGACAAAGACGCGCGGTCTTGGGTCGACGGTAATTACATTTGGTAAGGAACTTTCCACTCAACCAAACCCCTTTAGGCGTCCTACGGTTGACACCATTCCCCAACAGCCATGAAGTCAAGTGTTTATCTTCGCTTTTGTTCATTCCTAGGCCAAATCTGAGAGGATTTCTTAGTAGCATGTCTCCATAGGTGATTTGGGCCGACCACAATGGTCTGTTTGGAGCATGGACTCTTGTGCGGGTACTCCGCAATCCTTCCTGGCATCTGTAACTGAGCGCCAGCAGTGACGCCTATGCACAACAGACCGTCGAACTAAAAGGTCTGTAAGTGCTCGTAAGCTTACGAGCGCTCCATATCACATTGTTCAACTGAGCACACTATCTTTGTAACAGCCTGGACTTCCTCAAGGAACTAGACCTGCTACTGAGTGCGGTTTATCCATACCCATCTACTGAGAAGACGACACCTCTGCCTATATGCTGATATGGCATCTAAAAGACCACGAGGCACGCGAATCTCGATTCGGTGCTGTTCTTGACTTTTGCAGAAACTCATGCCGAGCATGGTTTGAGAGTTACACCGATACCATTCACTCAACCTTCGAGTTTTCACACCGACCCAAACCAACACTTGCCAACATGCACAGATGAACATCGGCCTATCAATAGAATAAGATCTAATCTGAAGGCACCGTGTACTGAGCCTCAAGAGGAGGAGATTCTTTGATAGTATGCCATCCTCGCACCTTAATGACCTCCTAACATAAAATGCTTTCTGGTTGAGCTGTTATATTTCCCGATGATCAAGAAGTTCTTTTGTTTGTCCATGGTCAAACTTGTGTATCCCTCATGGGTTTCAAGACCACTGAGCCACAATAAGTGGATGAAAATCAAGTCCAATGGAGACTATGAGCATTTCTATGCGGAATTGTCGGTACATCCACAACAGATCAAATCTTAAACGTGTCTTTAGGAGACTGATATGTAGAAAAAGACGAGTTTCGTAAAGACCAGTCAGACAGATAAGTATCCTTCGGCCGCAACTTATTGATTGGATACTGAAACTTGCCTAGATATATGTATGTGACCATTCTGTTCTTCTTTCTTTAATGCCCATGCTTAGACACTGCTGTCTTGAAAACCTTTAGGCATTTCGGGACCCCAAACAGACATGGGACCGACGACAGATCTTGTGGTCGGGGTGTGTTTGTTGACAATATCTCCATCGACATAGTGCTCGACCTTGAAGCCGCTGGGGTCGGCCCAGTAGTCGAAGATCTGGCTGCCTAACACATGGCGCCCAACGCCCCAGATGCAGTGCCAGCCTTTCTTGGCTAGCCAGTCGTGACCAAGGAGCTGAGTGTCGAAGTCAGCCACCTCGAATGACGTGTGGTGGCAAAAGGCTTTCTTCACATGAGGTTCCGCTCGCTGCATGAAAAAGGAGTGGTGGTCGGAGAACTCTTCGCCGAGGTCAAGGTGGAGAAAGACCATAACGTCCAAATTATCAAAGTCCCAATGGTGGAGAATATCCGACGGTACAAAATTGAAGTGGCTCGTGTACCACAGCAGCTCATTGTCGAAATCAGGAACGACATACCCATAGTGACCCAGCTTATGGACAAGTGCAGGACCCGGGTGATAGCGTTGGAATGCTCCTGCATAGGTCTGCTCAGTCACTGCGCATGGTGCTTTGTTGGAATAGTATGTTTACCTCTTCTCGGTTTCTCAAAAGCCTTGTTCAGAGGGCCCTGGTTATCGTGGGTTGCAGTGGGCTCCTTTTGGTCTACCTTACGTTCTCGCTGGCCGAAGACAACATGGAAATATGTCTCGTCCGGTCGATTGAAGGTGATGATCTTGCCACCGCCAGGGGCGGACTCCATAGAACCAAGTCGAGCGCCTTCAAGTTTGGCTGCCTTGTCAAACTCTTCCTGTGAGGCTGCAACAAAAGCGGCACCACGGAATCTCGGCTTCCCGTCTTTGCTCTGGCAAGCGACGTAGACATACGGGTCCTTACCGTACCCGCGAAAATAAACCATCTCCTCGGTTCGGGCCTCCTCGATAAATCCGAAGTCGACAGCGAACTCAGTGAACTTGGCTAGATCCGGATGATCGACGTAGATGTGTGCTGGACGGGATAGCTGAACTTTGGTCGAGTCATTGTGGATGGGTGGAATGCGCATTTCGGGCATGATGGCCTCGCGGATGGACTTGGGCAGTTTCGAAACGCAGGCCAGAAGGATCTGTAGTGTCAGTGACATGATATGAGGGAAACAACAATTGGGAACTTTGGAGGGACAGGTAGCTCAGGCGGATCCTACACGGTATTTCACTCTTTGGATCCTACATCCAAATGAGGTCGTGCACACTACATCGCACATACAAAGCCGTCTCTGTTCGATCAGAAGAGCGGAACGTAGATGATTTCAGATGAAGCTTGGCATCAATTTTATGCACTATGGCTAGGCATAAGTCGTGTGCACCTTGATTTGGTGGCGTTAAGCTCGCGTGGCAAGGTTAGGACAAGGAGCCTGCACATGATTAGAATTACGCCGGTAGCCCCGTCTGCTCCGGAGGAATTTCTTTCCTTCCTAACTCCAGAAAGACTACCGGAACAACCTAGCCCTAGTTTCCCCATTTTCTACATTCTCATTACAGATAATACATAAAATTTTGATTCATCCCATCCTAAAAAGTGCCTTTTTGTAGGACCCTGCTGCGCATCCACGGTGGATCTTCGAAGTTGCTGGCGCTAGCCGACTTGCTCTCGGTGGGAAGGTTCGGTGCATCACATAAAGTATTGACGGAGGCCCATGGCCTCTGTGGTTCAACACAGTTATTTGCGCAACCCCTGTCCTCGTCTCTACACTTGTCACTCGTACCATGAAACAAGAAAGAAAGAGAAATCACGCCTTAATAGTTACCCATTTCTCCTCACCCGGCAACCTATTCTACCGCGACTTATCGCTTCGGCCCCCCCTTTTTTAATCTTGTGACGCGGGGATCGGGTGGGTTAGAATGAGGCAACACAGCATGTGGAGTGGAGGAACAGTTCTTTCTTCGGCTAGAAAGAGAAAGTATAGCGTGTCTGGAGTCATAGGACACCACGTCCTCACAAATTAGCGATAATTTTAAGTGCTGTGCAGCTTACCTGTCAGAATTTCTCTCCATTAAAAGTGATTTCATCCTTGTTCAATATGACCAGACCTTCCCTCCAGACAGTTACCATCTCCCTCGTATATGTGCTTGAAGCCCGTGCCAATTAACAGAAGCTCAGCTCACTTTTCGTTGATCGTAATTTCATCATTCTCAAATTTGGTGTACACCAGCTACTTACTTGCCTTCTCAAAAGGTACGAAATTAGGTTTAGGAAAAGTGTTAATACAAACACTAGGCAGACAATGTAGCAGATGATAACATGGCAAGTTCAGGAGGTATACGCCCATGATGATAAGCAACCGACTCAGTATGGTCATAAAATTCTGTTTGGGTGATCATCCTGGACTTTAGAAAGGTAGTCGAACAGGGTGTTCTGCAACGTCTCTTTGAAGTAAAACGCTAGTTGATTCGAACGCATATGGATAAGAGAAGAGCACGTTAGAGTATGCGTGAGTGTACACTAACTACACTGGTTTTTTAATACATATCACTGGTCTAGTTTCCTATAAGTAGTCTATTATAGTGTGTTATTGATGGAAATGAATCTGTAATAAGCATTGACTAGGATGGTGGCATCTTAGCACCTAAATCACTATCCCTTTTAAGATTCGGTGTTGAAAAGGACGTGGGCGTTGGGGCCAAGCGAGAATCAATCCCTAAGATCAGCAAGCGGCCGCAAAAGACCCACAAGATCAATTCCAATGGAACAATCGATTTAGCCAACGATTAACGATTCATCATGAATTCCAGGATCTAGAACTAGAGTGTTACACCACCACAGGCTACTTGAAAATTGTATAGAAAATGAAAGCATTGATTCACTTTCTTCCGATTCACAAAAAGAAATATAATCCTAAGACTATAATTTGGCTTTAACACCTGACATTAACTCGATGGGTTGATCGCTTCATCAAAGGCTTCAAGTCGTCTTAGTCAGAGCATATATACTCACAGTATGCAGTGAATGACTCAATTGATCTAGGAGAACCAGTGTTTTAAAGGAAGGTTCATCGGTCTTTTTACAATATCATACTTGTTAAGTTTGCTCTCTTCCAGTATGAATGGTAGTGCCCTTAGCCGGCAGCTTTTAGCGTACGCCGTCGTTTTAGAATACTTCTGTCAGTGTTCCTGCCAAAGCACTTAAGCCTTTATCCAAACCTTACAAAATGACTCTTCTCTTGCCTATACTGTGCCATATGAGAATTACGATTAGAGTGGAACCATAAGATCCTGTAATTTTATATGGTCTGCACAAGACAACAGATGTACCTGCAAGAAGCGTTATGCGTCAACCAATTGAGAATCAAGCAGTGTTAAGGCAGCCATGTCAGCAATTAGATTATGACTGGCTTGAATTCTCTAAACCATGGGCGGTGTTGCGCCAGAAAAATGGACTAGACTTTCCAACAAGTGTGTTGAACATAACAAGAAATGGCCTCGGCAGTTCAATGCCGTCGCAATTTACGCGCTATATATGGCCACTGGAATTTGGGTCACAATGCTAACAGAAATCTATCGTATACATGATTTTTTCTTCCTAGGTGTTCTATTGCTGGAACTCTGCCCCTCTCCCTAAGTCCAAAGTGTGGTTACTGCAGTAAATATAGCTGATAATGCCGATCGATGTTATAACCGCTTCTCATACTCAACTGAGCCTACCCACTGGCCTTTCGACTTAAACGCCTTCTCTTCTAACCTCTCCTCTTTAAAGCCTAGCTTTGTTGCCAATTTTCTGGATCCCGCATTCCTTGGATCACATTCGATCCCCAGGCTTTTCAACTTTGGAACTAGCGAAAGTACGCCCTGTACGGCCTCTGCGGCGTACCCGTGCCCCTGTGCCGCCGGCAAGAACGAGAACCACAGGTTCCCGTGCAGCTTCTCATGATTGATGCTCATGCCTACACGACCAATGAACTCCTGCGAGTCCTTCAGCTCGACAATCTTCTCCAACACCATGCGTGGATCAGCATGTAGACTAGCGAGAGCTCTTTCCACGTATTTTGCTGCATCGGCTGCTGTCATGGGTTCATAGAGCTGATATTCAACAACTTCGGGTAGGGACTCTAAGGAGTGGATGTGTATGTTATCGTTTGGGGTGAAGTCGCGCAGACGGAGGCGCTCTGTCGTAAGACTGTCGACAAGAATAGGTTCCATGTTGATTATCGAGCGGGAATTGTTGACGTGGATTTTTATTTCGTTAGGTGCGAATGTCCAGTTTGTGGTAATAAAAAAGCGGGCCCTCTGAGGACGAGAAAGTGAGTGGCCGTCAGAGTATTGGTTGAGAGCGCGGTGGGATAAGTATCAACTAAAAGTATTGATGAAACAGAGGGCGAGGATATTTGATGGGTAGGAAAGGTGTCACAAGCGATATATAATTTCAATTGCTGCCTGGAAGTTGACTGCGTCGTGTATGTGGCAGAAGGCTATGTTAGTCACACCGAGATATAGTAAAAGGTGTAGAGGGGCTCATTTGTGTGCACAGAGCTTGTTCAGTGGGCCAAAGGTTCTTTTCACACGAAGACCCTGTCTAGGAATTCAATTGATACCCGACACCTAGCCGAAATGACGTCAGTCTGTTGAACGCTACCATTCTTCTGTTTTTTTGGCGCACTACTTCGTGCAGTTAGTAAGGGCTTACTTACCTTAGTATGTTCGTGCTCAATAAGCGCACAGCGGACTCCATCCATAGCGCCAAACCGCCAACAATGAGTGGACAAATTTGGTCTAATCTACGGATACAGTATGCAATATTTACAGATCTATCCGTAACAGCCGAATCGTGTTCAAAATAGCACACTACAAATCGTGTATGCTGAACGGGACACGATACATCATGCACAGCTTTCGCGATAATTTACCGGGATGCCTGTATCTTCTAGTCGCCGCTGTCACCTTGGGAATCATATGGATTCATGTCCAAGTTTCCATCATACATGATCATGTTATCAGATCCGTCACATCCGGATGCGGCGCTGCCAAAAGCGTAGCTCTTGGCCACTGTCTAGAAGACGGATCCTTTGGCTTCCGGGTATAAAAGTCGGCTCAACGAAGGAGAAAAATTCGACATCCTATAACCCTCCGCACTCTCAGTCTTCAGTTCAAAAATAGTTAAAGGCACGCCTTCGTTTGTATCAACACGCTCGTACAACGCCTCCGCTGTACCTTTTCCGGACCCTGTTCTGCGATAATTACGAAACTCAACATGTTCAACGACAAGACAACATCCCTTTCAATGCTTGGGCTTCTTAGCTTAGGCTGCTTGTCCTCCGCTGTGGCTGCTCCCATCACGGTAGAGGAGCTCGAATGGCCTACTCGGTACGTGCAGAGCGGCCCAACCTCGACCCGAGTCCTTGTGCAAGGCCACGGTCCGGCAGTGGTAATTGTCCCATCGTACGGCCGTGACGGTGGCGACGACTTCAACGGCCTCACCTCTGCTCTCGTCGATGCAGGCTACCTCGTCTTGCGTCCCCAGCCACGGGGCACTCTGGGATCGGTCGGTCCTATGGTGAACGTCACCCTAGATGACCTTGCCTCAGACGTGGCCGACGTGATCGACACTATTGCAGGCGGTCGTGCAATTGTGTTTGGACACGCCTTTGGCACCTTTGTTACTAAGCGTGTCGCGCTGAATTACCCGGACAAGGTTCCTGCTATTGTAGTTGCCTCTCCTGGTGGCCAAAAGATTCCGACGGACATTGCCGGCATGCCTTTTGTCACTGGTAACACCAGCTTGCCTGTTGCTAAGCGACTCGCGGCTCTCGAATTGGCCTTCTTTGCGCCTGGCCATGATGCTCACATTTGGTTGGATGGATGGTACCCGGACACGCTTGCCATGGAGCGCGGAGCCATCGAGGCAGCTGGAGACTTGACCAAATTCTGGGCTGGTGCAAACTCCACACAGGTTCTCGAACTTATCCCAGCTGAGGACCCATTCCAGCCCGAGGATCAGTGGAACACCACTACCAACCTGTACCCTGATCGTGCCGCTTCAGTCGTCATCCAGCACGCCTCACATGCCCTACTGCCAGAGAATCTGACGGGTGTGGTGGAAGCGGTATTACCGTACCTAGCCCAGCAATCAACACGTCTATAATTACCTCACGAGTTGATTAGACTTTGTTCTCTTACAAAGCCGCACAGGCATCAGGCCCTTATGTTGTTAAGTTAGGGCAAGAAAAGGAGCAACAGGAAGAGGAGATATAAGGTGAGGAAAAGAAAGAAAGGAAACTAGGGATTACCACTGTATAGCCTAAACTGAAGTGAGATAGTCTGGGCAAACGTTAAGTGTGTACTTGGAGTAGATTTGGTTAACTAAGAATATAACTAAATCTAATCAGGCATATATTTAGCATGAAGTGAAGGGTTATCTGGAAGGTAAGTTGTATTTTGTAAAGATATATAGACTTAATGATTAGTTATAACTAGTTAAGATATTAATAACTATGCTATATATTCAAACTTTGGTGTCCTATATTCAGCAAACTCAAGAAGCTCTCGACAGTGTAATAAACCGTTAACATTTGAGTTTCGTAAATTTCCCCTCTTCCGCTGTCGCTCTTGTCAATGGGTCCACTCTTGCGGCCGCCGAACGCGGCCGCTTGCACCCAATGATCCATCCAGGCCGGCAGCAATGTTATCGTTCCCAACACCGAAGGCGACGCCAAGCTTAATACGCCGTCTGGCGGTCTTACTACCTCTGCCGCGTGGACTTAGCTCCGCATCTGCCATCTTGCTCTAAGCTGCCTAGAACTCCTAGCTTGTCATAGACTGAATAGTTTCTAAGGACATAGAACACTCTTTTTGTAACGCTTGGCAACCTTATATGTTGAATGCTTGCTTGAGAAGTCCATGCTACGAAGAATATGATTCTCGTCATTTTTTTGCAGCTACAAGCCTGCTTAGAATGTATTTCAAGTGGCAAATATCAATAAGTTGCTGGTGCCAGTACGTATGGAAACGAAGTCGAAAATCCTAGACCATCAAATAATAAGGTACATGTCTCTTCTTACCAGCTACGACTATAAGTAGTTGCTAAGTTTGAAGAGAAACAGCCTAGGGCCCAGTTGTTCCGTCTGCCGCTCTTATCTCTCATCCATACCTTGGGCCTGCATAGAACGCCGTTCATGCGGGCCGATGTTCCGCATGGGCCAGTAGCCTAGGATCTCAACAATGGTCAGCAGCTCGGGGCAGCCATGAACATGCTCGAGGGAATGGCGACTATTGCCACATTGTTAACCTATGTTGTAGGGCGGCAAGGACGGGAGGGTAGGCTGGTGGCCGTGGGCGGACTTTTCGCGCGGTAGCTGACGTGCTGCTCCGCAAGCCCCTTACATGAGGGCTTTGGCATCACATAGCGACGCGACAATTGTCCTAGAGAAAGACAACGAAACACACGGCAGCGAAACCCCCGACAGTGGTCAAGTGCATGGGGTTGAAAGGGCAATGTGCATGGTTTAGGTGTTCCTCGAGAAAGCCTTCAGTCGACTACGCGACGCACGCGAAGCACGCGGCTGCCCTGGACCCTTGCAAGTAACGCCAAAGAATTTGAATTTGACGGTCGACGAGCCTGCAGAGAACTAAGTTGAGAAGACAATGGGCATCAGTAATGGAGGTTAGTTCAAGTGTTGGAGGCTGCCAGGCACCAGCTCAAATGTGTCCAGCTGCCTCGATAGTCCGCTATCAAGTTCAGGAACCACTCGCCTTTGCGAGACAGTGTCTGTCTCGAAGTGGAGGGACAGCTGGGGACAGGAAATCTGGAACGTACTGGCCGATTCTAGCAGCGTCACCAAAGAGAGACTCTGAAATCATGCACCTTTTCATATCTTAGCTATTGAGCAGCACTACCATTTGCGACTTCACCACAAAAGAACATATGGATCTGACTCAACCCCATAGCCATGGAAAAGCAAGTCGTAGCTAGTAAGCATAACGGAAATGCTTGTTCTCAATGTCGGTCTTGTCCATAAATCCGGCTCGAATGCCCTCGTTGTCGGCTTCGCCATCAACAACATCCCTGACACCGTAAACGCGGTCGCGTCTCTTGTTCTCCCACTTGCAGTAGAAAGCAAAGACGAGGAACATTATCATGGTTCCGGAGGTAAATGACAGAAGCGCTGTGATTCCAGTAAAGTACCGCGGAGCCTCGTCGCCCTTGAAGAAGCTAGTACCTGCAACGTTGCCACACGCCCATACGACGAACCAAAGACCGTTCACGAAAGAGCGCTTGGTGTGGCCGGCGAAATTGGCTGCGAGCAGACTGTAGCATGCGGCTGCTCCGATGCCAAAGACGTAGAGGATCCAGGTGGACCCAACGAGCCTCCACTGGTGCTCCAAAGACGTCAGACGTATGCCTAAGAATCCTGCGAATGGAATGGCGAGGGTGACAACGGCGACATAGCATCTGGCATTGATGTACCGAGAGGCCAAATAGCCTGAAATAGGTAGGACGATGAACTCAATGATACCAGTGGGGAGCTGCAGGAGTGTTGCGTTGATGCCAGAGAAGCCGTACCCCTTGAGGAGTGCCGAGCCGAAGTAGCCAAGACCGCCGCTGCCAACGCCGTTGCAAAAGCCGCAGATGCAGAGGATGTAGACTTTCGGGTCCAAGAAGGTTTCTCGTATCTGCCCCCACTTGAAGTCTTTGTCTTTGATGCCGATCATGTTTTGCGACACACGATCGACGGCCACAAGCTTCTCTCTTTCGTTGAGCCAGCGGGCGTTCATGGGAGAATCAGGGACAACATAGAGCTAGAAGGGGAAAGTCAATAAGAAGATTCCTTATATATAAGAAGAACGCGACCATGGAAGAAAACTCACGAATAGAACCGACCACATGAGGTTTGTACCACCAATCACCAAGAAGATCAGCTGCCATGAAGTAATGCTGGTACTGTGCACGTGTCCAAAACCGAAAGCAATCAGAGACCCCCCAGCAGTCGCCAGCCCGTTCATAGCAATGAACAGCACCAGACGCAAGGAAAGCTCCTGGCGCGTGAAGAACATGGAGCAGATCATCATGTAAGCAGGCGTCATGTTGCTTTCAGCCATGCCCAGGATGAACCTCAGCGCAAAAATGCGTCCAAAGTCCTTCGCTGCCGCGCAGCACATTAGAAGCCCTCCCCAAACACCAATCATGATACCCGTGTACTTTGCAACTGGTAGACGCTGAAGCAGCATACTAGCTGGAATGTACCAGATGATATTGCCGTAGGCGAAAGCGGATGCTATAGTCGAGTACTGCTGACCTTCCAACCCAAGGTCTGGAATCAGGGTGTATGCAGCAGCATAGTTCAAGGAGAGTTTGTCCAAGAATTGAAAAACGAACGAAATCATGAGCTGAGGTAGATTTAGTCAGTCTCAGATTGAACAATCGATACTCAGGAGGGGGAGGAATCAACACGACTGACCATTGGCATCAGGATCCTGTCCATTTTCCTCTTGACCCTTCGCCGTTCTCCTTCGAGATCATCTGAATCAAGGTTTCGGGCTTCCGCATACGCAGCGGCACCAATGTCTTTAGTATTGGCCATCTTGTCGAGTTTGGGATCCGAAGAAGGTGCATCGTCAGGACCGGCACGGGGCTCGATGACCGTCATCTCCTTTGTTTCGTTGGCACGAGACATTCTGGTGATCTTGATAGTACGTGTTAACTAGAACAATGTGTATGGTCTGAATCAAAGCATCGTACCAGAGTCGGGACATTGAGGCTGGATAGTAATATGCCTAAGGAGCTGTCTTATCATCGATCGATGACAAGTCAGGAGCACGTAGAAGGAGCTACCTGCTATCGCAGATTCCCCAGAAATCCACATTGCCTGATAGGGGGTGGTCGGGTCCGGAAGAGCGGAAGCTGGGGCTAGTTCGTGGAATTGATGGGCGGCATCTATCGGGCAAGATGTAAAGTTTCTTAGTCGTAAAGTCGTATAACCAATGCTGCGAGCCAGTCACATTCATGGATATCGCACTAACTGTTCCAGTATCTTGCAGAGTTTGACAGCTGAGCGCTTGTTGCGCTGTCGGAGCTGGCAACCCGATGAACTCCGCCGTCGGAGAGATCGTTATCTGAGAACCTATCAGGTCAACCGAAAGACTCCGGGACCGATGAAATTCAGCGTGGAGCGGGGAAATCGGGAAACACGGCATTCATCGGACATCCCAATCTTGTCAATTACACATTGATGTCACTGCAACTCCGACAGATGCTGATAGTCGAAGAGCATCGCGGACTTCATTAAAGCCGTGGCTACGTCTATAGCCAAGTGAGATAGAACATGCTTAAACTCATTATATTGCAGTGTATTCTTTGCGGCTGAGGTATCTCCAAGTTGTGTATTTTCACTCTCTTCATCTTAGCTCGAAACTAAAGAGGCTGTCATCATAAATCATGCATCTCGGATCCCCGATAGCCAGAGCGCTTGCCATGCGCGATGACTCGCTTGCCAAGATTTCACCACCGCTGAAGCTTGGAAATCTGCCAGATCCGCTTCCATCAAACGTCTGCGAAATCCGGCATCTAGTACTTGAACCGGAGGAGATTGAAATTACATCTCTTGACGCGGACGAGATTTTGGCGGCAATCAGGTCCAAGAAATACTCATGCGTTACTGTCACCAAAGCATTCCTCCGTGCCGCGGCACTGGCTCAAGTTCTGGTAAGACGCCGATGCATTCTTGACATGAAAATTGTTCTCATTGATACAGACGAATTGCATCACTGAATTGCTTCCTGAAATGGCTTTAGAGCGAGCAGCCCTTCTTGACGCTCTGCCAGAGCCACTTGGCCCGCTTCATGGCTTGCCCATCTCTGTCAAAGAGCACCACGGCATGTTTGGGCGAATGAAAACGTGTGGGATGGTCGCCTACATTGATGCAGAGACTGTAAGTTTCGGAGCGTGTCCTATCTGCAACTGCAGCTGACGCCTTCAAGTCAGGAGTAAGCGGTGTCAATGATGTCCTCTGGGCCACCGGAGCTGTGTTCTACGCACGAACTACAATGCCGCAGACCGGTATGCACCTGGAGACGTCCTCCAACATCTATGGAACGACGCTCAATCCCCGCAATCTGTCCTTGACTCCAGGCGGGAGCTCGGGTGGCGAAGCCGCTCTTATAGCGTTCCGAGGAAGCGTCTTGGTAAGAGCTTTATTCGATGTCACCAATCATGTTGCGGAAATTTCTAATTAATCCGGAAGGGTGTCGGAGGAGACAGTGGCGGATCGATTCGAGCTCCAGCTGGATGCACTGGCATATATGGGTTCAAGCCCTCCACGGGTCGGCTCAGTCGCGGTGGCGCAAGAGCTGTACCTGGCGGCGACGGGTAAGTAATTTTTTATCCACGGTATCGATTGTGGCTTACCAGTCGTCTAATATCTCTGTAGAATTGTTGGAGCTCATGGACCGATGTGTACCTCTCGCTCTGCGTTATCCCTGTTCATGAGCACATACTGCAATGCCGAGCCGTGGCAGCAGGACACCTCACTTGTTCCGTTGCCCTGGCGGGAAGTCAAGCTTCCCAGAAAACTCAAGATTGGAGTCATGTGGAACGATGGAATTGTCATGCCTCATCCTCCCGTTCGTCGAGCTCTTGAAGAAGTCACTAGGGCCCTTCGTGCGCATGGAGACCAATTCGAATTGGTCCAGTGGATCCCTCTTAACCACTCAAGGGCCTACGAAATCAGCATGGGCTTGTACTTTGAAGACGGAGGGAATGCAATAAAAAAGGTCCTTGAAGATGGCGGTGAAGAGCCTCGTCCTTTGACGCAGTGGATCTTCGACAATGAGCTTGTTAAAGACAAGACGAAGGAAGAAGTGTGGGCAGTAAGTTTACCCCAGGATACAATCTTCCAAGAGAACCACGTACTAACCTTGGCTGTACTAGTTGAAAGCCGAGAGGAATGAATACCGCCAGCAGTACAATGATCACTGGCTGGCAACTGCCGCCCCTGATGGCCATGCCGTCGACGCAATCCTCAGTCCCGTGAGCCCGGGTGCCGCACCCCCCCACGGCGCGAGCAAATACTGGTTATATACAAGTCAGTGGAACTTGCTGGAATACCCTGCTGTTTGTTTCCCCGTCACTACCGTTGACCCTGCGAAGGATGTCAAAGACTGCGGGTACGTGCCGAAGAACCCTCGCGACAAGTACCAGCATGACCATTACGACCCAAAGACCTACGTGGACGCTCCGATTGGTCTTCAGATCATCACTCGGAAGTTTGAGGACGAAAAGTGTCTGGCAATCTTAGAAGCAATTGAGATGGCGATGGGAAGAGAGTAAAGCCAGAGGACGCCCACATGCTTGTGCCTCGTGGACTCGTTTAGGCCAGGTTGCAGCTCAATGATAAACGCTGTTAAGTAGTAGTCTCTAACACATCCGTACCTGAATGACTGTGAGTGACTAGCGTCAAGCCTCCTATACTGAAGTTTTCAGATCCTCAGCCGTGGCGTTGCATCTTCTCGATCAAGTTCCCCTAACCAGATTCTGTTGATCTCACTGTGGCCACAGTTGCAAGAGACTCCGACAGTGACGCGGCCTCTGAAACACCCTGCAAATCAGCCATTCCCATCCTCAGCCGGCTCCCGGACGTCGGCTCCGCTGCCGTAATGTTCCAACCATACGAAGGCTCCACACAGACCGCCGTTCCTGGTCGCAGGGCCGTGATGCAGGATCCACTACCGCCGAGACTCGGGTTGACCGTCCGGAAAGGGGCACTCGTGTTGCCGCCCCGGACGCAAATAGTCATGCACGTATCCGCTCCCTCGAACACGTGCCACGTGACGGAGTTGAGGGTCCAGCCCCTCGCCACCTCGGCGTCATCTGGTGGGTCCACAGTAACGCGGGCGAAGCCGTCGCCGATGGGTGGATCTGTAGGGGCGGGATGGGACACAACGCCGGTGTAAGTCCCGCCCCGCAAAAAGACGCAGATCATCTTGCCATTAAAGACCGGAGCAGGATGCAGGTTAGAGCAGTCAAATTTGATTCACGCGTTGTACGCCCTGATAGTGCCAAAATCAAATGCAACGGCAACCTCGATGGCCGTGCAGGAATCTGAGGGCCACAGACAGTACGTCTGGCAGGTTATGGAGACGCAGATGGGGACGCCGGGTTGTAACTTGGCGCAACCAGGCAGCAGAAGTTGGTTGCCCATGTACAGTGCTGTGGATAAGACCCCGGTCAAGTTGGAGATGGATTCGCACGTGTCGCCCTCTTGGTGGCGTCGCGGCGCCCAGGATCAGTGGCAGTAAGAGAGCCGTAAGCCCGCTGCCGCCGCAGCTTGAATAGATATACTCGGGTTCCGCTTTGTAATTTTTATTGTAGACAGACATCATAGCCAGCCGCCAAATGTAGCACGTGTAGCAGAGCTCAGCCTGTAGCATGTCAAGATACGTGGCGACTTCTGTGAAGTTGGCGATAATGTCTGAAGAAAGGTCAGGACTCGACTGGGTAAACAAAATTACAGCCAGACTCGCCATTGCAGTAATTCCTGGCCCTCAGATCTCGAACTCAGGTCTCGTTGTAGCCAGCCCACATGTATCCGCAAAGCAGCTGGGGAACGCTGTTATCGACTCGCTGCTCTGCACAGTCGGACAACACGGATCTGAACCAAGTCGCCAACGAAGATGAACAGTCCGCTGTGCAGACTTGGTCGGTTGCGGTGACATTTTTAATTGATGAGTGGTATTGAAGCCTGATCATCTCTTGGACGTAGGGATGACAGTCCTCAATGCTCGTAGTCAGGGAGCGGATGCAGCTGGAGCCGAGTGTAGCATCAAGATCATCTTCGTTGGATACAGCGAAACTCCGCTGGGAGAAGACAACGCTACTCAACATGCAAAGAATTGTACAGAGTAGAGCTCTGGCCATATTGCAAGTGCGTCGTTCTGGTGTATTGTTGGAAAATGTGGTATTGTGGGAGGCCCCGTGACAGATTGGAAGTTATCGCCAGAGTAGGAGATAGCTATGAGCTGACGGTCCCGAGACCTGGAATCTTCTCGCGCTCTGTTATCGAACTGACTTAAGACTGCAAAGTGGCCTGCAGTGTGACCATAGACCTGACTTCTTCGGCAGTCATCGTGACGAAACAAGATGGTGATGTACCTGGAGAATGAGCCCAACACCACCTAGAAGAATGCCGCTATCTCAGTCGCCATAGATGCTCCGTACCTCATGCAACCTGAAAGACGGAGTTGAGCTATGCGCGAATTTATCCCTGAGTAATTATGCCAATCCAAGCTTGGCAACGCATTGTGCTCACTCATTAGACAACTTTACAGTTAGCGGGTCTGGCGATCCCAGCAGAGACGTCAAGACCTCTCAGTCAGCACTGTCATCGTCCCCAACGCCAAAGGCAACGCCATGCTTGATACGCCGTCCAGTAGTCCTATGACCTTTGTCATAAGGACTTAGCTTTATGTCTATCATCTTACTACAAGCTACCTAGAACTCTTAGCTTTTCATGATACAATAATTAAAAGAACATAGAATATTTTAATAATACTTAGTAACCTTATTGAATATTGTATACTTACTTCAAAAGTCTGCACTATAACATAATGTCATTCTCACTAGTTATTTATTTATAACTAAAACTTAGCTTGTATAATCTATTCCATTTTCTTTTAGTCAATAATAACTCTCGATCATAAGGAAGGCCAGCATTAATCTAGAAATTCCCGTCTGAAGTGCTAAGCAGACACGTAAGCAGACACGTAGCACGGCTGCAGTAATTGCAACAGCTATGAACGCCCAATCCGATACGACGATGAGATTCCAGAACTATTGATGCGTGATTTCCGCATTGTTAGCACGCCTTGCGATCGCATAGAAGAAGCCCAAGAAGGCAGCAGCCCTAATAATGATTGCCGTTCCAATTCTTATCATATAAGGGAAAAAGAGGTAGATTTAGACTTTGTCATGGTATTTCGCAATTCCTCAAAGCGAGAAGTCGCTGTTGCAGCCGCCGGATGCGGTGGGAAGTGGCGCTGTTTTTACAGGTGTATTGCACAAAAGCGTCTATTTGTAGATTAGCTTGACACTTGACTAAGAACTTGGAAAGCTGGTGTTTGTTAATGACTAACTGATAACCCTGACTGGGCGCACTAAATAATAGCCATATATGTCCAAAGTAACAGGCCCTCCTCCCAGCGCTGTCTGTGCTTTTTATCTACGGCATTCTATCAGTAGCCATGCTACCTACCTGGTAGCCCTTCTTATGCTTCCTACTTACGATATAACAAGACTTCTACGTCTCGTTCGAATACAAATTCCAGTCAATATCTCTAATTGACTTTTACTTGATCCTCTCCTCAATCAGATCTCGAAGCTTCAATGCTGACTCCTTAGGCGTCCTCTCTAGTGTGTCGTAGTCAGTAAAGGTCACGCCAAACCTAGGACCATAACCTTCGGTCCATTCTAATAATAATATCAGTATATTAAAAGGTAGAAGGACAAAATTGACCTTTATAGGGCAGTGAGAAACTTACCCAAGTTATCCATCAAAGACCAGGCAAAGTACCCAGAAACCTTTGCCCCGTCTTGTCTTGCTTCAACAATAGCACCCAGGTGGTCCTTAAAATATTTCTGTCGGAACGCATCCTTGACACACTCCTCTTTGGTCATTTTTTCCTCGCCCGGGCAAGGACACCCGTTTTCGGTGACGTAAATAGGCTTGCCATACTTCTTGCAAATTCTCATAAGGTGCTTTCGGAACCCTTGGGGCACAGAGCGCAGCCAGTACATCCCGCTAAGCTCGCCGATCGACTCGCCGGCCTTGTTCTCGGGTAAGTTATCCACGTTGCCCGAGTAGTCGGTATCCAACGCAGTGCTCGTGCGATGCCGCGCGAATTGAGAGGTGTAGTAGTTCATCCCGTAGAAGTCAAGCTCAGCCTCGCGCAACAGCTCGAACTCGTCATCTGTGAAACTTGACAAGCGATCTCCGAGCTGTTGACGCATGACGTCGGGATAATCCTGTGCAAGACTAAAAATCGCGCCGTTAGCAGGCTTGCGTGCCTTGGGGAACCCGAATCGGAGTTTCACCTAAGTATCCAACCAGGGACTACTTACAACATGGGGTGGGCAAACCAGCCTTGCCAGAAATCCATCCGTCTCTCAGCCGCTTCGTGGTCTTTGGGGTTTTCAGGATCCCATGGCATAAAATAATCGCCACTGATGGAGACGCCAATGCAGCCACATTGGCTCGGTTTGAACTCCATGTTGTACAGTCTTGCCGCTCTCGCATGCGATAAAATGAGGGAATAACCAACGATCCAAGGCTCTGTTGTCGAGTCGCCCTCCGCACAGTCTCTGTTAGTACTACTCCGTCCGGGAGCGTCGAGGCCCTTTGAAAACCCCTGTAGTCACATTAGATTCCATGTTTTCATTCTCACTTTTCTCAGGGTGCAAGCCACCCGACACAAGTGGCAAATAATGGGAAGAGTTGGATGGAAACGACTTGGCCACTTACACGAATGCTAACGACCCAAGGCTCATTCAGTGTGATCCACTTCTTGACACGGTCGCCGAACCGCTGATAGCACACCCTCGCATAGCGTTCAAAATCCTTCTGCGACTCTTCAACATTCAGCCATCCGCCGTACCGATCTTGAAGCCCCTGCGGCAGGTCCCAATGATACAGAGTAACCCATGGCACGATGCCTCTCTCAAGCAGCCCATCGATGAGCTTATTGTAAAAGTCGATGCCGGCCTCGTTCACCGGGTCATCTCGTCCGCCGACAGGGATGATGCGCGACCACGCAAGCAAAAATCGGTAGGCTTTCGCGCCGTGCTTAACGAGCAAATCGAGATCTTCCTCATATCGGTGGTAGTGATCAAAGGCTACATCACCGTTGGCTCCGTTCGTACGAGAGGGTTCCAGGTGGGTGACGATGTCCCAGATGGTAGGGCCCCGTCCGTCTTCGTGGACGCCGCCTTCGATCTGATATGCAGCCGTGGCAAATTCCCACTCGAAATCGGATTGCAGCCCTTTGGGTGTTCTTACTACTCGAGAAGCCATGGTGCAAATGCAAGGCTGGAGATGAATTTGGTATGTTTTCAAAGCGATTTTCCGCGAGATTATTGAAAAGACCAATGTTCTTTGGTGAGATACGTATCTTGAGGGAAAGCGACGGCTTTCTTTCAAGAAGTTTGGTCCTGAGACGATGTCTCAAAAGCTGATTAAAGAGACAGCCATATATAGGTAAGAATCTCTCCAAAGATTCAAAGATGTTTCTTTTTATCAACGTTTTGCACCTGCCCCTCCATTACCCGTCCAATGCTGAGGTACGCCATGGTACCTAACGGAGAATCTACATTCAGACCCTAGAATAATTCACCGATATCCAGATTTATGTTTCACAGTGCCAGCGGAGCAGAGGGGTTTAATGTGACACACTCCAAGCTCTAAAACTGTAGTTGTACTAATCTAGCACTTTAGTTCTAATCGCATGAGTGTTGAGGGATATGGTGCCACTTGAGAGGTACAACTATGATAACCCTAAGTCAAAGTGAGTAATAACGCGCTTGGGTTTCCTTGAACGAGAAAAAGAAAGAGAGACATTGGAATAATGGACGCCCTTTCGCTAACGAAGTACCGAAAAAGTGCGACGGTATACCGACATGTAGAAACTGTTACATAGCAAAGATGACATGCAAATACTCGCCCCCGAAAAAGCGAGGCCCGAAACCGGTCAATTTGCAAGACACGCTTCCAAGAGAATCTCCTTCTAGCTCAACATATGCGGCTACTGATTTATCTGGGGAAGCCGAGAGCCCGGCAATCCCCGATGCAAACGACATCAACTCTCAACCAGTTTCCACTGTTCTACTATCCGACAATGTCACAGCATATCATCTATCCGTGACAAAAGAAAGTCAAACGCAAACTGCTACCAGGTTACATCTAAACCTACTGACGGGGCTACTAGCCGTCACCACGTCCGGGACAGCAAAGTCAATCGCAGATCGCTGTATTCTCTTTTACGCCCGATAAGTTTTCGGAACAACCCCCGTCTGCCATGAGGCCACACTCCATAAGACTGTTCACCGGTTCTTCATCCCGATTACGAACCCACAAACCTCAGCAGACCACGCAAGGGTCTTGCTCTGTTTTGCCGCCGATGACAAGCGAGAACGAATCGGGGCCCTTAGGAGTATCACCCTCCTCACAGCCTTATGCGCAGCCGTAACATACATAGTCCCTGAGTCTCTACTACCAAATAAGCATCTTACTGCCCCTTTGTTCCTCCAGGCAGCGCGAGAAACCCTCTGAAACTATGAAGACTACGACTTAGAGCACCTCAATTCCTCGTCTCTTAGCATACGGTTGTTTCTCTCATCGGCCATGGAGACTGCCACGGGGACTCATGGAGTGGCTTTTCATATCCTGAACGAAGCGGGCCTCATCGCGATGAGAATGCGCCTCTACGACGAGAGCTCGCTCGAAAGGCGAGACCCCATTGAGGAGACTCTCCTACGGAACGCCTTTTGGCAGCTATACGTTTGCGACAAGACGGCTTTGGTTATGAAAGGTCGCCCGGTGACGATCCACGAAACTCTCTTCGAAACGGGACTTACACTCAAGACACATTCACGAAGCCCTGTATCACTTTTTAGCCGCGAAGGAGAATCAAACGGCGCCGAGATAGAGGTTCGTCTTCTAGAGGGGTTTCATGTTATCCGGCGTCTGTGGACCATGGCTTCTTAGGTCATTCAAGGCATAGAATCACACTCTAAGAGGATTTTTGACCCATTTACTGACATGGAAGCTTCTTGTGAAACTATTACGAAGTTGTCAGAAGCATACTTCGAGATGATCACCCTTACCAACAACCTCCTTCCTTTAATCCGATTGCCTGAAAGTTCATCTTTCGACGATGCATACCAGCATTTGATCAATACCTTGCAGCGGCAACGGACCAGTTATCTCATTATCCTTCATAGCATTAAGTCAATGGTACTAAACTCCGCAATCCAGTGTAAAATGACCGAGATCATGGGCCTGAGCGCGGAACCCCTGACCCTTGCTATGAAGCAGATTGAGCTAGCCCAGGATTTTCTAAACGCCCTTGAGAGCGTTCCGTTTATACATCTCCAGACGGAAGGAGAGCACTGTGTGAATATACCCAAGCAGAGTACGCAAGGATTGCTCGTGCGGACGTTCGCCCGCTTACATTACTCACCGGGCTAGGTTGAGAAGATTAGAAGAGTTGGCAGCATCCTGCTCGAACTAGCACACAGCGCTGAGAATGAGGTAATCGAGTCTCAGGCGAATCGATCTGCCATGCGCTTAATTGACATGGTCCTTGAAAAAGGTCTCCGTGGCCTGTGTACTGGATGTACTCATTCGGGTTCGCCTTGCCCAGTACTAGATTCAACCGGTTCACCTCGTACGATCCCCAGATATCCCGCGCCCGGGCCATTACGGTATGGCGACCAGCAAAGCAGCCACCTTCGGCGATGAGAAGGTAATACCACCCGTCTTTCTTATACATGTAGGGGCCCTCAGGGTAAGCCTTGGTGACACCCTCCCAGAGCAACTTTTCCTCCGAGAGTTTCTTGCCAGTCTTGAGGTCAATCTCGAACTGGCAGACTTCGGTTTGCGGAGGCGGGCCTGCAGCACCTATTATGTAGACTCGGCCGTCATCATCCCAAAACAAACTGGTATCAATGGCCATGAAATCGTAGAAAACCGGGTTGTTCCATTCATCAGCCCAGATATCAGTCGTTGATAGTATAAAATTTTGGCGTTCGCTTTCGTTGGGTGGTTGGGATCCTCTGTGTATAACATTGATGCAGACGATGTAGAAAGTGTCTTTGTGGTGTCTGATCGTGGGGGCGTAAAGGCCGCCCTCGGCGCATATGTTTTGATCCGGATGACTGGGGCCGACTATCTTGGTCACAGATTCCTGGAGACGTAATTGTCCAGGCCAATTCAGTGCATTACCTTATGGTAATTGTAAGCAGGAAAGATCTCGAACCTAAAGGGTCTTAAGGAGTAGATTCCGATGAACATACCAATGTATTTCCACTCTTTCAAGTCTTTTGAGGCGTAGATTGGTAAACCGGGAAATATGTGGAGGCTGGAGTTGACGAGAAAGTAAGTGCCGTCAACATAGACAATGGAAGGGTCAGGGGCAAACCCGGGGATGATTGGATTGACTCGGACTCGCTCCATCATGGAAGGTTGTATGCTGTTAATAACTGAGTGCGTGAGTGAACCAAGAGTAAGTTCACCTTTATTGAGCCTTCGCGTATACTTATCTCTTCTACGTCGATTAACGTAGACGTGGAGAGTCTTGCTAATTGCTCCGGGAGACTCCGAAGACCTCGTGAGCTCTTCGGATAAACACTTAGTGTCTTTCTCGGCATTAATCCAAGGCCCTGCGGAAGAGCAGGTACCGATCCACAGTTACTTCAAGGCTCCCTAAACAAAACTTCCGTCTCATACTCTGTTGTTGATGTACCATTTGTTCTTCGGAATTCGATGAATTTTGGTGCCAAATTCGGGGAAACACAAAATGTACGTTACCTTTCCTTCCCCTAAATTTGACTTACCGAGATGATTCTATAATGCAAGCCCATATGCCCATCACCCAATTGCCCGCTTTCTGACCTAGCGAAGTGGAGAAAACAGAAATATAACGCATGCTGCCCTACCTAGTTCCTTGATGCGAGGCGGGTAAGACGAATGCGTACCAACATGCCTCTTGAGCGCGCAGGACGTACTCTATGGTCTTGGCATTATTGGGTGCTATCATTTGACAGGCTCCTCAGTACTGGTCTTGATCTTACACCCACGATGACATTGTACTAGCCTGCTTTTGACTAGACATAATGCATCCTCGGTGAAATTCGGTAGAACTCAGAGTATTACCCGGGCAAATGGAGGGGCAACAACGAGGCTAAATTCCTTGGTCCCAAGCTCTGGGGTTCCGAGTATCTGAGCAGCTCATTCACCTGCCTGAAAAATCCAAGCGTCGAATTGACAGTCCCACTCCTGATGGGGCATGTCCCCACAGGACCCCGTGGGGAAAACTTGGATACGAAAGTCGAATGTTTTAATGTGTTCTGTACTCATGAGGCTATGGCGCGGTGTTCTCCACCTCTTCATGAACCTGAAAGTGGTGTTGGTTATTGAGTGTCCTGGATGTCTGAAGTGTGTATACGAGTCGAATTCATACAAAGCCGAAGCTCGGCGTCATATATATTCATCCCCTTCTCCCACCTTCAGGACTGCTTCATTGCTACAATCGTTCCAAGATCACAATCTTCTCTAAGCCTCCCCATCTCCTGAAATTTGAAATTCCGCAACGACCGCGATATATTATCAGCCGAACATGGGAGATTTAGGCTCCTAGAACTCTGCAACACCGAGTCATGGTGGCGCGTGTCGCACCTTTATAGCCTAGACTTTATATAGTCTAGTCTATCCCTTGTTTCCCTTTATCGTTAAATTGAACCTGCTCCTCATCGTCCCATTTCTCACCAGTTATGTGGGTGGTTTTGACGGCAGCATGCTTAACGGTGTCCAGACGCTCACAAATTGGCAAGAATGTTGGTTTTGATAACATTCCCAGCGCGCGTCCTTGTCCTACTTTCTGTTTAGGTCAGTGAGAGCTAACAGGATGCGTATTCACAGATTTCCATCATCCTCGAGGGGCCATGCTTGGTCTCCTAGTCAACATGCAAGTCATCGGTGGCGTTATCTCTCTGCCACTTGCTCCTTTCATTGCTGATAAGCTTGGACATCGACACCCCATATTCCTTGGGTCCATCATCATCATCATCACTGGTGCATTGGTGCAAGGACTTGCTTCCAAACTAGGTATGTTCACAGCTGGGAGGTTCTTTATTGGTCTAGGCGGAGGCTTTGTCTCAACTACTGCCCCTACACTTATTGGGGAGTTGGCATACCCAACCCATCGATCCATCATCACCGCTATTTACAATACCACATGGGTAAGCAGGCATCTTTAATTAGGAACTTTCCCTTCCTCATACATATCCATGGATTGACACCGTTGTTTTGCATACAGTACACAGGGTCCATCGTTGCCGCTTGGTCCACGTATGGCACCTTTAAGCTCGAAACTGACTGGAGTTGGCAAATTCCTTCGCTCCTTCATGTCACTGTCTCTATCTTTCAGATCAGCTTAATTTGTTTCATGCCGGAGAGCCTCCGATGGCTCATCGCGAATGGTCGGACGCCAGTAGCTACCAAGATTCTAAGTAGATATGATAGCGGGACCGAACAGCCGACTGAGCTCGTACAAATCCAGGTGGCCGAAATTACCGATGCCATTGACTACGAGCGCTCTTTGGAATCGGCTTCTTACCTCCAGTTTGTTCGAACAAGTAAATTCCAATATTTCTACTTTTTGAGATTCGGCTAGCAATACTAATGCGTATCGTTCATTCACAGAGGGAAATCGTCATCGTCTATGTGTTGTCTTCAGCTTTGGATTCATCGTCCAATGGTGTGGTAACCAGCTCATTGCTCTCGTCCTCACCGACATCGGCATTACCGATCCTGAGACGCAAAACCTTATCAATGGAGGCCTTCAGATTTTCAACTGGGTCGTTGCCGTCGGATCCGCCCTCTTTGTCGACCGCCTTGGCAGACGATTTCTGCTGCTCACGTCCACCATCGGCATGTTGATCGCTTTCTCTATTTGGACTATCCTTGCGGCGCGAAATCAACAGAGTGTGGACGGCAGTAAGGGGCTTGGCATTGGCGTTGTGGTTATGGTGTTTGTCTTTTACGCCTTCTACAACCTCGCCATGATGCCCCTGCCTATTGCTTACGTGCTCGAGGTGCTACCATACACACTCCGCGCCAAGGGCCTTACCGTCTTCAACCTGGCGCAATTCTGCAGCGGTATTTTTAACGACTTCGTCAATCCAGTAGCACTCGAGAAATTGAGGTGGAAGTACTACATTGTCTTCATTTGTGCCCTGTTGTTGTGGCTCTGTGTGATCTACTTGACTTACCCTGAGACGCGTGGAATGACGCTGGAGGAGGTTAGCCAGGTATTTGATGATCGGGAAGCGCTTGACAAGTCCTGTAAAATTAAAGATATGAAGCTTGCGGAACCAACCATACGGAAAAGGTTACCGCGGGATGATACAAGGAGTGAGTAGTAATGCTAAATTAGGCCTTGTATCTATGCGTGATGATTTGGTCCAGCAATCGCCAAGTCATTAGGAACACAGTTTGGTTTACCTGGTTCGACTAGGTGACTAACAGCATCCGCTATACAGTTCGGTACGTTAGAGATCGTCTTGTGAAGAGCTTTACAACCTGATCAGGGCCAGGAGTCCTTCCCAAGAGTGACCCCCTAAGTCTGAAGGGTCTGTCGGACGCGGTACTGTGATTCCTAGGAGGCATGTCTTATGTATGCAGGCGCATCTGTCCCGTAACAGTTGTTCAGTATCGACATTATTTACCTGTTAGTAAAATCCACTACAGTCGTATTTCTAAAGGCAGCAGAGGCGAACATCTTACTTCCTTATGGCAACACTGAGTTATATATGTCACTATCAAACCCTTTACTGACCCCTCTATGCCTCACGTCTATCCCTGTCTGCTTAATAAGTGTTTACCCTTAGAAACCTTGTGTGTTAATGTTTGCTCGTGCCATTTTATCTGAGCCGAGTTCTTCCGTTGGTATCAAATATATGTTAAGAAAAAACGTGACCCGGAACGACTTCATCGTCGCCAAATGGCACCTGGCACAGCTGCGGACTGCACGTACTTCGACACTACCTAGGACGCATAGTACATTTGTGCGTTCTTTGAGTCTGAATGGAGCTTGTCTCGTGCAGAATTTGTCAACTACGTGAGTTCACAGACCAGCCATGCCAGACAAGGGTACCCTCAAGTGCTACCTAACATTGAACCCCCCGAGCCCCAGCGTGGGCGCGGACTGCAGCGGCATTGTCATCGGCAACTCATACTGCGTTGAGGTCAATTTTGGCCTCCCGCGTTCTGCCACAAGACGGCCGAGTAACACCACAACCACAACAGCCTCCTCTGTTACGACTGCGACCAGGAATGTCAAGCCATCGCCTACGCAGCTTGGACTCACGGCAGACTGCACCCATTTCTACTTTGCCGTCGCAGATGACTCTTTTGAGGGCATTTTAGCCAAGTTCGGCACATTCACCTTCGCCGACTTCTACTGCTGGAATCCAGCTGTTGCTCCTTCGTGCGATACCCTCTGGGCGAGTACATGGTACTGCGTCGGTGTACCTGGCACTCACATGGCGCTGCCGTCGACCAGTGTCACTACGACCAGAGCCACGACAATGACAACGGGCCCGAAGGGTCCCTCTCCAATAATACGGGAGTTGTCGCGGGGTGCCGGCGCTGGCACCTTGCCGGCTCAGGGGATGACTACGCGAGCGTCGTGGGCCGATACGACACCTTCCCGCTGGCGCAGCTCTACGACTGAAACCGGGACTTCGGGACAAACTGCGCCAGGTTCTGGCTGGAGTACTGATACTGCATCGGTGAGATATTTACGCTCACTCCCACTCTCATTCTTACTGACCTTGGTTTATGTAGGCGTTGACGAAACGCCGACCATGGTAAAGACATCCGCAACTTCGACGACGCGCCCGCTGACCACTGCTGAGGCGTCCAACCCTGCCGCGCCGTCGCTGACCAGCTGTCAGTTACTTGCGGCTGTAGGAGGTGGCACTTGGTGGGCAGCGGCGCCACGTGTAATAGCACCATCCGGCAGTATGGCATCACCTTGGCTAATTTCCTCAACTGGAATCCTACCGTTGTTAATGTGTGGTGCAGCTTGTGGCTGGGAACGTATGTCTGTGTTGGGAGGTAGTCAGTCTAAGTTAATCGAGGCTGTTGAAGACGAGATGCAAGGTTCTGCTGAGTCTGATGGGTGAGATTCGGGATGGATGGTTGAGGTGAGGGGGATACATTGCACTGCTCAGCTAAGACTAAATCACATGCAAATCTCCTGTGGATGTCACTGTAAGACCAAGTGACTAGTCCCAGATTCGTGAGATCCGTGTAGCACAGTTGTGCAAGCCAAGTGTGTAGGCTGCTTCAGCCGATCAGAGTCGTTCATCGACAAACAACAAACTTCAGGCTTCAACAGTGAATCACAGCAACAGCATTGATATTTCAGTGCTACCTGATCTCTTCTCTTTGACAGATATTAATACAGACCTAAACATTTTGAAACGCAGCCGGATCCTCCAGCACCCGCTTCACAATCTCCTGGCTGTATTCATCCGCATTCCCGTTGAAAACCCTCGTGTACTCCGAGATGTATTCAGGAAGTTGCTCCACGAGATTATGCCTTGATGGAACAGGTTCTTGTAGGTGCTCGACCAACGGGATGTACCCCGACCAAACAGTCTTTCTCGTTTCAGCGTTTTCTAGGTCTTCCTTCACCTCGGCGACCGGGCCCGCGCGAACCTTTGCGCTGCCGCTTTTCACGCGGATGCGCAGAACTTGCGTCTGCAAAAGCTCATTGGCGGACGGGGGCTGTCGCACTTCTTCCCATCGTCCTGCGACGAGGCCGTTTGTGATGAGCTTCAACGCCCACAACTTCTCCTCATTGTCCGTGACCAGAGTCGCGTAGCCGAACAGGGAAGCCGAACGGTAGTTGCAGGAGTGCGCAAAAGAACTCAGAGCGAGAACGATACCGTCTACCTTGGTAGCTGACACGCAGACGGGAAGGCCAGGTAGCCCCTCGGCCATCTTCTCTCTGGTGAGATTGGCCATGCGAGCTGAGATATAGCCGTGGATGTAACAGTCGAGAGGCTCGTCAATGTCGGCGCTGGGGCGATCAAAATTGCCCATGGCGCCAATCATGGGAATGACGGTTGGAAATTCAGTGTCGCCTGGTGTGAAGGTAACATGTAAAGACATGCATTGGTCGACAATGCTGTGGATGGTCTTGAGGTCGTAGTCTGCGCGTTTGTCCGCCAGTCGGTGGACCTTGTTGACAGGTGTCTTTGGGTACTTCATTATTTCCCGCCGAGGCCTTGAGTCCTTCCTTGCTCAAAAACGTAGCTGATAGTAGCGGAGAATGGGATCCTTGGGATGCTGGGAAAATCGTGGTCTGGCGACTTTGTCCAAGCCAGAAGCAATGGAATATCTGACAAAATTCGGATGGTGAACAACTGAAAAGGCAGCTTGGGGGCATTGACATGCCTCCAATTATATGTTAATTGCCAATCTGTGGCTCCAATTTTAAAGATCAGTTTCCGTGGAGAAGTCCCGGAGCTGGACCGATTGTGTCCGATGGATGGTTACTATCAGTATTGAGGCCATCGGCTTTTGTCGGAGTTCGCTGAACTTATTGCCTACAACTTCGACGAATGACCGGCCGGTAACTTAGCGCTAAATGATTCAGATGCCAGACCAAGGCAATCGGAGCAGCTAATCTCCTAGATCCTATAGGTGCTCTTGCCATCCTTGGTGATGATTAAGGGCTATCAGGCTTGCTTTGAGTGGAAGTGATCGGTTTCGCCGCTGTGTGGATTTGTCGAGGTACGTGTGGCGCCGCAGGGCCACTCTAAGGAGAAAGGGAGGTCATCTTACTGTAGAATGTTCGTGGCAGTTGCAGATCAGAAAAGTTAAAGTTGATCCACATGCTGGACGCGGTGATGGTGGGGAACACCGATGCGACGGCCACCCGAGGGTCGGAGGCTGTACGTTTATCAAGTGATAGGGACGCAGATTTGATTCTGGGTTGTTACATTTGCGTAGTCGGGTAACAGAGATAAATCGCCGATCCTTTTAATTATGAGACGGGATGTGCCAGCACAGTTGGTCAAAGCTCACCATCTGTCCCGACAATGAGTCAGAGCTTAGCAAATGCCCTGATTAAATGATACTCTGAGGACTGCTGATAGAAACACGATTAGTATAACTTTTCGTGGTCTGGCATTCTCAGCCTAAGCGCCAGTAGTCCAGAGCTGCAGACTCCAAGCCTCCAGTCACAAGAGTTTCAGGTCTTCAGCTCTGGCGTTGCAACTACCCAAGTAGACTTGCAGGAACGAACAAGACTAGGCTGCCACGCGACGCATGCTCACTGTGTAGAAAGCGATTAATCAGGATGCAAAGGCCGCGTGACAAGGCACGGGATTACGCATACCTTATTGTTTTTTTATTCTTCCCACCCAGTGTCCACCACCACCTTTTGTCGCCCATGTCGACAATTGTAGCTTGCGTTCGCCAGGGGTGCCACTCATCTCGGAAGCGCCACCCATCCAATCAACCAGATCCGGCTGCCGACAGCGCATAAGACAAGAAAGCTTGGTTCTGAGACGCGGCTTGGTAGGCGTACCATCCAGCCATGACATCGAAAGCCCTCACGTGTCATGTGCCTCAGCCGTCGCCCGGAACTTGACTCATCTCCGACAGCATCGAAGCAATGTCGGGCGCGGTGCCACTCTCAATGATCTGCTGTACCATGCCAGAAATCTCCCTCCGAGACTCCTCATCGATTGTCCCAGGTATGCAGGATCTCGAGATGCCGTTGGCCAACACGTCCAGGCAGTCACGATAGACGTCCGCCTTTTCCGAACGATCAGCGAATATCGCGAGACTTGAGGCGACTTCGCGAATGGCGCGGTCGACGTTCTTGGGAATCGGGACGGCTCGACGGTAGACGATATAGATAATTGACACGCCGACTTGGAAGCTGAACAGCATCTAGTGGGATGTCAGCAGTATACTTAAACTAGAGCAAACCACTCGAGGCAGTTCGTACATCGCCCCAGTGCTTCGGGATCTGGCGCTTCTTCTGCAGCGCTCGGAATATGCCAACGAAGTCGCAGCAAGCCTGGAGTTTCTCATCGACATATGGCGAGTCGATATCGGCAGGGTCCAATCTGTAAAGAATCACCCGTGTGATGGCCGCGACGTGGGTCAGCCCTAGAGAACTTGCGTATCCTTCGGTGTTGACACGACTAGAGAAATGTCAGTGTGCATCCCCTTGCCACTGAAAAACCCCAACCTACCCATATCCGTACATCTGTCCATCCTGTGACCACTGATCAATTGCAGCTCGAGTGTCTTCGGTGAATTCTGCTCTAGCTTCGGGGGCCATTGTTTGCGTGGCAGACAGAATTTTGGAGTGAATTTGCCGTATGCGACACATATGAGCGTAATAGCTGAGGTTGAAATTATACGTTGAGCCTGTAGTCGCGCCGGGCACATCTGACGACCAAGGCATGATGTACCGAGGCTCGAGTCCGTTAACATATGCGGGCGTCGTGATCCATTCTTCGGGAGGGTAGGGAGGAATGCCGAGAGTGATAGCGACCACTTTATCTAGCCTTGCATACTGTCAGAAGAAGAGCAGGACGATAACTTGGTGTCAAGGCGTGGAGCATTTGGCAGGCTTACATGTAGATACACCACCAAGCTTTGATGGCCATTGCAGTCTCGGCGGTTCCGTCATGCACAAGACGGTGGAAGCCTTTCATCACTGCGAAGCGCATGGCCACGCCAATGATGTGTCCCAGTCGGGGAGTGCTTTCGCCGTGCAGCGCGTGAATAGCGTACAGAAGCATTGCTTGGAGGCGAACTAGAGGCTTGTGCGAATGATCCGTCAGTATGGTCTGATCGGCCTGCGCTTGGAGCATCAGGTTGTGATGCTGCTGTCGCGTGGAGCCGTCGAGCTTTGCCTGACGCAGGAGGGAGCCGACAGCGAAGATCTGTGCTGACATTAGACAAAGCTTTCGATTGGGAAGAGGAAGAGACTGCTTCACGTGCCATTTTGACGAGGTAAGATCTCCAGGCATTATTGCTTGACAGGAAGATTTCACCCATCCTCCAGTCCTGATATCCTCGGCTGCATTCTTCTACGTCCAGGAATGGATAGCGCGGATGAATGGTTTCGAAATAGACCTGGAAAAACAAGGCACCTTCGTGGATGGACACCTCTGCAAACGTTGGCGCAGACCCCTGGCCCAGGACGTGTATCGGCATGGCCGGATCGCTGTGCGCGACGGAGTTCCCACTTGTGTCATGATTTGCCACATCGCTGACGGAGAACAGGTTGTCTTCTGACTGTAGCATGTCGAGACCATAGATGATGTTATTCGAGTTGTCTAGAGGGGTCATGAATGTCATTTCCAGCTGATCGGAACTACTTCGTGGGTTGGAAAACCCGTTGGTGATCTGGGGATCGCCAAGGTGTCGAGAGGGACCATCTATCGGCTGATCAAGTGACTTTCCGGGAGTTGCCAGTGTCGCTCCATGCTGAAGTTCCGAGATCCGTGCTTCGAGTGATTCGATGTAGTGAACTGAGTACAGTGCCATGCGCTCGCGCTCAGCGGGAATACATTCTGCGCAGAGTCAGTACGGGTTTGATTCACAAAACGATGCCTGGAAAGTATGCCTGGGTAAGTCGCCCTCAACGAAAACATTCATCTCACAGACATAATTCCAATGCTTTTCTCTAATGCACTCGAACTATAGCGGCTTGAACTATCCCTCCATACTGTTTGGCTGTCGGCCGATTTCAACAATTTAGAGGCCTGACAACTTGCATCATGCCGTTCTCAAGCAATGCGAGGGAAACAAGAATAGAGCTCGAAGTCTCACACGGGTTGTTTGGGTCACTGACCTTCTTTGGCCGAAGCACAGTTCTGGCAATTTGGTGGGCCTTCACACCTTTGCTTCCTCGTCCGGCACCGTTGACACGCCTTTGCCTTCCTCGGCCGCGATAGGCCTGGTGTTTTTTGCGCTGATCGTGGTGAGGGCTCGGAATTCCCTTCCATTTTTCGGACTCTTGCCATTGGATCATGGGTGAACAAGGATTTGCTGTCGGAGGTGTAACATCCAACGGTTGCTACAGGTACTATGAGAACAAAGGCGGCCGATGTCGCCCGACGAAGAAAAGGCAGTGGCCCGTATTTAGTAGCGCGTCGGATATCTTCGGGGCTTGCTTCGGACCAGAATGGGAAACGGGAAGGTGTAGGTTGATAAGGTGTTAGATTGACGGTGTCATTCGGCTACAGTATCACTAAAAACCGGGTCTGTTGGATAATGGAATATTCTTCTGCTGGGGCGGTACATAAGTGGGGTAAATCAGCTCACCCCGGCCCTGGGAAGATGGAACAAGATGCACAAAAACAATAATCGATGGGATCACTAATCTGGCAACCTCATCTACTAGGTTCACCCGAAAGTGGTAAATAGGATACACTTATCATATCCGACATGACCTCAAGGATCTTTCTGACGTGCATGACGTGTTGGACGATCCTCATAGAGGCGACCATAATCGGCACCTAACTTTCTGGACTGATCGGGATTGCCCGGTCAGCTCGAGAGACTTGTAAAAGGCCGAACAGCGAAGAGATGGCCGCGGGATTAGGTTTTAATCATGCAAGTAGACGCCCGTGACTTTATAAAGAGGACTTGACAAGGCGGTCAAATACACATACACACACACACACACAAAGAGACAAGAAGAAGTCGAATCCAAAGTACGTTCGTCAACTCTTTACAACTAACGTTGGGCTTTGGAAAATAGAGCAGCCTTCTCGATGCACCGCGGTGCGACCGGACAGGTACTGATTTTTCACCCAACACCATAATCGGTGCAAATCACGAGAAGCCGCTTGACAGTGACACTATGGATACAATTTCTTCTGAAGTAGATCTTCGGCAGGATTGAGCAAAGTCGACGAAAACGACGGCGAGAACGACAACGAAACAACTGAAGTTTGGGAGATTGAAAGTTTGGCACATCGAGCTTTGCTGGTGGATATCCCAACCCGACTGACGAAAAATGACGCCGTGTCCATTGGAGAAAATCCTTGTCACCCGCCCACAGGAATCGAAACTCAAAAGTCCGATTAAGCGACCGGGTTGTCAACCTTCCAGTACGTCTTAATAATAACAACCTCAGTCATAAGCCAGGGTCGATAAATGAAAAAATTGATTTTCGCAGCTGGTTGATGGCAGCGCGACCGCCCAGGCCTGGCTTGATGCTAGGACCGAAAAGGAAGCGACAGGGCCATCTTCGAACTGGTGCCCGTGGAAATTCGGCCGCAAGGCTATCAGTCAAGCCCAAGGGGATTTGAACATCAGCTTTAAAAGCAATATTGGCTGCTTCCCTCCTTTCCGATTCTCAAGGGCAATGAAGCGGAAAAGACTAGATCATGATCATCTAGGATTAACTCCAGGTCCGAACACAATGGGACCTGGAACAAAGCCAAAGCAAAGGCCGCGCGCTATGAAAGGGCTGCGTTCTTCTCTGGCTCTGGAATGAGGGAAAGATCTGAGAACTACGAAGCAGATGGTAAAGTTAAAGGTAGGCAACAAAGTAGTCACAGACCACCTACCAACTATTACAGTTACAATCCAACCTAAGAGCCTAACGCCAGTGTCATTTATAATCCAACTAACTCAACCACCCTGCTTCCCACGCAACCCCGCATACCACGCAGCCCAACAACGCGTCACCATAAAACCTACTCCTCTTTTCTAACTATCACAACATCTTCTATTCTACCCCAAACAACGCCATTTTTTGAGGATATCTTTTTTACTATAAGATGAAGCAGTATAGTGAACATGAGCTGCAGCGGGCACTTTGGGATATTGCTGACGGGCTTAGTATCCGCGGGGCAGGTCGCAAATGGGGCATCCCAGAGGCGACTGTACGACAACGTCTCCATGGTACCCAGTCTAGAAATACTGCCTTTGGTAGACTGCAGCGGTTATCTCAGAACCAGGAAGGTCTACTTGCTGAGTGGATATCTAAGCAGGCTGCCCTAGGCTCTGCGTTTTGCCATCAGCAAGTCAAAGGGCTGGCTGAGCGCATGCTGGGCGATGGGCAGCGACCACTTGGGAGGAAGTGGATGCAGCGATTTCTTCGCAGAAACCCATCTATCAGAACCCAGCGATGCAGGGCAATTGACGCTAGGCGAATTAATGGGGCAACTGCTGACATTATCCAGGAATGGTTTCATCGCCTTGATCTGCCAGCAATCCTGCCCATCAAGCCAGCTAATAGATGGAACATGGATGAGACTGGTATCCTCGAGGGCAAAGGAAGCAATGGGCTAGTACTAGGATCGTCAGAGACCAAGTATATCCAGAAAAAACAGCCTGGATCGCGGGCATGGGTATCTCTGATCGAGTGCGTCTCTGCCAGAGGACGCGCACTTCCGCCTCTTGTTATGTATAAGGGCAAGTCAGTCCAGCAACAGTGGTTTCCTCTAGATCTTCAACCCTATGCTAGCTGGAAATTCACAGCAACAGAGAACGGCTGGACAACTGATCAGAATGCCCTAGAATGGCTAGAAAAGGTCTTTATCCCTCAGACTGTCCCAGAGGACCCTTCAGATACTAGACTACTAGTTCTAGACGCCCATCATAGCCATACAACAACAGACTTTCTGTGGCGATGCTTCCGGAACCACATACACCTCCTGTTTCTGCCGCCGCACACATCACACGTCCTCCAGCCTCTAGATCAGTCAGTATTCCGACCTCTTAAGGCAGCCTATAGGAAGTATCTAGGGTACCTAGATATACAAAGCGATTCAACTGTAACAGGCAAGAGGAACTTTATAGACTGTTATAGAAGGGCACGTCTAGACGCCTTGACTATCCAGGTTATTAAAAGCGGCTGGAAACACACTGGGTTATGGCCAGTTGATGTAGCGCAACCTCTATCTAGCCCTTTCGTGTCTAAGGCATCAGCCAGCCAGCCAGCCAGACAGCTAGACGGCCAGACAGCTGGGCAGTCAGGAAGTCAGCAGTGGGATGGAGCTGTATCTATAGTCCCATGGTCAACCCCGCGTAAGTCTGCTGATCTTCAGCGTCAGCTGCACCTATTCAACCAGCTTACGCAAGATACCCGAGAAATCTACACCCAACGCCACCTATTTAGAAAGGTCCAAAAAGGCTGGGACCAACAGGCCTATAGACTGACAGTCCTAGAGCGTCAGGCCCAGGCATTCCAGGCCCAGACGGATAGTCAGCAACAAGGCAGGAGAAAAAGGGTCCAGACGGACCCTAACACGACGTTCGCTAATATCGAGGATATCCGACGGGCGCAAATTGCTGCTGGCGAAGCAGAGAGTAGCACAAGTGAATCCAGTGGATCTGAATTATCTAGTGAAGCAGAAAGTTGCATCTGGGTAGGTGGTAGGGATGAGGAATAATGGATGTTGTTGATGGGTATGGTGATATTGATGGGGGTTTGGGGCTGCGTGGTATGCGGGGTTGCGTGGGAAGCAGGGTGGTTGAGTTAAAGACTTTATCAGAAGTTCCCACAGTCAAAGAGAAGCCCCAGAGTCACACGAGGGAAGCTAGCGATCCGCTCGTATCAAGTTTGTTTATTTCAAGTAGACCAGGGCGCTAGATATAGGGCTAGATATATAGGAATGATTGTGTATTGCCTTAATCCTAGAATCTCTCGGGTATCGCTCTTAAGAGTCGCTTGCGGCTGGGTTGCCACACGCCAATGCTGCCCTCTTCAGGAGACGGGCGATTTTCCACCTGGAGTCAAGGAAAGGCTTTTCTACTCTTTGGCCAGGTCTACGCCTGTCTTTTCATCTATACTATACCAGTCGCGTGCGTTCTGCATCCACTCATCCCAGGTTTGCAGGACAAATGTCTGCTCTACACGTGAACACTCTAGGCAAGCAACCGGTTCCTCGGCCTGCCAAAAGTCAGGAACATGGCATTTCTTCACATGCTTTGAGAAGTTGTCTCCCGAGGCGGCCATATGATCGCATAGGGAACACTTGACCTAGACAGTCAATCGGGTCCTGGCCAAGGATGCTGCCTCCTTGGTAGCTCTCGAGGATGCGGTGCCTGTCACCAGAAATGGTGTGTTGACCTTGCCATGTTTCCTTTCGACGTGGCTGTCCCAGCTGAAAGGACAGCCGATAATCGCTTCAGGCATCCCCAGGCGAACACAGTCGGGGCAAGATGTCGCGCTTGAACGAACCGATTCGTGAAAGAGCCGCATCTAAAGAGGCACCTGCCCCTGTCCCCGCTCCCGTCTGTGGATCCCGGTCCGGGGACTAATTGGCGCAGGGCACCTGACTGAGAGTCGTGCAGATTGTAGATTGGCCGATCTGTCAGAATTGCCCAGTCAAGAATTAAGTAAGGAGATCGAAAAACTAAACCGTTTGGTTCCGGTGAGCTTCCTTCGCCTGCCATACCCAGACTCCTATCGACTCCGTAGCGTTGCAACTGGCCGCGTGGATCTTCTTAGTAGGCTGTTCTTGACGTCCCGGGGCACGCTGAGCCGTGACGCCTAAAGCTGCAGCCTGGTCCTTCATCTTGGAGTACTTTTTTCGTCGTTCGTCCACTACGAGGACCGAAATTTGTGCCTTGATCCTGTGGATGTCATTCGTCACCCTTTTCACCTGGAGTTAATCTGCTCCCCTGGACTCACGGGGTTTCTGCCGCTGCTACCGAAGGGCCAGATATCGTTGCGACCTTCTCATCCGCCTAGGTCGTCTTTAGTGCGCTAAATCAGGTGGACCCTCCAGTTTCGCAAATTACTAAGTTCTCGCGCTTAGGGTTGGAGTGTGCCTATCTTTCCCGCACGGGGAAACCTGGAGATAGCGAGTTAGTGCGCAAGTCAAAGGGCAATCGTGTCGAGTCAAGTGGCCCACCGACCTCGGATTTTCATCCGGGCACTGATATGATGATATCAAAAGCACGCGAGTCATTGGGAATGCTATGAATGCTCACCCGTATCTGCAGTGATTGGGCTTTCAGGCTCTCGTCTGGAAGAATAGACGGAGCCTTGATCGAGAATATTGAGCCTCCAAGATGGCATTGCAGGATCAACCCATTACGTAGTTACATCCAGCTTGCACATGACATAAGTGGCAATTCGGTCCATTCTCGAGACGATGGCTTAGGGTTAGGCGGCTTCAAGTTGTCAACTGTTTAAAGTTGAGTCGCCAAAGCACAATTTGCATTGAGCTGGAGGAGAAAAGCGTATCTGGAATTCCCCGAACTGCCGGCCACAAGAACCCGCCCTGGCGGACATCGCCGGAGAGCTCTAGTCCTCCCACCTCTCTGAAACTCTCCACCAAAATTTACACTGCTCCTCACCCCACCTATAATCCTGCATCTGCGCAGCTGTTCCCTTGCCAGTCCCGCCGGCCCTTTCATCGTTCCCTTCACCAAGCACCATGGTCGAGGGTCTGCCATCCTTCCAAGGCGTCCACTCCTCCCTCGCGGCAAACTTGCCCTTCTTCAGCGCAGAAGGATCTCCCTTGGTGATAAAGCTAACGCAGTACGCGTGAAACTTCCCCGAGACTTCGTCTTGTGCGGACGAAATCCCTCGCACTTCCGGGTTATACGTCTGATATCGCATCTGGTCGCCGTGGACGGCGCCCAAAAGCGCCGTCTTGTTCAGGGCCCAGTGATACAGGAATACCGGGGGGTCTGGCGGCGAGTTGCTGGAACCCCAAATGGCCGTCTGGCGGACAGGGCATGTGTACGCGTAGTGGCCGTAGGCGGCCTCAATGCGGCGGTATTGAGCTCCCACGCCGAACTTGGCGAGCATTTGGTCCGTATAGGGCGAGCTTGGATCCGTCACAGGATCGGGGTACAACGCTCCCAGCTCTGCCAGCTCAGACTTGGTGAGGTGAGGGAGCAGCGTGTTAAAGAAGTCGATGAAATCTGTCGAGGCGTTTGCGGTCTTAGGCACGTAGTTGGCGCCCTCATTATGGGTGGAACCAGTCAGCATGGGCACCTTATTCCAATTGCCTGACTTCCAGGCGTCGAGAGGTCGACGTGAGATGATCTGACCGTCCAGGACGGGCTGCCATGCCCAGCGAACCGATGGTTCGGATCGCGCAAAGACCTCTTTGCCAGCCCTGTCAACTGTTTCAGAAGACAAGGCTCGCAAACATCCCAGGATATTAAGGTCGCGAAGGTCCTTGTAGTGACCGCACGGAGTAAGATTCAGAAAGTTCCGGAAGTGCTGTGTGTTGAGCGCAGAGGAGGGCGGGTGGATAGTCCTTGCGGTATGTGCGCCGCTGTCCAGGATGGCTTTGTGGTAGAGCTTTTTCGGCTGCTTGACGTCCATGATGAGGTGTCCAATCTGGGCTGTGTCAGTCGCGGTGGTTCATCTTCTAGGAAGCAAGACTGTGGACAGTAGCACTTACACCATGCGCAGCGGCGCTGAGGCCCATGATTGTTACATCATCCGGGTTGCCCCCGAAGTCGGCAATATTCTCCTGCACCCACTCGAGAGCGGCGTACATATCCCGCAGGCCAAGATTTAGAAGACCCTCCTTTTCAGTGAGCTCAGTGTTGAGCCCGCCAAATACACCTATACGATACTGCATGCTGACAGCGACGAAAGGCTCCGGTGAATGAGCCAGCATAGTGTATGTGTTGTGCATCCTTGCTGCGCCGCGATTAAAGGCGCCGCCGGGGATGAGCACTGACACTGGCAGCTTTGCCCTCGACGTATCGTGACCGTGCGGCTTGAAGACGTTAACGGTCAAACAGTCCTCAGACTCGGTGTCAGGTCCGAGTAGAGGGTCCTCCAAGAACGGGACCAGCTGATTACCGGGACATCTTCCAGGTCTCGGTCAATCTCATGTTCTCAGCATGTGCTTTTGATGGGTTCACGCACTCACCTAGGCCCCATGTAGAATGCTTCCAAAGTGCCATTGCCTTCCGGCACAGGCACGGCAGGCTTGAACCTCAGGTCATTGATGGGTGGCAGTGCGTAGCGGATGCCAAGGAAACCTTCGACGGGTGCCGGAATCTTGCCATCATCGAGTAGCTTGCCGACAACTATTCCCTGCTTGATCGTAACTGTCGGATGGGCGTTATGACTGCCGAGGAGGTGCTGCCTTGCATTTGGGAAGTAGACCAGCAGAGCAGCCAGAAAGACTGGGATTACTGCAAAAATTCTCGGCGTGGCAGTGTTGGATGGGCCGGGAGTTTTGGTCCCGGGTGGTGCAGAAAGCGCAGTAGTTATGGTTGAAGTTACTGAGGTAGCACGGTACAGCGCGACGTTTCATCAGATAGACAGTCTTATTACTCGGCTGTTCCGTGGCTTTAGTATTTTACCAACCGGTCAGGGATCGAAGTCAAGGGACTACTTTATTCGGCATTCACCCCCGAGCTCCAGCTGCTCATGGGCTCTGGTGCCGGCAACGTGACTCCGCCCGCGAAACTCCGAAAGCAGTAGGTCGGAATATCACCAACGACCGATGACGGTCCGATACTACTCAGAACTGCCGTACAGGCCAGAATTCCTTCGAGCCCGGGATATGCCTTTCTACATAGATAATCATCGTGCCCTTACTGCCTCTCCTGCAATCCAGAGTGGTGGCCGAAACTCGGAACCATGAACCGTTTTGATCGGATCATCATTCTGGCCATGATAACACTAATTGACATGCATACGTCTCTAGACTCGAAGAGACTGAGAGTCGGCGCCAAGATTTGGGTCCTAGGGTGGGCATGCTGCAGATTTCTAGGTTCCCTTATCGTAGTCTGAGCCATCTTGCAGCTGGTTCACGATCGACTCCTATCAACTCCGACGAACTCCGAACTTGTTCAGACGATAGGTAGAGCGGACAAGGTGGCGAAGCAGCAATTGCCGTCTCGGATCGTTATCCGTATTTCGATACGTTACCGTCCGCGGTATAGTCGATTGTTGAGGGCCTCAAGACAAAACTTGTCGGATGGATCAAATGCGGTCGCGGAGCTCGACGGCAGACTGCATCAATATCTCCTCGCAATTGCTTTCAACTAGGTGCGAGCAGATAACTGATATAATCCTCATTGTAAATACAGATTAGGCGAAGCGAGCGAGCCCAATATGAAGCGGTTCAGTAGCTCCCTCGCCGCGAATTTCATGGAAGCTTGTTACAAGATGGGTAAATCTTGAAAATCCCATTTGCCATGTAAACGTCAGGTACTAACCTGGGCATGCTTCTCTGAGCTGGATTGCGCTAGATAGATTGATCGATGATATGGGCACTTTGGCAAATGAGGATTGCCTCATCAAGAAGCTCCCTTGCCTGTCCAGCCCGCGTTATGTGCCCTTAATGAGCAAAGAGGAGCCGCATGAACTTGTGGGGGAGTGCAATCATGTTCACCTCAGTACAAAACACCTTACACGCAGCCTTGCAACACGTGATGGACACGAAACGGCGAAGAGGCCTAATCAGCTGTCCACCGAGGCGAGATTGACAGTGCTGGAGGAATCAAGTGAGGGACAAGCTGGACGAGCTCCTTGGACCGCATGAAAATGCTCACCCCATAACATAACCATTAACTGAGAGAAACGTTCAAAAAGCGCATCAGGATCGACATGACCAGAAACTCAGAGCGGTACTGGAGAAACATACCGCTCCGGGCCCAAAGTCTAGCAGACTGTGGTCGCAGGAAGCAATCTTAACTATTTCGGGTACAACACAACCCGAAATAGAAAACTGTGCCTCAATATTAGCCATATGTCAACAGAGCTCCATGAATATAACTACCAGCCGGTTCATGCTGGTGAGAACCTTGCGCACAAGGCCTCAAAGGCGGGGGATGATGAGAAAGCAACGATACGCCAGTCTGGGGTATCACCGACTAGGGCCAAGATAGGCCGGGATTATGGTCATGTTCTCCATGATAAGTACTGGCCCTACTCTTGGGACCCGAGTCCCTGGTGGGTGACGACATGGAAAGGCATCGGAGACCTTGTCCGATTATATTGTTATGGATAGCTCCTGCGGGTACGTACTTACCCTGATACCGCAGAAGTACGGCCTCGTGTATTTAAGTTATGGATGTGGCTCTCTTTCCAAAACTTTCAACAAGACAGCTGAAGGTTAATACGCTCTTGAGTCCAGTCGAGCGTTTTAACACCACCAAAGTTTACAATCATTCTCGCGCCGCCACTAGCCGGGAGCCTCACCATGGCTGACAACGTCACCAACGGGAAGACCGACAAGCTCACGGCCATGGACGACAAGAAGGCTCAGGACGACTGCATCAAGGCCCAGTCCAACGTCAACGGCGACTGTGAGGTCGTTGACGACATGAAGAGCGCGGTGACCGTGAACCTCGACGAGGCTCAACTGTTCCTTCACGAGCATGACATCCCTAATACGAGTCTCGAGGCGCTTATGAGCGACGAAGCAGCCTTGAAGAGGCTACGCAGCAAGATCGACTGGCAACTGATGCCTCTTCTTTGCGGAACATATCTCCTCCAATATATCGACAAGCAGGCCCTCAGCTACTCTGCCGTCTTCGATCTCTTCACTTCCACCGGCATGACAAGCGACGAATACAGCTGGATGGCGTCCATTTTCTACGTATGTCGTACAGCGGTTCAGACCCCTTCTTATCTGGGCACTGGATATTCTAGTATCGAGACCACATCCTCCTGACTTTACAGAACGAGCGCTGACTTTCAATTTGCGCAGTTTGCTTACCTGGTGGCCGAGTGGCCCGCATCGTACATTGCCCAGCACTACCCAACCGGCAAGATTGTCGCGGCATTCGTTCTCACCTGGGGCACGATTCTCCTCTGCACAGCCGCCGCGCAAAATTTCACCGGGCTCGCTATCTGCCGGTTCCTCCTCGGCGTCTTTGAATCGGTCATCACTCCAGCCTTCATGCTCATCGTTTCGCAATGGTTCGACCGCGGGAAGCAGCCTGCGCGTGCCGGTCTCTTCTACTGCTTCAACGGCATTGGCAGCATGACCGGCGGTGTGCTCTTTTACGGAGTCGGTCAGGCCAAGGGATGGGACGTCTGGCGCATCATCTACGTTCTCTGCGGCGGTCTGACCGTTATCTGGGGAGTCGTTCTCTACCTCTTCATGCCCGACAACATTCTGACCGCCAAGCGCTTCACCATCGAGGAGCGCGCCATGCTCATTGCTCAGAACGCACGCGCCCGTGGTGGTGTCTTCAACAGCAAGATCAGGATGAAACAGGTCAAGGAAGTCTTCCGCGACGGCCAGGTCTGGCTTCTTTTCTGGTTTGTGCTGTTCAACGAGATCATCAACGGCGGCATAGCAAACTTTGTGAAGCTCATCGTCAAAGGATTCACCCATGATGCCCTCCTCACGACTGCATATGGCATCCCGTATGGTGCATTCACGGCTATCTATATGTTCACCGGCCCATTAATGGCATCTCGCTTAAAGAACTTCCGGACATACGTCATGATCATCTGGCTGCTGCCGACGCTGATCGCTGTCGTCCTGTTTTGGCAACTTCCTCGCTCCAAGAAGGGCGGTCTTCTGGCCGGCTACTACATGGCATGTCATATTCTGTCATTCTTGTCTCGAACCATCCAACTCTTGGCCGTATTTGCTAACGTGGTTTTAGTGTTCTTCTTTTACCGGTGCCCTCATTGTCGCTCTCCAAATGCCTGCCTCCAACGTCGGTGGCTACACCAAGAGGACCACAGCCACCGCCATTGTTTTCCTCGCCTACTGCATTGGCAACATCATTGGGCCCCACGGCTTCATCGGCTCCGAGGCCCCCATCTACCAGACCGGCTGCAAGCTCATCATTGGCTGCATTGCTGCTCAAGTGGCTATTGCTATTGCCCTAAGGCTGCTCCTTATCCGCAGGAACAAGATGCGTGATGCCGAGCAGAGCGGCTCTCCTCCCGAGGCGAATGACGCGGCGGTGCTGGAGGACTTGACCGACTTTGAGAACAGGAGCTTCCGGTACATGTACTAGACTGGCGTCTTCTAACTGCAACCTCCACTACATGTATTCATTGCAATGCATCATTGCTCGGAGTATCTGACGCATCACCTCTCGTATTATTTGACTGCAAGTCTTGATTGATTTACACTCTATAGTCCATACCATAGTAGCGATTCGTCAATCATGAACTTAACTGATTCTATGCAGGCCTTTTACGACCATTGCCGTAAACTTGCCGTGACCTTTCAGTTTTAAACCCCCTCCAAGCCAATGGGATAAGAATATTAAGCGTCTGCTACGACCAACAGTTCTCTTGCCTGCCTACCCTAAAGGTAAACAGTTAATCATGTTGACTCAATAGGCTAATTAGACAAACAAGTTCCTACGAAGTCTAGACTGCTTCTTCTCCTACAAGGCCTTCTACGCAGCACCTTGTAATCCTTAGTCCTAGCCTAATACAAGCCTTAGACTATTAGCTAACGTAATGTGTTATGTTTTTTCCTTGGTGCCTAGCATAACGCTAAGAGCAGTCTGTGCCTTGATGCCGAGAGGCTAACAGGTTGACTTGGTAGGTGAGTGTCCCTAGGGAAGGCTACTTCAGCCTAGTGCGGAGCTGAACGCATTAGCTGACTTAATGAGTCGGGTTTTTTCCCTAGGGCATCTAGTACAGCGCCAAGAGTAGCCTGTGCCCTTATTGTCACGGTCAAATATCCGACAGTGGCATTTTCTGCTAACAGATGGCTGAGGTCGATACTTAAATGCAGTAAGGTAAGTCTTGTTGATATTCTCATTGGTCTATTAGTGTCTAGTAATTAGCTAGGCACTTTAAGGCGGAGGTAACTTGTTTAGCTTTCCAGCAGAAGGATAAGCTAAGAGTCACTTATGAGAGGGTGAATCACGAAGTTAATTGCTGAAGGGCTATAGAAGTCTGTTCTTCGATGCGCCCAAGTCCATTCTATATACAAGTCCTCATGATTGGGCCTCTGGTGATGGTGAGCGCTTGTTGCTAAGGTAGCGCTCATTGCCTTATCTTATCTTCACGCGACGTTTACCGACATGCTACTTAAGGATAAAACGTTTCTTGCCTAGGTTTGCTGCGCGCCGCGCTGGCTTAAAAATTCGTAGCAAACCACCCCATGGTATCCCATTCAACAAGCATAACATTATATAATGGAAACCCTATGATATAGGTTGTTTTCTCATTTACCCAATACTAAGATTCGGAAAGTAGAGCTAAATCATACGCAACAGAAGATATGCTCTTCCGTTGGTCAGTAGGGATCATATAGCCAACAATGTTCTCGTATTCGTCAAGGATCTCGGCTTTTAGACTCTCCAAGTTCTTCTGGTTGCCGTTACGGTTGAGCCGTTGGAGAAATGGTAGGGCAGCCGTCTCTTCGGCCAGGCACGCCTCAAAGTTGCAAGACTCAGCTGGCTCGGACCTTCACCATTTAACCTTTACCGAGTCAACAGTCTACATGCTGGCTTGCTCGACGATGAACAAGCCGCCAAGTTCTCGGCCGGATCTTATGTTAATAATCGCTACAGGGCATCACGTGTGGCGTTGGCCATGGATTCTTTCTACCGGCGTGTTGGCCCTCACCGCTGTTGGACTGTTCATAGACTGCTGGAGAACGAGGACAACGCTATCTCGCTATGCTGAAACATGCGCCTTCGACATCGGTGATTAGGATCAGTGAGTATGCCATTTCAAGTCGTTTGAACTACATTTAGTAATTGCCACAGGTCCTGAATCTAGTGTCATCTAACTCGAACCCAAACTCTTCGAGGGCGCTCTATCCTACAACTCGACAGGCGATATGGTCCGAGAGCAGGCGCCTTATGAGAGAATATGGGTCGGAGATCCAGGCCCGGAGATGGACCGTCTATGGGATCATGTTGAAGCTGGTACAGTCTTTTGGTACTCTTGCTGGTTGCTTTGATACTGATGTTAGCCAGTTGCATATAGCATCGACAGTACTCTTGCAAGGGGCCGAGGCCGACCTTGTGCGATCGTACTACGCTTGGGAACGGTTACTGGGTAACAGGTCTCGATGTTTTCCACCAGGTCCATTACATTGTATGCTCTGTCCATGAGATTGAGTCATCTGTTTACAGAGCTGACTTGTGTCTAGAATCAAGTACGAAAAGCCCTTTATGCGGAATACTATCCTCCCTCCCGGAGCAGTCGAGCACACAAGCTTCATTGGGGTAGGTCTCCTCTCCCATTGAACTATGCCTGTGACTCGTTGAACCCGTGGTCCAGGTTCAGGTATACTGTCTAAGACTGACACTAACAATGGAACCCTGGCAGAACACTGCCTCGACTACGTGCGACAGGCCGTCATGTGCAATGCCAACACTACCCTTGTGACTCATAAATGGTTCAAGTCGGCACAGACGTTTGGACCCAATTTCCGCACACAGCACACATGCAGAAACTACGAGGCACTGATGGATTGGTCACTGGCGAGGTCACCGAACGTGAGGGCACAGCAAGGTCCCGGCTCCAAGGTTGCCGAGGACGAGACAATGGTCATGTCGGGTGAGCGCCTAGAGAAAACAAAGGCCGGACTGGGCGTCAGTGCTCATGGATATCACAGCCCCTGAGAAAGTAGATCACGATGTGAACCAATACCTTGCATTGGCCCTCCAAAAGGATAATACAGTGCCTCGTTGTGTTGGAAGTGCTCATGTACCTTCGTTTTTCCAGTAGAGAATTTACCTCAAGTTATCATAATTCTAGACCGTGTCTTCTGGTTTACAAATGGCACACTACAGAGCAGGATTGATTGTTGGCTATTATGTAAGTTTAGTACCTTTGATAGGGTTATTCCACTGGAAAACCTGTATCAAGTAAGTTTGAAACTAACAGTGAAACCTGCCCTGTGCTGTAGGTATTGTTGTCACCCCTCCTTACGCAGAGGAAGACTCGGGTCTTCCACGTTACACAGCATAGAGCTTCGCAAATGCCCCATTAACCCTCACCAATAGCTCCTCTGGCTCACCATACTCAAGTAACACGCCCCCATCTAAAACAACAACCTTATTAAATCTATAGACACCAGCAAGACTATGCGTTACCATGATGACAGTGCTAGTTGCGAACTCTGACTTGACGATAGCTTCTATGTAAGATTCGGTGTTAGCGTTAATACTATGAATTATAAGTGATACTTAGTGTCAGCTTTCATACTGCATCATAATATCATTTTTTAGATATAAACGCAGGAAGAGGGAAGGTCTGTTACTTACCTGCTGCTCGGCTCATCTAAAACCAAGACCAGGCTCTTGCGCAGAAGCGCACAGCCAAGGCAAAAAAGCTTTCTTTGCCCTTAGGACAAGAAGTCCTCTTCCATCTTTATATTAAGTATTGAGAATTCTAGAGGGTAAGAGGTCTATGTGCTCTCCTTTGATCAGAAGATATCCCAAAGCCTAACTTTCTGCAGAGCAAAGATAATATTAGTATTTGTAGCCTTGCCATGCAGATCTACATTCAGTCTAACACTCCTGCTAAATAAGAAAAGGTCTTATGTAAGATATGTGAGCTTTTAGTAGGTGACATCTTTAGGTACTAATACAAGATTAACTTCGTTTACGATAATCCTCCCAGTAAACTCCTTGACTATACTGAGCAGGGATAAGAGAAGTGAGGTTTTGCCACTTGCAGCACTTTTGTTAGCAAATTTCTTGTTATAAAGCTTATAAAATAATTTATGTTTATAACTCTTATCTTCCTGTCTTACCGCATATAGTAACTTTCTCCCTGGCCTGAATCGAAATATTGATATTGCGAAGCACGGGGTGACTATGGTATGATATTAGCTACTGATTTAGACTGGTACAAAACTCCAGAAAGTATAAAGTGAGATATAGATACCTATTATAGTGAGCCGACTAATTCTCAATGACCACCAATCCTTAAGACAGCCAGCCAGCAAGAATCCTTGTATCCACAATTTCGCAAGGTATCTTGGTCGGGGTATCCTTGGAGAAAGTCTTCACGCGCGAAATGGCACCCAAGGACGTCTCGAGCAAGGTCCAAAAGGTGATAAGGGCAGCTAAGGATTGGCCAAGATTCATCATGCTGACAAGGGTAATGCCAAGGAAACCGGCGTCCAGTCTGCTGTGGAGCGTGACGCCTAGGGTGGTGAGGAGTATCGCGAGCCCAGCGACCGTCAGTCCTAATACAAAAGTCAGCCATCATTGAATGCAAAGGAGCAAGTAATAAGGCTTCTAGGCCTTGTTAAGGAGGGCAAGATTCTTGGCGATATGGTTGCTTGTCTAGCTATATGCTTGGATAGTGGTGATGCCCTGGAGAGACTCTAGAACGTAAGAATAGAGAGGTGCTTTTGCTTCTAGGCTAAGCTAATATTAGTACTTTATATTATTTGTAAGGTAATAATAAGTATTACTTTAGTAGTTGAAGCTGCTGAGATGTCCTTAGATAAAAGCGCTGGAGAAAGAAGAGAGCGCTAACGACAAAAGGCAGTATAGCTATGAAGTAGGAAATAGCAACAATGGCTAACGCTATAATTGCAAAACACGTAACAAGCTCTATAATTCTTAAATTAGTGACCAGCTTCCTAGAGGATTACATTAAAATTACTATGGACGAAAGCTTGCATTCACAAGCACCCCAGGTAAGGTCATGTTAACCAATTGCATATCTTGACTGAATTTATTATGGGAAAGAAATACTTATAGGTTAGTTTATACTTTTGTTATTTTATGCGAAAATCATGATATACCTGTTAACTAATACTTTAGTGTTGGTCTTAGCGAGAAAAGACATTGGAGCTCTATTGATACCATAAGAACATAAACAAGCCACTAGCAACAAGAATTCTGTGATCTTACCGTATAACTGCCCAAAGCACAGTCAAGTGGAGAGACTGTGCAGACTTAGGTACGATCACTACGTACATGTAGCTGGGTATAATCATTAGCATAAGAGCCTCAAGCATGATGCTTGGTGAGCCTCTAGGCTTTGATAAGTCAGGTTTGACAATGTAGGAGAAGAACTTACTAGACTACAGAAATAAGACTAGCCACAGTAAAAACACCAAAAAGTACATATAATCTAAGCCAGTAGCTAAGCCGTGATGCTTATAATCCGTCACTGCTTTGGGCCTATAGTGTGATCTATGTATCTGTGCTTACCTATATTAGCTTTAAGCCTGACTTACTGTAGCTAAGTGGTACTAAACTAGTACTGATAAAAAGGGGTAGATTTAATGGAAGAAGTATGTTTATATTGTAAGGTGCTGAATGTTACGTTTAAAGCTATGAAGATACTAAATAAGGCAAAGCTAAGCTATCTTATAGACAAGAAGTAGTATAAATAAATAGATAAGTTTCTTACTTATCTATTGTTATCTTGTTTTGTGCTTAAGCCCTAAGTTTTACTAGCTGAAATTTTTGGAGGTAGGATATTTCTTAAGCTTGCTGAAGAGCTATTGTCTCTGGCTAGATGTGGCGTAAGAGAAGCTATATTTTTAGATAAGCTCTGTTAAATGATTTGTTCTTGGTCGTCAAGTATGATAATTTGGTCTGCGATAGCGCATAGGCTTACTGTATGTGGTTATTAGTAGGAACGATACGTTTTCCTAAACGCTATATAAGCTATTTAAAACTTATTGTTACTTACCAGAATGCATGGCCAAAATGGCTGCCATACCCAGCTTCCAGATCAGTCTATTAGCTCCAAAGACACGCGTGGTGACAATGTTATGGGTAGCGGCATCCAGACTGCTTAGTATATCATCCAGAACAGCAATAGGCTTGCGCGCATAAAGTGCCCAAGCTAACGACTATTTCATCTCAGTACGCAATACAATTATCAGGTGCTGAAACAGTTCTTACCAGGCGTTGCTTCTGCCTACCGCTAAGCGAAACCCCTTTGCTCCCGACATTCGTCGCGTCACCGTCCAATAACTGCAGCAGGTCTACTTGTAAAGCGTAAACGTGAATGACAGTATTGTACCAAGTAGCGTCAAAGTTAGTTCCCGAGACAATGTTTTCTCGGACAGAGCCATTCGAAACCCACAGGCTTTGATCGCAATAGGCTAGCTTCTTGCTACTGATCTAGACAGAGCCGTTGAATATGGTGGCTTCACTAAGAATAGCCTTTAGAATAGTAGACTTGCTATAGCCGACTAGTCCTAAAATGACTATAAGATGATGATCTTGGCTAATGCGCAGTGACATGTCTTTGATTACATGGCTAGAGCCTTGCTAGCCAACGGTAGTATTATGGATGATCACATGGTCAGAGTTGAAGATCGTACGAGGAAGAGGCTTTTTTAGTGTTAATTGTGGACTTTGAATCATTTCCACATAGTTATAGCCTAAAGGCGTCTAAATCGTGTCTGGCTTATTGTAGGTCTCCAGATTCGTTATTTCTAGCGGGCATTCAGGTAGTCGTTTGTTGTCCCAGGACTTGCTAACAAAAAAGTCTTGGATTCTCTGAAAGTAACCTAAGGCAGCATATACCTGAGGAATCACCACTAACAACTTGCCTAGAGGCTCCATGAGGATGGAGAGAATAGACAAGGCTATGACTGCCTGCAGCATTATTATAAAGCTATTACCTTGAACTTTGGCGGCAATTACAAAGGTTATAAATGTGAAGAACTGGGAGAATAGCGAGGGTAAGTTTACTATGATTCATTAGTGCCTAGCTAAATCAACTTAGAGGTGCGCTTCAGCTTACTAAGGCAGATATTAAAGCTGGATAAGCGCCTGAACCTCTTGGAGAGGTCTAGTTTAGTAATACGCATACCCTGTATAAGAGATTCAAATTTGTTACTAAGGCTTAACATCTTAACACTTCTTATTGAGCTTAGGGTATTTATAGTAAAGTTAATCTTTGCTTAAATCGCCTCAAGCTAGACCTTCTAGCGGGCAGTCATAAACCTAGCTGCTCTAACTAATATAATGGTTGCTACTACTAAGTCATAAAGTTAATAACATAAACCAGTATATAAAGCAACTCTAAGCTTAATTAACATAAGTATATTGACTTACTTAACGTAATAATGACTAGAGTGACATAAACGGGACCGATTTATATCTATAAGAACCACATAGCAAAAGCAAACTAAATAACACTTGCCTAACTTTTGGCGACTACAAAATGCCAAGTCTCGCAGATTCGTTTGACGTCTATACTAATTAAGGTTATTACAGCAGAGTCACCGACTTGCGTCAACAGCGATTACACAATCTTCTCATAGATCAGAGAAATAAGGCCTCCCCTGACCATAGCCATAAGTCAAAAGGAAAAGTGCTAACAAAAGCCTATCACAATCTTATAATACATATATCTAATTAGTAGTAATCTAGGCAAGAAAAAGGAAATTGAGCTTATAGGTATCCCTGTATAAACTAATACTATAACACCGATTAGGCCATATCCTTGGTTCTTAGTTTGCTAGTTAATAGGAGCCGATATAGTTTCTATGATCTAGCGGATAAGGAAAGGCTATGCAAGGCTAAGTGTAACCAGACAAAGACGAGGAAGCGCAATCTTGGCAACTTCTAACCGCCAGGCCAAAAGCATAGCCAGAGCTAAGGCGTACTTGTGCCGATTGTGGTCTACTTTCTCT